CCCCGACCAGCGTGGGACTCGCTGAGCCAGGCATCGCCATGGACCAATCCCCAATCTGCTCGTCGAAAAACTGAGTCCGATCGAGTCCCAGCATTTCATCCTCGTCACTCACCCGCAACTGCATTCCGGGAATATATTTGAGAATGAGAAGCATAATGTAGGATACCACGAAGGAGTACGATGCGATAGCGCAAATCTCTGCCAACTGCTTCCCAACCTGAACTCCATTGCCATCAATCGCTCCGGGGGATAGCGTGCTGCCATCCAAGGCAGATATCTTTTCGCTTGCGAACAGTCCCGTCAGGAAAGCTCCCACCATACCACCAAGGCCATGCAGCTTGAACACATCCATGCCCTCGTCGACATTGATCCACTCGTTCACAATTTTGAGGGAGGAGCATACAATGGCGGTAATGAAACCGATGCATGCTGCGAGCCATAGCGAGACGCAACCAGCCGCTGGCGTGATCCCGACCAGGCCAGCAATAGCACCTTCACACGCACCAACAACTGTGAACTTTCCTTTGTACCGGATCATGTCAACCAGAACCCATCCGAGAATGCCTGTGCAACCGGCGGTGTTGGTGTTGAAAACAGCAACCATGGCACGCATGCTGGCGTTCAGACTCGAGCCTCCCTATCATCGTATTGCTGTTAGACTCGAATACTGGAGAAGAGAGGACCTCACGTACATTGAATCCCAACCATCCAGTCCAGATCATCACTGTCCCGAGGAAGACCAGAGTCGTATTGTGGGGCTTGCGCAGTAAAGGGTCCCCGTGATCCCTACGCTTTCCCAAAACCAACGCATACGCCAGAGCTGTACACCCGGACGCGATATGCACGGGGCCGCCTCCCGCAAAGTCAATGGCCGGTAGGTTGTAGAGCCATCCGTTACTGCTCCATGTCCATCGGGCTAGCGGGCAGTAAACTATGGTCGCCCAGAAGAAGCTGAAGATCAATGAAGGTACAATGCCACCTCGTTCAAAGGCACCTCCAACGACAATCATTACCTACAACCTTAGTACATCGCTTTCGTATCACCTGGACAAACTTACTGTGCATGCACAAAATAGGAGCTGGAATAGACAGAAGACGACCTCCGGTAAGACCGCGGAGCCGGGCGAGGGCGCCACCAAGACATCTATCAGTCCAAAGTTCTTCAGTGTACCGATAAAGGGCCCGCCGTCTCTTGAATAGGTAAGAGAATATCCCCAAAACAGCCATTGAAATGTAGATCTATATCATGATTAGCGTTGCACTAAATATCAAAAGGGTCGCGACTGGCGAACTTACACTGCAAGAACCATAAAGGCCTGGAAGAGAAGGGCCAGCGCGGATTTCCTCCGGGACAAGCCGCTGTAGAGCATCCCAATCCCCGGTAAGATAAGGAACACGATGAATGTGCATGTAGTAATATAGACATAGTTGTATTCGAATCCGGTGTATTGCGCGTTCACGTCGACCTGGGTAGGATCACCACCCTCCGGCGTTGAGTAATTGTAGACTGGCTGTGACATCGCGTGCATCATTAGCCAAACAAGTCTGGGAATGTCACCGGCTGTCGCAAAAGCAAACACGCACCTCAGTCATGATGAGCCAAGAGACAAAGCGATGGCAATCACTACTATAATAAACTGATTTCCGAAATTTATTCTCAGAGACTTTCGGGTCTGCTGTGCTTGAGGGGCCATTGAATCATATAGTATAATGAAATCATGGTAAGGAGCTGGAATTTATCCCCCTACCTGCACATTGACTGCACGGTCTCTTGGCTGGACCCATTCTGAGATGGGTCATAGGCGATATCTTTACTCCGTAGATATCTTCAGCTGCGTGTGGTTACTTATTCCGAACTGTAAAAGAGATCGTTATCTGAGCCAAGAGCCCACACGAATACAAATAGACAGTCTCGTCGCACAAAAACCTTCGTTTAGAATCAGTTGCGGTCGCCATTTGCTGTTATCGAGAAGTCTGATCCCAGGTGCCAAGATGGAAGATCACAAAAGCAGGGGAACCCACATTGATAAGAAAGGAGAGAGGCCATCACGACCATGACTGATTGGCCCTCTTGCAAACCCCGGATCGTACATCCTTCTGGGGTTTAGGGTATCTCAGGAAGACTGAGCTGGTAAGAGCAGTGGGATGTAGCCCATGCATGCGAAGCCCGTCCTGTGATTGGCGAGAGATAACAGCCCGGCATATCGATGATGCTCGTTTCCTCCAAGACTAGCACGGCAAGTAGGACTTGCTCAGCTCCAATGACCAGCATCGGTGCCCTGAACCTCAGCTGAAGAGGCTGAAGCGCTGTGTTATACGACTCGTGGCTGAACGATCAGGTGATGAATAATGGGGTCCAGGCTCCTGAGTGGTGCTGCATACAGTTGGCACTCCGCACAAAACGTGCTAGCCACGCTCATTCAGAGGCGGGTCCAAGTTAGAGACAGTAGTCCAGACATGAGGAATTGGGGCTGGATATGAGACAATCTCGCGATCCCCAATTAGCCCGCAGCGCCGGTGATCTACAACTATCTCCCGTTTCAGCCTCGTTGGCGTTTTCCAGGCAGCCACATGTCCCCAGCTTTTAGCTTTCAGACAAGCCGGCACGATTATGCTTATACCCGTGAGTACACCTATCGTCTCTCTCTTCTCACACAGATGTTGGAGGGAGGATTTAGGTTGACATTCAAGCGGTGGTTGCTCAGGAGCCAAGACTGACGATCACGGCGGTTGATTATCCGGGAGCATTGCGGGGGCGAAAATCATAGCAAAATATAGATCTGAAACTCCTGATTCATGTCAAATTTGATGACCACTCGATGGCCTTTGTGCCTGGATGCAAAAACGCACCGGCGCAATAAGGGGAGGAGCCGAAGGATTCCAAAACACGAGGGAAAGGATCCGGTAACCCGACGTGTCGTATTCGTCAGCAGCAACTAATCTGCAATGCTTGATATTGTGGTCTTTGTGAGGAAGCCTATGCTCTTTGTAGCTTGTTCGATCGGAGTTCGATCGGATTTTGAAAGGTTCCCTTTTAGTCGATCGTGAGTGCAGTGGATTGGATGTGCGGGGACCCGAGCACATACCTTTGCTGCTTGGTTCCTTCTTGTTAGTACCAAGGAGTACCAAGGTCAGGTCCCTGATCCATACTAATAAGGCAAATTGCCCACAAGGTACAAAGCATCCTCTGCAGGTTGAGAGCAAATTTCACCGGCATCTTCGGAAATACGTCCCTCCTGGCGAAACTTAACTTTTGCATGGTCCCAAACGATGGAAGAAACCTCATCTTCCTTGTCGAACGGATCCAATCAGGCCGAATCGCCCCCAAACGGCTGTGGCTGACTAACGCGAGCAGGAAGCATTAGTGTCATCCTCCCACTGCCTCATCCTGGTTTCCCCCCCATTTGTTCCCCATTGCCCTGGCCATGACTCTCTTGATTCTCGCTGGCTGAATAGCCAGTTCGCATATATAGGCTGCGGAATCTTGGCCTGCTTCCAACATGTCATCATCAGCCATGGGTGTTCAGGAAACAGCGCCGAAGAAAAGAACTCGGGTCAGTCACACCAAGGTGCGTACGGGTTGTCGGACCTGTAGGTACGGAGTCACCGTGGATCTTGGATTGTTTGCTTGTGCGTGGGGACACCATCGTTAATGTGGATCATGTAGGATACGCCATAAGAAATGTGACGAGACCCGACCTATCTGTCGCATGTGCAGCAGCACTGGACGGATTTGCGATGGATACCAGCAAACAATCGATAGGAGAACGCGCGCTTCCAGACTCCGGCTCGCTTCAACATCGCCATCATCGACGAGCAGCTCATCTTCAACGGTGAGTGTGCCGTCTCTAGTGTCGGATCTGATCTTACACACCAATGAGATCGACCTCACCCGGCAGGAGCGTTGGTATCTCGACTTCTTCCGCAGGAATACTTCTTTTCAATGTTCTGGTTACTTTGACGATGATTTCTGGCTGCGTCTGGTACACCAAGTCACCGAGGCCGAGCCAGCGGTCAGACACGCTGCCATTGCCCTAAGTGCGCTCCACTGTAACTTTGAGCGAACCAGCACCGGACAGGGGGCCATAGACAGCCGTCTGCCTCTCCAGCAATGTGTCAAAGCAATTTCCTCACTGAGACATCAGCTAGCGGGTGGAGGAGTTCTATCCCGCTCTAACATGCAAATAACCCTCGTCACCTGCGTACTCTTCGTCTCGTTCATGTTCCTGCAGGGTGATACGCACTCTGCCTATTGTCACTTGCGTGGGGGTCTCAAACTCCTCAAAGAATGGAGGACCACAGACATGCCGGGCTATTCCACCACTGGCTCAGTGCTGATGAAAGTATTTGCCCATCTACAACTACAATGGTCGACGTTCGCCGACGAAGTCTTCATTGAAGAGGTAGATAGCAATCGCTTCGACGTTCCCTATATGGAGATCAATGATCTCAGCCTCGAAGAACCGACCGACAGCTTAGAAAAGGCAGGCAGCCTGCTCGTCAGTCTAGGCCGACTCGTCTTGACTCCACGTCCTTCCGGCACCTCCTCACCAGGCTACTGCACCGTCCTAGACAGCAGACGCATGGCCATCCTTAATAAACTCCAGCATTGGACCACCGAACTCGACAACTCAATGACATGCGCCGGAAACACCCTCATCCTCCGCGACAACACCATCCTCACTGTCCTCAAACTCTGGAGCGAGATCATCTACATCATGGCCGCGACAGAAGCGCGCCTTGGCGGCAGCGAAACCCGCTTCGATGCCTTTCACCTCAACTTCGGCCGAGCCGTGGCGCTCGCCAAAATCCTCCTCCTCTCCACACCCGCCTAATCAACCATGCCTAATTTCTCCATCGGAATGGGCATCATCCCCCCTCTTTTCTTCTGTGCCTTTAAATGTCGCGACTGGTACATCCGGCGAGAAGCATTACAATTACTACGCAGCTGCCAGAGACAAGAAGGTCTCTGGACAACACCGGGGGCCGTGCTCGTCCTGGAACGTTTAATTGATATTGAATCTAAAGGCCTCATGCCGGGAGACCTGGTTCCAGAGTCACGCCGTGTTGACTCGATTCATGTGAATATCCTTCCGGATGATCATAAGATTGGGTTATGGTATCGTCGATCGGGCATGGGCGTGGGTTTGGATGGCTATGTGGATGTAGGTTCGGGGATGTGGGAGAAGGCATTACTGGAATACCATATTGGGTGACTACTTACCTGGATAAAGGTTTTAATGGGACTTTGGTCGGGGGCTTATCTTGTACGATTAGATACCATTCTGTTATGGCGTTAGTTTATATATCACTCATATTACCAGTTCAAGAGAATTCAACACATTCAATGGTTGTATATAAGCAGATGTTGCCATTGCTAAGGCAGCCTTCAGCACAGCCATCTTACTATCTCTATTTCATATTAGAGTCATACATGGTACCAACCTCAGCTTGCAACTCCATACTACCGGTAGAAGCACAATCTATACCCTCCTAGTAAACTACTCCCCCGTCCTAAGAATAATCATCAATAAACGTAATAGCATCCAATAATTACAAATCTCTAAATAATTATACACAACAAACCCCTCCCTTCCTACCAACCAACTCTCCCAACTTCCCTTCTCATTAAGAATGAAGTACTAACTAATACCACTGACACCTCACCACCGGATTAAACATACTCACCGACAACGCCCCATAACAATCATGTACCTTATTCTCCCCATAACTCTCACAATCGACCGTCTTCCCAAGATCCGGACAAGTAAACGTCCCCGGCTCATCACTCGTGCCCTTATAAACACAATTCTTCATATCGTGGATCTTGAAATCCAACTCCTTCGTCCCATCCGGATACGGCGGATCCACCACCTTGATGCTGCCACTAGCCTCCAGCTCGCCGGCCTCCGCATCGTTACAGAAGTCAATTGACGAGCCGATGTCCGGCGTGAAGAATGACCAGAAGCTGTACACGTCGGAGAGGTAGGCGATGACCACTTGCGCGGTGGGGGTCGGCGTCGGGGCCGTGTAGATTGTGCTGCTGGATCCGGCACATTTCGTATATGTGAAGGTGGAGAAGTAGCTGAGGGTGGAGGTTGCGCAGACGATCACGTCGCTGTTTAGTTCGGTGACGGTGAAGGGCGGGTCCGAGGTGGTTTTTGTGCTGGTGGTCTTGGTGGTGCTGGTTGTTGTCGGGGTTGGGATGGAGGTGTAGGAGCAGCCGCTGCCTGAGGGGAGTTCCGAGAGCGTGGTGTAGTCGCCGTTGCTTCGCGTGCAGATGCAGACGTTGCCGGCGCCGTTGTCGGGGTCCGCGCTGTGTGGGGTTAGTGGGCTGGTTGGTTGGGATGGGGTTGGGGGCAGGGGGCAGGGCTTACTGGTTGTAGCAGAGGGGCGGGGTGTAGGACGAGGTTGTGGTGACGAGGGTCGTGGCTGTCTGGTTACGCGATGGTGAGGGAGTCACAGTGGAGGTGTGGTGTGTGGTGGTGCCGCTGGCTGTTCCGCTGTGCGTGTGAATGATAATCGTCGTGGTGTCGGTCGACGTGCTGGATTTACTATCGGTGCTGGTCGATGTTGTGTTGGTGGTAGCAATGCTGGATGTGTGGGCTGACGAGGATGCAGACAGCGGTGCCGAAGAAGAGGTCGCGGTGGACTTGGTGGAAGTGGTCTTGTTCGTGGAGGTAGAGTCCGTCGATGTGGACTTTGCGGAAGAAGAAGACGAATCAGTCTTGCTTGCTGCAGCGGATGACGATGCTGCTTTTGAGGAAGACTCAGTGTTAGACTTGGTTTTGGTCTTCGTGGAGGTGGAAGATTCCTTGGTGCTTGTCGAAGTGGGTGAGGCAGACGCGCTCGCCGAGTGACCTCCTGAGCCGGCAGACGAGCTAGAGTCGGAGGTTGTGGTGGACTTGGTCGAGGTTTTGGTCTTCGTGGACTTAGTGGACGTGTCAGAACCCGTGTTGGTAGACGTGGCAGTTTTCGTAGACTTCGAAGACGTATCGCCAGAGGATGTGGTCGTTGTCGTGCCAGTGCTAGTCGCGGTAGAGCCAGTCGCCGTCACTCCCACTGCACTGAGGGAACTTCCTTCGGTCTCGAAAGCGTCAAAGTAAGATGAGAGTGTGGATTCATCCGAAGAATCACTGTCTGAGGAACTGCCCAAAATTGACACTGCCTCATCCGCAGTACTGGAGATGCAGCTTGCAATGCCGATGAGGTCTCCCAGCAGGCCTCCACCGCTGCTGCAACTGTCGAGCACCGATTCGCTATCACCAGAGCTTGAACTTAAAGAACTCGGAGCCCCAAGCACGTCGAGAACGTCATCCGCCACAGGAATGACACGCTTCAGGGGCTTGATGAGATCGGATGCCTTGACGGACTTGGGGTCCTCCTTCCATTTCTTGATCACTGGGTACGTGTCCTTCACGAGCTTATAGAGGTGCTTGATAATGGCGTAGACATCAACCGAAGAAGTTGTTGTGCTGCTGGTGGTTGTAATTGTCGAGTTCGGTGTCGTGGAGGGACCGGACGTGATGCTAGCACTTTGGCTGGTATCAGTGTTCGTTGTGGTGGTGATGGAGTGGGTACTCGGAGTAGGAGAATGGAATGCAGGGCTTGACGAGGCATCCTCTGCGGAGCTGGAGCTGGACTTGGAAGACGTAGGAGTATGAGAGGCAGAGCTTGATGTGGTGTCCTCAGTATGACTATGAGTTGTGTGGGTTTTCGAAGAGCTAGTGTATGGTTTGGATGAAGCCGGCGTCGACGCGGTAGGGGTATGAGAGCGAATAGGCGTCGAAGAGCTCGTGGAAGTCTCGTGCTGGGTCAAAGCCGACGAACTTTCCGGGGTGTCTGATGAAGATGTGGAAGACGTAGACGTGTGAGTGTGGGTATGCTTCGATGTACTGACTGTACGGGATGATGTAGCAGACTCAGATGAAGCATGCTCTGAGGAGCTAAAAGAATGAGTGGAAAGAGTGTGGGTTGAAGAAGTATGAGATGGACTCGTGGGAGTCTCAGTGGAAGCAAAAGGAGTGAACAAGCTGCTAGGTGAGCGAGTGGAAGTCTCCTTGGAGACGACAGAGTGAGAACGACTCGACGAAGTAGTCTGACTTTGAGCAGGAACACCTGCAGAAGAGCTTGACAATGTCGTCGTATGAGAGTGAGGACCCGAAGGAGTGGACGGGCTGGCGGATGTTTCATGGGCACTACTTCAATTAGAATTCATTGGTCTGGTTCTCAGGGGAATACTGACCTCTGGGGTGTATTTACAGGCGCGCTGGAGTACGAGATTGTAGTGACCCCATAAGAGCGCGTGGATGACTTCGATGCTCCATCATGGTCATTAGTCAAGGACCCCTGAGTAGCACCAAGGGAGGCCGTAGCCGATGACGAAGGAGAGTACAAAGGGGTATTCGAGGCTGAAACCGTGGTAGCTGTTGAATCCGACTCCAAAGTCCATGAAGGATGGCTCTCAGAGGAGGCCCTACCCTGAGTGTTTGCAACAGCCGAAGAGCCCGGATGCGACGACTGAGGAAGCCCTAACGATGGTGAGACGATGCTGGCAGCGCAGAGCCCTGCCAGCAGGGTTTTTGCATTAAAGAGTGGCATTGTCCGGAGGACGATAAAGAATGACTGTAACAAGCAAAACAAAGAAAGAATGACAGTTGGCTTACACTTGGCGTCAGAAAGTCCCTTGATGGGAAACAGTCTCTTTAGTATTTCTAACTCCTATCTTTTGGTGGCTGAGCTTCGGTAACAGAGTGTAGAGCATCAGTCTGGCCGCGGCGGTGGCTTTTGGCCCCCAGAGGGCCAAAACCAAGCAATACCTCCATCCTATCCCACCATTACTTCAAGCCATTACTAATCGTAGGATTGTATGCCTACTGCAGGTACGAACCTAGCGGTCGCATGCACGAGTCAGGTTATCCTGCTTAGTAGTGGATGGAAAAGAGTAAAGCCCATCATCGTGAGCGCTTGAACTTGGCTTAATCAAACGCGATCCTCTGGCCCCCAAGACAGCCAAAATGGGGCGAGAACTTCGCCAGAACAAGCGTGAATACAGGCGATCTTTGCACTGCCTGTTTGTTAGCGCTGATAATTTGCCCGATCGCTGCTCGGAATACAGTCTCCTAAATCGACTAACTTCTTAGCTTTTAGTCCAGGCAACCAAGGAGCGTGGAGATGGCACCAACACATGTCCCGCACAATATGGCAAAGGTAATATTTGAAGTGGCTTATATTGAGATGGTCGGAGCTTTCGTAGTATCTGTGCTGAAGTAGGTTTCATGTAGACGGTAAACTAGAAGCCAGTCAGAATGGACATAATCGAAAAGAAAAACCATAACGTAGATGCCCCAGCAAAGAAAATGCCTGAGAAGAGAGAACAACGTTCTAGAAGCACAGGAGTATAAGTTTTTTCTTGAATTGAGAGTCAGAAGCTAGGAACGAAGGCCAGTAAAGCGATCGGATGTCGGATAGGACAGATATGACGCCTAGTAGACAGCTAGACAGAGCAAGACTATTATTGGAATGCCCATTGTATTGCCATTTAATCCAATGGTAAAGCCGTTCCTGGCTGGTGGAGTTGTTGATAATAACATCTTCCCAGATGCCAGGGCCAGGACTCAAGGTTTAATGAAATAACATCAGTCTTCCAGCATCTCGGTTAAATATTGGGATTCGGGCTATCTAAGCATGATTGCGCCAATCAGGGTATTCGGGAGATGGCTTTTCAGTTGGTCTGAATTGGCGAAAGCTTACTACTACTACTTCAAATTCAAGTATTGGTCATACATTTCTTCCCAGATTCTACAAGAGATTCAATAGATGGGGGAGGTTAGTCGTTGAGGTAATATAAAACCAAATAATAATTGTTCCAGAATATCTGTTACATAAAATTATCATAACTATTACACTCTGTGATGATGTTGACTATAAAGCTGAAACTTTTAAAACAAATAACTAGTTACAACAGTTCACTGAGTCATATCATCAGGTTGTTAATCAAAAAGAAATGCCACACACCTGAATGAAAACAACACCGCAACTATTTGACATGGCTAAGTCTCAGCAGACTTGGTAACCTCACGGTAATTAGTCTGAAATTGAAAATATTGATCATCATATTTTTCTCCATTCGCAGTATAATTCCATGGTCCGTAACCAGACTTGTCAGTAAGAACTAGATTGCAAGCTGGAGTAACAAGACGGTACCATCCCGCCAAATAGCCGCTACCCTCTTCAAATGTGAAGCGAGTACTGTCGGCTCCCGTGTTCAGAAATGATATCCCGACAGCGCCACTGATGGAAAATATGCGACCTTTGGTGCCAGACGAGGGAACATAAACACTCTGGATATAAAAGGTACCATCCCCGCGTGGGATAAGCTCGAAAATCTGGTTATCATAATGGGGATCATCACTGTTGAAGTCGGTGAGTTTACTCTCACCAATACCCTTGTTGGCAACAAGTACGTTTCGGCTTTGGTAATTGAGGAGGCGAAAGTAGATTCCGTCTGTGGGAATTGGCATAGTGTTCTTGCCTTTGATAGATTGATGGATAGATGGATGGATGGATAGATGGATGGGTGGAAGAAGGTTAGAAGATGAATGATTAGCTGTAGCTAAGTACAATACCACTAGGATTCATTTGGCATTTATAGCTGGCTGCTTCTTTGTTATGGGAAATTCGAGAACTGCTTGCATCTTGGACCATACATAACTTTGATATTACAACAAGATCAACTCGTCATTGACTACAACCTACTATGCTGGGAACGGATACATGCTAATATTCAATGTATCGCTGGCTACCATGTGATTATATATAGACACCAAGTCTGTTATATAGTAATTCATTTGATCCGTGGGAGTTCTACTTTATTACATCATGTATGTCTGCATTCGTATGGTCTCGTGATCGACCGTACTATATAACTGGTGGCCAGCACGCCATTGACTCATTTCCACGGTAAATACCTTCTGCAGCCTTCCTCGTATCAGTTGCAAATCGTCAAGTTGAACTGAAAACATGAGCAAAGCGTTTTGTATGATCCGCAACCGATGACCCTCAAGAGGTTGCGTCCAATCATCACAAACCGCATCGACCCAGAGGTTCATAAAGTCCTCAGCGGGTGAATCTCTCAGCACACCTCATAATCCGCATATAGGTTGTTTGCAGGTGCCATTTGTATGAAGACAGAATAATATAGGAATGGCAGGTTATCTGTATTTTTTGGGGGTAGTATTGTGCACTGATGATACATCGTCAACAATCTAGCGGAAATTCGGATAGACATATCTTCTTTCTTCTAACTACAAGATACACATTATCCGACATAGCCTATTATGGGCTAATAATAAATGATAACTAACCGGCTCTGGAGGTTCTAGGTTTTATTATCTCTAATAGAAGTACCTCCCATATTTCACACACCTTTGGTGCCAGGCCGAGCAGCGTAGGGCCGCTATTTAAGCAGGACTGCCTGGGAAATCATCCACAATAACTAAACGACTATTGAAAGCTGAGCGAGAACCTGATCCTAAAATCCGTGGAGGTACAGCTTATAGCATTCAATAGATTCAAAGTTAATTTATGAACCATCAATGCTGCTAACCATACCAAAAGGCAGGGGGGGAAGGCGGGTGGTGCCGGTCAGGCTGGGCGGTTCCTGAGGTTATATCACAGACGCCATGGATATACGCACATCAAATGACTTAATCCGACCGATCTGTATTCCAAACCTGGGCTTGGGCCATCTCAGGCCTCACTTTCCCGGGTCTTTCTCTTACGAGAAAGACATATGGTCAAGGGACAGATACTTATGTTGCCCTTTGTAAACCCCGTTAATATAATGCACTGCGAATTCGAGGCGCAGGGACGCGTACACTGCAAAAATGATAAGAAGGGTGTTGATACCTCTAGGGCAAGACATAATGTCACACTTGATTGAATTGGAAGGGTCCATCCTTCCAGCCTTTCATAGCATATTCCCTCAATAAAGGGGATCCAAGATTACTAGTATATTCCACTGGTAGTATTACTGGCGCATATATCATGGATGCCACGATTAACTGCCAAGTGACGGTACTATGTATATTCCCATATTAGAGCATCTTGGCGTCCGAGAAAGTGGTAGAGCCACTGCAAGCCGGCACGTGAGAGCACACCGAGCATGACAATTTCCGCTGGAAAAATGGAGCAAAGCCAAGACTTGTTCCTGGCTCTGTCGTGGAAGTTGCGGAAGCCGGAAGTCGGAGGTTGAGATGGACTGCAGAGCCGCGGAGATAGAAGGCTCCCCGCGGAGATGGTCAAATTGCCTTGAAATGGTACTCCGTACATGAACCACCACGCCACCCGCGCCAACCCTTGAGTATTCGTCCAACGTTCTCATGGAACATGGCCAGAACATCAAGCAAAATAGAAGAAAAGTATTACACCGAGAAATAATTACGTAAAAAGGCCGGTTGCTGTCAACCTTATACACCTTAGCGCCTCGTCAATTTTTCGTTCCACCATCCCCTGTCACACCCGAATGTCTCGAACGTCTACACCTGCTCTGCCCCGTGAGGGATATTAGGAATATTAGGGTCATTCTGCGGCTGAGAGTTGGTCGGGGTGTGGTTCCTCCTGCCGGCTGTTGGGGAATGCGGCTGCTCTACCGTAGTGGCTTCGGAGTTATATGAGGGACGATGCATCGACATGTCCCACGATCCGGGACCTCCCGAGCCCATCTTGGCTTCCCATTCATTGTAGTCCTGACCAGGGTTGACGGTGGTGTACTGGAACATTTTGAGGAAGGTAAAGAAGCCACATGCGAGGAGACTTCCCAGCAACGGACCGACCCAGTAGATCCAGTGGTACCCGGGGAAACTGCGGTTGATGACGTCGGGACCGAGCGATCGCGCCGGGTTGAGTGAGCCGCCAGTATAATAGTCCCCTGGAATGGAGGAAGAGGTAAGTCTCACAATATCTGACAGTAATCGGGTCCAGATACATCTACTCACCAACCATCTCAGTCACAAAGAATACCAGGCCGATGCCTACAGGAGCCAGGAATGTGGATTTATGTTTCACAACAGCCAGCATGATGATAATGAACACCAACTGAGCCGTCAAGAAAACTTCGATGAACAATCCCTGCGAGATTGAGGCACCACCGCCTAAGCGAGTGCCGACATTCAAGTCGCCTGGGAACAAAGCACCCACGACACCGGCAGAGGCAATGCCTGCGATGAGCTGGACTCCGAAAAGAATAACCCCACGGATGGGAGATAATCCGCCAACCAGACACAGGGCCAGAGTGACCTAGCATCACGATCAATCGCAAATTCCGACATTGGAATGGCAGGGCATACCGCGGGGTTAAATAAACCTCCAGTCACTCGATAGAATGCCCACACATTGACCATCAACGAGAACCCAAAGCATAGCGACGAGTATAGCAGGTTTGAGGTGTTTGGAGGAGACCCCGGCGCTGGCTTGGGGGTATTAGACACCTGCGTCCCGGCGAAGGAGAAGAAGAGGAACAGAAAGGTTCCCACGAATTCCCCTACGGCAGCAATGAAATTGTTCCGCGTCGTGTCTGCGAGGTGCAGCATAGGAAGCTGATTATTCGAGGACCTGTACATGGGAGCCGTTTGGCTGTCGGGATTGCGCTTGCGAAACCATTGTTGCGGCCCCATGATGATGTTCGTTACGATTTGTCGAGACAAGGCCAATTGTGAATGGAACTGATTTGCGACAAGAAAAGTGGGCTGGTAGAGCATTAGAGCAGCTTTTATGCGCCGGGGTAGGGCGAGCTGTCAGCTCCGCAATCTCAGCTGGAGCAAACGTCATGACATTCTCTTCCGGCAGGAGGCTTGAAGAGGGTTATCTCGGTTCGCAGATTGGTGAGCCGTCATTCGGAGACGGTTTGGCTCGGACTCGGGAAGAGCAGCCATAAATAATGAGCTAGACGACTTGGTTGTGACCATGGTTGAGCCGGAAAGTGAGGAGCTTTGAGTGTTCTGGACCTTGCTTTGTGGCGTTGAGCAACCAGACAATAGCCGCTATACTTGGAGGAGGAGTATAGTCCGATACGTCTCGTTCGTGAGAAGTCTCATCTGACGACGAATTAGTTAGCATGGGGTCTCTCTTTATAAGTCACAATTTTGTGAAGCTGAATTGAGGTTGCATTACTGCTTGTCGCTTCTGGGGGTCAGACTCGGGAAAAGCCCCACGCGGAATAAATTGACCGCGGATGTACAATTTCGTTGACGTTACATGTTAACAATGAGAATGACCCGATGCTTTGCATAGACCCAGATGTGGAGTGTTCCACCTCGTAGCCAAGACAAGAGCTTAGCAGGAGACTATTGTGGTAGTCTGAGAGAGTACTATGAACTAGTCTACTAGTAACGGTCTAACAGAGTAGGGAGATCAACCATCCAAAACCGGACTAGTGTATGTCTGCCCCGGAGATACCTTGATCCGAGGGAAAGAGGAGGCGCAACTTCCACTCCATCATCGCGTCTTACTCGGTCTCTCGTCTCTCACTGCATGGCCGCAGCATCGTACAATATTCCCTAAAGATGCATCAGATATGACTAACAGCATCTTCGTGACTGGATGAGCGTGAGAACGGCCTCCCCGAGGAGTTCGTGAGCGTTGATGGATCACCCCACGGCCGAGACTCGGTTGCTCTCGGGCTCCCCTAAAACTTCCGGTCGGGCGTCGGGATTTGGTGGGCTGATCAAAGGCCTCAACTAGTAATTTACAGCGAGTCATTTTACTTTAGCTCGCTCGCTATTGTGTCTCTTGTGTGACTGACGGCTCTAGGCATGTCATGATAGCAGAGGAACACCACGACCAGAAGTGTTGTATCAGATGCCACAACAGTGATGGATGTGACGGATATGCAGCTCCCACTGGGGGATCTGCTTTATCTGACAGGAGTGAAAGCCCCCTGAACCAATTGCAATAGACTCGATTATCTTTCCACACCCAAAATGCTCCCAGCCCAATCACGGATCGACGGCCTTAGCATCACCTGGAACCTGATTTGACGCGTTAGTCTGGCACCTTCTGTACTTCCCCAGTTTCTCCGCGGAGATGCTCAAAGGCCGCGCCGTTCAAAATTAGTATACACAAGAAAAAAGTGGAAGCAAGAAAAAACTTCTCCCGCCACGGCATGCCGTCCACCCGACTAACAAAAGTCCTCAAGGACCACCTCCTAATTGCTCACCGGATTATAAATACTAGGATAGACCATCACCATCAGGGTGCTTTTCCCCTTACGTTCCCCAAGATCATTCTTTGACTCTGTTCTCTCTTCATACTCTCAGCTTCATTAATCCTGCCAGATCTATCCGTTCGCGGCAGACATATCCACATCAAACAATGGGTCTCACCCAGGAACAAACTGACATCATCAAGGCCACTGTGCCTGTGATTAAGGAGCATGGCAACGCCGTCACCAGCGTCTTCTACAAGAACATGCTCGCCGCACACCCCGAGCTGAATGCCATCTTCAACTCCTCCAACCAAGTCAACGGCCACCAACCCCGCGCCCTCGCCGGCGCTGTCTTCGCCTACGCCGCCAACATTGACAACCTTGGTGCTCTCGGCCCCGCTGTCGAACTCATCTGCAACAAACATGCCTCCCTCTATATCCAGCCCGAGCACTACAACATCGTCGGCAAGTTCTTGCTCGAGGCCATGGGCGAGGTCCTTGGGGACGCCTTCACCCCCGCCATCAAGGACGCGTGGGCGGCCGCTTACTTCCAACTCGCTGACATCATGATCAACCGCGAAGCTGCCCTGTACAAGGAGGCCGACGGATGGACCGAGTTCCGCGATTTCCGCATTGCCAAGAAGGTTCCTGAATCCTCTGAGATCACCTCCTTCTACCTCGAACCTGTCGATGGCAAGCCCCTGCCCTCTTTCCGTCCCGGACAATACATCTCCATCCAGCTCTTCGTCCCCCAACTCAACCACCCTCAAGCCAGACAATACTCTCTCAGTGACAAGCCTCGCTCCGACTACTACCGGATCTCCGTAAAGAAGGAGGCTGGTCTTGATGCCACCGAACCCGGTGCTGAAGCCCACCCTGGCCTCGTGTCGAACATCCTGCACGATCTCAAGAAGGAGGGCGACATCATTAAGGTGTCACACCCCCAGGGCGACTTCTTCCTGTCCGATGCGGAGAAGCAGAGCTCCAGCCCCATCGTTCTCTTGGCAGCCGGTGTGGGTCTGACCCCGCTCACCTCGATCCTGAACACCGTCCTCGAGACGGAATCTGAGACACAGCGCAAAATCTCCTTCGTTCATGGCGCCCGCACCTCGGCTGCCCGTGCCTTCAAGCCCCAGATCCGCGAGCTCGCCACCAAGGTGCCCAACCTGCAGGCCTTCTTCTTCACCAGCCACCCGGCTGCCGAGGACAAGCAGGGTGAAGACTACGACTTTGCCGGTCGGCTGGACCTCAGCAAGCTGGACGCCAAGAAGGACTTGTTCCTGGACGATGCCACAACGCAGTACTACGTGTGCGGTCCCGAGTCGTTCATGCTGGACGTGAAGAACAAGCTGGCTGCCGAGGGAGTGAGCGCGGACCGCATCAAGATGGAGCTGTTTGGCACTGGTGGTGTGCCCGCTTGATTGCGTCATCAACAAATATAGATTGCATACACTTATCTGCTACCGATACAGATAGAGTAGAGCTTTGCATTATGGGTTACGACTGCACGGGTTAACCTTTGTACATATTTTATAGTTCTTTAATACCCTCCACTCAATTAATCATTTCGTTATACAGTATAAAGACAAGTCATCCACATTCCATTACTCAATATACATAAGTAAACAAATCACACTTATTAAACATTTCTTCCAGGTTACCACTGCCAATGCAGAATTTATTATGTATGAAAATTATCCACACAATTCACCTAATATTCACATCGAAAAGAAAATTCCTTCCCCCCCATCTCACACTTAATTACTACCAGCACCCTCACCCAGCGCCACCCCCTTCAACTTTGCAAAATCCGGCGTACCCAACCCCGACACAGGATCCCACCCGGTCGTGGCATTCCAACTAGCAAACGGCACAACAGGACTACCATTAGGCGTGCCCCCGAACCGATTCCTCCCATCACAACCCACACTCCCGCCATTCACAATATCATTCAACGCACCCTTCTCACTTCCGACACCATAAAGGAACGGATTCAAGAAACCCATCACAGGCAACCCCGCCCTCAGTCTCGCATCATTCAACAACGCGATGACGCCACTGAACGTCGGCGCGGAGCAACTCGTCCCGTCAAACTGGCCAAGCATGCCCTTGTCGTAAACAGCGTAGTTGACGCCCTGCGCGGAGACGTCGGGGAAGGCGCGGCCGGAGGCGTTGAAAAGCCCCGAGAACTTGTTGCCCAGGTGCTTGGTGAGGTAGGTTTGCACTGCGGCGTGTTGGTAGGAGGGGCGGGGCCAGAGGTCGGAGAAGCCGCCGGAGGAGAAGGAGACGGCTTGCTCGGGGGAGGTCTTGGAGGTTGCGCCCACGGAGGTTACCCAGGGGCAGGAGGCGGGGAATTGAGGAGGGAAGTGGGTTCGGTTGGTGCCGTCGTTGGTGAGGCAGGCGGCGCCGACGCCCGAGTCGCCGCTGGAGAAGATTACAGAGACGCCGCGGCTGCCGAGTTGGGCGTAGAGGTTGCAGACGGTGCGGGCGTAGGGGACGGGGATAGTCTGTTGGTGTTGTTAGTTTGGTTGAGAGAGGTGAGGGATTGAAAATGGAATGGGTCAGGTGAGGTGCATACCTGTTCGTCTTCACCGTACGAGGTAGAGATGACTTGTGGGAGGTCGGAGTTGTTAAGCTTGAGGATTCCCTGAAGGAAGTCAAGGTAGGGCTCGTTGCTGTTGTCGTTGGGGTCGGGGGAGCTCAGGTCGGGGACTAGTTCGCCGCGTCCGCCGGTGCTGTACTCGGTGATGGGGACGGGCGCGCTGACGCCCAGGATGTACTGCAGGTCGAGGTTGGCTTCGCCGCTGTCACTCGTTGAAAGCTGATCGTTGAGGCCGCCGTTGAATTGGACGACGCTGAAGTTCTGGCCGATGGCATTGGGAGCCAGGTGCTGCTCGAACCTCTCGAGATCGGCATACCGGGCGTATTCCTCAAGGTAGCTGGCAAAGCCGATCTTGCTGCCGGACTTGGGATCGGCCTGGTAGTCACCGATGTTGTACAGCTGCTTCAGACAGTGCGGTGTGATGATGGAGTCACAGTGGGAGGTGTTCTGGGCCAGGGTGGCTGCGGTGAGGAATGTCTCGTCGGCGTGCTTGGGCTTGCTGCGCATGGTGGCACGGTTGGGCTGGATCTGGCCAAAGCGGGTGGTGGGCTGGATCATGTTGATGTGCGAGACCAGGGCGTCGGGGATGGAGTATTGCAGGGTGCGCAGACGACGAATGTGCTTGGCGTCGCTGACATACCACTTGAAGTCGGCATCCAGCAGGGCATTGGCCTTGTTTACGGTGGTATGGAACTTGACCCAGTCGGCGTCGACCTGGATATTGTGGACACCGGCGGATTCCAGCCAGTCGCGGACTGAGTCGACGGCAGTCTCGCTGGGGGAGCAACATGCGCTTCATCTCATCGTGGGTGCGGAAATGCTTTCCATAGTCGGCGTGTCCGGGGGTGGACATATCCATCACGGCTTGTTCGAAACCGGCGACATCGTTCTGCTGAAGGGCGATTTGCAAGCGAATAATCTCGTTGCCTTGAGGATTGTTGGCGTATCTCCAGCCTGGTAGTATTCGAAGGAATCACGTCAGTATGTGGCTCGAAATGAAGAATTGGGGTCTGTAACTCACCATTGGGGACGCCGGATAGCTTCTCAAAGATCTCCGCGGCTACAGGTGAAGGGAGCAGCGACAACACCGCGAGGGATACGGCTGCTCCCTGGCTAAGGAGAGACGACAGCATGGTGAAAGGCTGCCGAAGAGACCAAGATGAGGGGATTGAAGACGGCAAAGGGAAAGTGAAAGGGACGAGGAGAGATAAGTAGTATTATTTATTTGTTTGTTATGGGGTATTATTCACCGGTAGGACTATCATTACTGCCGCTGCAGGCGATTAAGACTGCGATGTGCATACCATTACTGTATCGGGGGCTGGGAGGGACGCTGATTGGGTCCGCTGCGAGGGTAGCCGAAGCTGGAGGTGACACTAGCGCCATCCTGTCCGGCTGATCGACAGGGATATCCTATCATTCCGCCGTATTATATCTTTGTGTTACCTGCTTTGTTTTTGTCGAACAGCCCAAGATTTCAGTGTACCGCAGGGCGTCCAACAAACCGGTTGTTTGGCTGGCTTGCACCATCCCCGCCAAGATCGTGCCAGGACCGGGCTTCTTATGATTGGCTGGGCGGAAGGCGGGAGAACAAGTCGGGTGCCACTCGAGTGCAACCTCAGGGACCGCCCAGCCTGACCGGCTCCACCCGCCTTCCTTCTCCCTTTCCTGGTTCTTGGCACGGCTAGCAGAATTGATAGTTCTGCTCCTATTTCGTCACTTTGGTAGTTTCTCCCCCGCTTTCTTGATAAGCCACTAGCTAATCGGGCCAATGCCGTAATTTCTGCAACATTGGGCTATCCTGAAGAGGCAGGTCACTGGGGCTGCATGATCAGGCACATGCTCTCTCCATGTTATCGTCAATCTACAATGTAGTATTCTGCTGTCATGGTCTCAGTCAAGGATCAACTTTTCCGATGCTCTCCCCGGCTCTCCGTCGGGTGTAAAATCCTCTTCTTCTTGGTGTGGGGAAGCGAGTCGGAACAGGATGGATAGACTGGCACTGGCGTAGTGAAGTCAAAGATGCCATCATCAGAGCAACATTGGGAGCCAGTATCTATTGTATGCTGGTCACTCCAAATCTTCTCCCATTAGCCCCCATCATCTGTTATTGTCTTCTCCGGAACCCACAATTCTGCCATCAGTCAACTATAAATAGTCCGATCTGCAATGGACCTCAGCTCTCGGCAGCCCACTTTCCCCTTCTCTTGTACCCGAATATGAGCAACCGATAATAATACATAGTTGATAATTCAAGCGTGTGGTAATCTTGACAGCAATGACTTCCGTCCTCTTGCCAGGACCTGGATTTTTCCTCCGACATGCTCCCCGAGACATCAACAAACCTTGTGTTGACAGGAATGTACTCCGCGGCGCCTATCTGTATCTAGAAAAGATCGGCCATAGCCATTGTCCAATGACCATATCTTTTAGCTTGGCCTGCTGCAGGTCGTTGGAATTAATTTGCTTATGATTAAGCTCTCTGTTGTCGGGCTATGAATTTATTTGCATCCATAGTATATATCACTTTCCCTTGTCTCGGAGAGATTCCGTTTTTGTAGCAGACACAAGGCCGATGTGCTTACTCTGTAAATTGGCCTTATGATAATATTAGAAATAGGTACCCAGTATTAGCGAGAGAGTCTCCCCTACTTCGACCAAAACATTTGCAACACCGCGAGGTACTGTAGTTTCGTAATGAGCAGCAGCAGCAGCAGCAGCAAGTCAACTATAGAAAGGGTCGCCTCAAACAGTTCGCGAAATACCCAATATATCCCCAGTACATGTACCGTTTCGGTCGGCTCTTCCATTCCTTCTCCTATGCGAACTGCCATGCAGAGTCACGTGTCTGTATCACCTTCGCGATATCTTCCCGCAAGCCGATTTTGCAGGGAATCTCCATCAAATCTCCATCCCACTTCATGCTGTCCCGATGTAACATACCTGATTGATCTTCTTTCATGATGCTATGCAAGCCCGTGCCGCTGCTACGCGGTCAAAGACGAACGTTGCACCGTCCTACCATTTTAATCCGAGCAAACCTCAGTCAGTCATGCCCCTTTAGTTGGAATGCGACCCATGACTCGTATAACTACACCAGGAGTCGCTTCTTGGTAAATGAAGATCACGAGAGGGCTATACGCCGGGTAAAATTCAATATGAGTGAGCTACTAGAGTGTGCGGCTAAATCGGTTGGCTCTTCGTACGATCAATGCGTTAATATCGAAAGACTCCCGGACGGGATGTTTAATAAAGCCTTTCTTTTCACCATGCAGGATGGTACGCAAGTTGTAGGTAAAGTGCCAAATCCGAATGCTGGACGGCCTTATTATACCACTGCTAGTGAAGTGGCGACGATGGATTTTGTAAGCAAGTTTGATGCCCTGCAGCCCACTAATGAATTGTCTAATGCTCACTTATAGGTGAGGGAAAAGCTAAGCACTCCAGTGCCGAAAGTATTAGCTTGGAGCTCAAAAGCGAATGAGAACCCAGTTGGAGCGGAATACGTTATCATGGAGAAGGTTGGAGGTGTTCAACTTGGTAAAGTTTGGCCACGGATGAATTTTGAACAGAAATTTGAGCTCGTCAAGACACTCTGCGGGTATCAAAAGGCCTGGATGTCAAAGTCCTTCACTCAATATGGAGGTCTCTATTACTCAAATGACTTGCAAAGTAACCGTGGGTGCATCCTCGTTGATGAAGATGGGTCTCAATCTAGAGACGATCGATTTGCTATTGGTCCAACAACAGGAAGACAGTTTCTTGACCATGGTAGAATTGACGTGGACTTCGATCGTGGTCCATGTAAGTCTCTCCTAATTTAGCATGTCAATAATATCTGCTCACACGATCTCTCCAGGGAATAATCTGCTTTCATACAAGTCAGCAATTGGCTTTCGAGAGCTCGCATGTGTACAGGATATGACCCAGCTACCGCGGTCACTTCTAGGGCTTTACGGTCCTGGTACATATCGTCCTTCGCGTCCCAAAAAGGTGGCTGCTATCCAAGACTATCTCCGTCTTGTGCAATTCCTCCTTCCCACTGATGGCTCGATATCTTCTGCATTCTTATGGCATCCTGATCTACATACCGAGAATATCTTCGTCGACCCCGAGAAGCCGTCAGAAGTCTTAGGCATCATAGACTGGCAGTCCAGTGGAGTTTTACCCCTTTTTGATCATGCGCGTCAGCCATATCTTCTTGACTATGATGGTCCTCCGGCAACTGGAATCGACCGACCAAAATTGCCTGAGAACTTTGATCAACTTGATCCTACCGAGAAAGCAGAGGCCAAAAGACTGTATTTGAACATCTCACTTGCAACACTTTATAGAAAACTCACTTTTGCCAAAAACAAAAAATTGTTCGATGCTATGGAGTTTCAGCAGACATCGAGCTTTGACATGATGCTAATCGCTCAGAACCTGCTTATCGACGGGGAAGCTCTATACCGGGCCAGAGTCCTTGAGCTTAAAGAGGAGTGGCCCTATCTCCCAGGCGTACAAGCTTCCGGCATTCCACCATTTCCTTTGCAATATACTACTGACGAGGTCAGTGCCATTCACGAAGATGAGGGTAAGGCATCCGAAAGCATGGCGTTGATGCGGGGCGTGGAAGAGTTTCTGGGTAAAATGTGGCCGGAGAAAGGCATCGTGCCGCCTGAGCGGTATGACGAAGTAAAGGAGATTCTCGGATATGTTAAAACAGACTTGATTGACCAACTTGCACATTCCGAGGTAGACAAAATTGGATGGGAAAAGGCATGGCCATTCGATGACTGACTTGAGGCTCACTTCTGAAATTACCAGTACTATGGAGATGATTGAATTTACAGTCTTCCTTATTCACTGAAAGCAGCCTCCAGTCTTTTGGTCTCTACGTTTCCCCTTTTGTCTCACACCCCTTCATCAAATACACCAACTCAGTGCCGGTGGTTCAAACACTTGACTCCCTCCGAGGTTATCCTGAGTTTCTCTTCGCTGGGCGGATATCCTTGCTTATCAGTACCTTTGATACGTTCTTATGCAGTAATCACCGTCATGGCAGCACCAAAGTTTGTCTGCGCTAACCTGAAGCCTGACTGCACTGACTGCAAAGAAGAGGGGAAATTCGCGTGCAAGGGCTGCCGTCTCGTCAATGTACGTTAAGCCATAAGCATCAAAGCTTTTCAGACAGCCGTGTTATACTAAACATTATGTCTATACAGTACTGCGGTCCAGAATGCCAGAAGGCCCATTGGCCTCAACACAAAATAGACTGCAAGTCATCGCTTAGTAAGGAAACATGGCAGCCAGCTTATATGCTTGAGCGGCAACAGCTTTCATTGCCTTCTGTAATGGCTTCAATGAAATTTGCTGGACCAAATAAGTACCAGTGGGGCAATACCCCTGCCGTTGATGTTCTTCAACTCGAATCAAATTAAGGGAATTGCTATGACGGCGACCTTCGTCTCTTATTTACCGATGTGTTTAATTTGTTTTTTTTATATGAAGGCGATAGTTGACCAAACATTTTGTTGCTTCAGCTTCAGGAGACCTCCGGAATTTTATTCAGACAATTGCTCGGCTTCCGGGGAGCTATGATCGTTCACTTGAGGTTACAATCAACGATAACGACTTTGACGTTGTGGCCCGCAACATTATCATGCTCCTTCTCCTCCAAGGAACGGGAAACGGCGATGCAGTAGTCGATTGTATCATTCATCTTTAGTTCTCGGCTTTTGTACGTGAAGCCGACATGGAGCTGCTTGGACAACGTGTACGTCCTTTGATTGAGAACTTCTGCCGAAAGGTAAAGGATGCCACACCAGGAAGCCTCATACCCAACACGTGGAGATTTGGGCAGCGCTCTTTGAGAGTCATTCTTCTAGACAAGGAACCTTGGTCTCGCATCTTGACTTATTTCGATGTACCGACAGGCTTGACGGTTGAACGCGCGCGAAGCATCCGTACAGCTAATACTTTAGCTGAAGCAAGAAAAGCCTTTCGTGAAAATTATATGTCCGGTTTGCCACCTTCCCACCGCATCGCTTTTCACAAATTTCGGGAAGACGGCCTCCTGCTCCCATTTGGACATCCGCGCTTTGATTTTCGAGTGCCGAACCCATAAGTCGACATAAGACATATATAATACGTCTTGATGCTAACGGTCAGTAGCACACTCTTTCATAGCCAGGATATTTGGCCAGTCAGGGACATTGCAGACCCTAGAGAGGGCTGGGAATGGAAACAAGTTCACGATACGTCAAGCGGGCCTGCAACTGCTGATATTTACGGGAAACTATTCTACCATGTTCGCAGTGTCCTTCAGTCTTTTCTCTGCCGTGTTTTCGGATTTGGATCTTTCGCTCACACTCCATCATCTCGATGCCCTGGAACTCCCGAATCACCTTCCCGTGAATCATTTCGGTCGGTTCGATGTAAGACACATTCCTTGCCTTTCGGTGGAAGTTTGTTCTTGCCCAATATGGGCAATTTCAGTCTACCTAGGCTGAATTTGTTCAGAGATAAGGTTTCGTGGAGGGTGCTAAATAGCTCTGTACAGGCTTCCAACTTTTCGGACCAAGGGTATTTGGGAATCCACAGAACGCTAAACGCGACGGTGCCCTTGCTCCAAACCCCTGTAGATAATCCGCATGCTACCCTTATCACATTCTTTCTCAACGCTGTTGATGAGACCTTAACCGCCCAGGATAAAGCGAAAGAGACGTTCGAGCTTCCTACCAAAAAGCACATCTCCGGATACCTGCCGTCCAAGGAGCAGTCAATTATCACTCAATGTAATAAAATTGGCCAATTGATAACAGTGCAGGCCATGATCAAAGACTTTAGCCACATCTTTGAACGGTAAGTTGGAATCCAATGAAACATGAAAGAAGATGGTTCATACCGCTGACATGTGAGCAATAGTTATATAGTCAAGCACAGGATGCGTGAGGCTGCCAAATCGATGGGGACAGTGATGAAGCAAAGCCATACCATCGTCGAAAAGTGGCCATTTAGAATGAAGCTCCTGCCCGGCCAACCGGTAACACAAGCAGAGTTTGACCAATGCCTGGCTATAGGCGTAACGGGGAAGGAGCGTTACATAGAATGGAAAAGGATACACCATGTCGCAAATTAGTAATACGGCACCTTGGATGGCCTTGGTCCGCGGCAGGGGTCATATTCAAAAATTTGAACGTCAACTGAGTCTTCGATCCGATGGTCGGCGTCACACATCTTCGCGTGTCACAGGGCATGATTAGGGACACTTTCGCGAGGAGTTGTGATGAAGGATGGGGTTGGGAAGCTAAACCATGAAGATTTCTAGTCATATTTCCATCCATGATAATTTTTTACCAATCGTTTGTTTCTTAGGGTACAGGCTTATCAGCCAGCAACACTTAATAGCTAATACAATTGACATACTGCATCTCGTACAAACATTCCTTTAGGTGTAGTTTACTTGCAGTGATACAATCCCATTACCATGCCTATATCACTACACAGGCATGATTTTAATTCAATCTGCAATGCAATGCAATGCAATCTACAAAGGTGAAGCTACTGCCAACCAATGAATATCCCAGTCATAACTTCATTCCCTAGATAGAAGAAGTGAAGATATTACTAGTTATATAAATATCGAGATAATTTCTCTAATCTTTCCTCTCTTCTCCTCATCAACCACTTCCATCTACTCTACTTCATGCCAACTGGCCTATTAATCCATAGGTTTCTGACACCTTTTATATTTATGTGACCTACTAGTAGTCAGAACTAATTGATGATCTATGTTCTCATTGTACATACCAAATCTCAGACCTCAATGAACGTCTGGGAAACGGGAATGTATGATAACAAGTCGGGTTATGGAACAATCGTCTCTGAATCAGATTCAGCAAATCTGATCAACGACACCCAATATAGCAACCTATACCCAAGCCAACAGAGCTAGACCTTTGAAAAGACAAGTGTAGCTACAGAAAATGCAGTCGACTCAGACCAGCTGAGAGCTCTGGGTATATTCTAATGCTAAATGCCTCGTCGGTTCTAAGTACCTCCCGAAACTCATACTGTTCGGTCATATAAATGAATCAACCGTTCTCATTATATAACTCGAATTGCTACAAGGTACCAGCTATGTTTGGTAGATCTGGCTTTCTGCCATCATTGCAAGTCTCAATCTGAATCATGGGAGAATACAGAAGGTGCAGATATCTCCTATAGGAGATATCGGGCAGCACCAGAATACTGCCTGGTGACCTTCTTGTATACATTGCTATCGCTGCATTTATAAAGTAGGCAGAGTGCGCAAATGCGACACTATGGATGTCCGACAATCGTGGAGATAGGACCATTTCCTTAGTCTCGGGTTCCTTTGAGCGGCTTTCTGACCTAATTATCTCGTAATCGCGAGTCAATGGGCACTGTTCAAGAATATGGCCGTACACCAAAAGCCATTTTTGATATGTGCAAGAATCCAGAAATTTGCGAGGCGCTCAATGGGGCCCTTTTTGCTCCGAATACCTCGCAGCGTCAGCATTCAAGCCACTTCTTTGGCAAGACATCATCAGAGATTTTACCGCCCCCGCATGGAGAGAAAGAGTTCTGTGAGTTTTGCATATTCTTGATATTGATAGAAGCTCATAACAACATAGCCTTCGCATAGTCCTCTGTACATTCGTCTTCCTGGCTATGCCTGTTTCCATCTCAAAGGCACTGCCTTATGGACTATCATCATTCGCTATCACGATAGTCTCGAAGCTGCAGGGAATAGCGGGTCCGAGAGACAAAATAGATATCTTGTTATTCCTAGAGCAAGTGGTTGTAGTCTGGTGACTACAAGAGAAATTGAAAGAGAAGATCGACTTGACCCAAGCCACTGTATCAGTTATGTCGTGGCCTTGTGCTGACACTGTAACAGGCTGTCGCTGGCCCTGGTGCTGCACGTTCCTGGGCCAACAACTGACATATACAGACTTACATGACGGTCCGATCCTTCTGTGGCTCCCAAGGCCACGTCCGCTCCCTCCTCCTGTCCCCATACCACGGGTGAGTCGTTCCTGAAAAGGTTCGACGAAAAGCACCCAGCTTCCATTAATGAACGCTGCTCTCGCATCATGCAATCGTATAACACAGGGATCTTGAGCTGAAGGATGATCGCAGGGGTGTCTGGGGTAACCATGAAGTAATCGGACCTGTCGAGGCATGGAGCGTCGTATGATGGTGCAGAGATGTCATCGATAGCGGTCTATCTGTTAGCTATCAGGTTAGTGAACAAAGCGATGAGATATGATAACATCCACCTTACCTCAGGTTTTCGTGAACAGCCAGCTAGAGTTACTGTTACTCTCTGGCTTTTTCTACCCTGTTAGTCACCGCAAGCGCCGCGGAACAAGGCGGTATTTTCCATGCGCTGCAGGATTCCTTTTCGTCATAGCTGAAGAAGATGACAGCCTTCGTTAACGACTTAGATACATCGGTATCAATACACACATTTAACTGGAACTGTCAAGATGTATGTAAAGATAATGGCGAGATTGGAAAGTAGGTGGAGAGTAATAAGATGGTAACCTACCTTACGTTATTCATTCTCCTAAGATGATCCTTACTCATTCAATCCACCGCTTATTGCCCTATAATTCATTATACAACCAGAAAGAAGGTACCATTAGCTACCCGAACAAAATCGCAGACAATACTCTCCCCAGACACCCTCTTTATCGTTATTGCTGAGGGCCAGTCAAATACAGACTACAGTCAACCTCTTACTTCTCTGGATACCATAAAAGTGCATGAGTAATCTGAGGAATCACCATCATAGCAATGATACTATAGAGACTCAGTACTTGGAACTGCAGTTTCTATTTCTTTCCCTTGGGCTCCATGGAGGTCGAACCAGCCACTGCTAAAGAAGATATTGTCATTGTCCTGAACTCATGCTTCTCATCGGGGTCCGACCATTAAGAAATTGAGAAAGCTACTCAGCTACACTGTTAGCGTGCTGCATGAATTCCGAGACTAAAGTCCAGATCCATCCTAAATACCAGCCCATCACATATCGAGGAACTTGTTTCCTGGCCAGAGAAATCGTGATCCGGGATTAATTCTTCTCTGTTGAATGATGGAAGTCAGTCCGTATCTGATCAATATCATCAAATCGATGACATCGCAATGGACCAGTATACTTCGAAGAGAGGCCGAGACTGCCATTGGCATTAATGCACCACTCTGAAAGTATTTTGTGGAAACTTAGTCATGATTATATGCTTTCCCCCTCGTCGGTCGAATCTGGGGAAAGGGCAAAGGGCAAATGCCTCATCTTCTGAGGTATGCTCGATAAGAGTTACCACCATTGCAACTACTTACTATGCCGATATTCCATCCTATTAAGTACATTCTTTCCAAGCACCATCCACTCATCTGAGAATCCAACAGAGGCACTAGAACATAGTTGTCCAGAATGGTGTCGGGCGGCGGTGCTCGCTAACAGGGATGTCATTTAGATGCCCCGATCTGCACATTCCGACGCAAAGATAAGAAGAGATCGAGCAGACCGAGAAGAAGAAATCTGAGAGAGAGGTTCCTTGATTGAGTCAGTAAATTGCAATTTTATTCTCTTACCCTGGACAGGGGAGCAGACTGACTAAGTATGACAGTTTGGATATATAGCAGAACGAGGCTGCACGTATAGAAATGCTAAATCCTTATCTAAGTTATTCTTCCAAGAAACCACCACTACCAACCACCTACGTGCGTGTTTTTCTTCTAGTAGTTAAATATGTGGTCCGTTGTCGCTGCGCGAAACTGGTATTACCTCTTGATGATCGATGGGTCAAAGACTCGTCTCGAAGACAATTACGGTTCACTGTTGGAAATAGCTGGGGTGTACTGTATCTCGGTAGATCTTACTGTAGGTCTTCCTACTATAGATAGTTCAATACTATGCAAATTCAGACTTCTTCAAACGTGGACCCATCTATGAGCCTAACTCTACTTCATTCCTGACACATCGAATACCTTCACTTCACCACCCCAAATTCAACCCGGGTATATTCTATCAACGTCCAAAAAATCCTCTCCCCTACATCTAGCACTCTATCTATTTCTCATCTCCTAAACCCAGTACTTCCTCCACCTTCCTAAACTCATCCCTCATTCTAGCAACCCTCTTCCCATTCGTCTCTCTCTCCACAAGACAATATGGATCCTCCCACCGCGGCCCGTCCCGGTACCGATGAAGATTCTCCAAATTTCTATGCTTCAGTTTCTGCGTAGATTCCTGATCCGTGTTCGATGACGTCGACGTCGTTCCACTTTGTCTTCTTCCGACGTCTGAGTACTCCGCCTCTTTAATTGTGGAGAGTGATGTGATAGATCGCGTGGTACTTTTACATCAAGGATATGTATACACTCCAATTAGCTTTCATTCATTACAGGGAATGGAAATTGACTACGTGTTGATTGGTAAAAGTACTTACCTTGTACTAGAGGTAGTTTTGGGCATTCTGATTGGGTTTGTTTTGGATTTGGGGTATGTCGGTAGATAAGTAAGTAGTATTCAATGTAAGGAGTAGTTGGTGTAACGGCAGCAGTAAGTAGTATAGAGTAAATCCGGATTGTATGATATGATAATAACTAGCCAGAGATTGGATGTATAGTACTAGTATATTTCTTCGAGAACACTTCATCTGGCATTGTATACACCAATATATACCCCCACACACATACACACAGACCGACAAAAAGATAAACATAAGAAGAGAGCGAGAGATTTACAGCCTCATCAACTTCCTCTTCATCACTCACTCACTACTTACTACACTCTTCACAGCCCACCGCCCGTCAAAAGCAGGTCTAGAATGAAGAACAAGCAAAAAAGTGAAAATGAAGCGAGTAGGCAACGACCGAGCACTCCCCTCCATTCCTTCCATCACAATGCATCACTTCATCTCATTTCCGCTCAGTGCAGACCGACCAGGCCAGATCGCATCCTGCTTAACGCACAGAACCAGTCCCGAGGTAGCAGGGAAGTACTTATCCGAGCCTACCTGTAAGCGATAATAGGTTTCAACATCTACAGTAAGAGTGTGTGTGTGTGTGTGTGTGTGTGGTATCAATGCAACTCCCGGTCCAGACTCCCATCAGGTACATCCCACATGTACCCAAGTAACCCAGTAATGTGTATCCAACAAAGTAAAGTAGGTATTGATTCGATGACGACATGCACACAATCCCCTCCCGAAAAAGCAAAAAGTGGGTGGATTGTCGGGCGGGAATTATCGGCCGGTCTGGATCGGTCGGGCCAGCCAGGACGTTCTAGAATCATTTTCCTTGATTCTGTTCTGGAGGGTGTGTCGGGGTCAGAGTCGGGGATAAGAGGGTGGGCTGGTTTGTATTTCAATGCATACTTTGATTATTTAGGAGCCTAGGTAGTCTGGTAGTCTTACTAGTGATTTACTGTTTGTCCATTGGGTATTGGGTGTTGGGTGTTGGTTGATGAGTAGAGATTTCGCAAGGCTGGATGCATTGGGTGGTGACGGGCGGGGTTTGGGCCTTGTCGGTGTAACGGATGGGATGGGTCCAGTGACGGGTAACTTGTTTTGACTGTGGTCTAGGTCTGTCTTTTATTTTTTTTATTTTCTGTTTTGTGCGTCTACTCTGGAGTCTTTACTTATTACTTCGTAGAAGTTTCAAGATAAGTGAGTAGAAGTAGTTGAGTGGATTAGGTCGAACTTTTTATCTCCGGGTATATATCAACACAACACCAAACAATCCCATAATTCGCCGCCCACGACAGGAGAGGGCCATGAATAAAAGTCCCAGATGTAGTAGTAGTAGTAAGATAAGATGTAAGAAACAAAAGAAAAGCAAAGAGAATCATAATATTATACAATATCCGTGACGGTCATTACAAGGGGATCTGGGTAGAGATAAGACACCGCATCGCTTGGCTTAAGCGTGAAACGCCTCACTCCCCTTGCTATGTCGCCACATCCCGTTCGGGACCATGCTTTGTTTGAGCATGGCAAGCTCCTTCTGGAGCACCTTGTTTTCCTCCTGCAATTCTTGCATGAAGGTGATGGCATTGGTCAGGATCTCCGACTTCTTCAGCGACGCCGAGCCCCCCTTGGTGGGCTTCTGAACTCCGCCGCACATCGCCTTCTCCAAGGCAACGAACTTGGCGTTCATGTTCGTGCGGTACCGCTTCTCGATGATGTTGTGCGCCGCCCGCTTCGCCGCATTGCGGCCGGTGGTGGTCTGGGCCTGACCCGTGCTGGCGTTGGAGTCGCTGGAGAGACTACGGGTGGTCTTGCGGGCGGTGTTGTTGGCGGCAGGGGAGGAGGGGGCGGGCGGGGGTGAGACACTGGTGGCGGGGTAGTCCTGCGGTGTAATTTCCGGACTGGACGACCACCTTGTCGCCGTAACCTCGCGGGGCTTCGGTTGAGACGCAGTCTTGCGACGGGTAGATGTTTTGGAAGTGCGAGCAGCAGGCTTGGGCAGCTCCATGTGGATAGGCTCAAGGGGAGAGACACGGCAGGTGGGAGACCATGATTGGTCGTCACTGTCCAGGTCCTGATTGAGTGTAATGTTAGTTATAGTTCATCATTCAAAGTCAATGGGGTATAGACATACCGAAGAGAGAGAGCCGCAGGAGGCAGCATCTTCACCCGAGTGGTTGGAGATGGTGAACGCACTGATATCTGGGGGTGGGGCGAAGAAGTCGGCGGGAAAGTCCTTGGGGTCCAAGTTCATCATCTCGTTGGACATCTCCAAGGGGAAAGTCTCCGGCATCATGGTGTTGAGGGAGAAGAGATCGATGGCATTGTCGTAGCTCCAGTTAGCCGACAGAGGATCGGGACCCTTGGCGAAGGTATCGTTGGGACGAGTGAGTGGGCTCGGATGGCTCATGCTGTACATCCGCTCGTCGTCGAGCGAGAAGGAATCGGGCCTGGGGTATGCCATACTAGTGGACTTGGATGGGGTTGAATTGGATGGATGACGATGTAGATTGTCTGATACTTGGTGTGTGGGAGGCAAACTTGATGGTCGACAGTCAAGGTCGAGTGGCAAGTAGAGGAAGGTGGATAGAGGCAAGAGATGGGTAAATATAGAGAAGCTGTTTGATATTGAATCGTGGATCGGAAGGATGCTGGGCAGTAGAGAACATCGGGGGATGGACTATATAAAGGTTGAAGGTTTCAGGAGAAGCCGGTGTCAGAAACCGATCGCCAGGCCAGCCGAGACGCAATGATGTAATGGCTTGCAACGGTCGAAAAAGTCACGGCCAGCGAGAATAATGAGGGTCAGCATAATTGGACTGGAGACGCGCAAGAAAAGCCATGACCATTGTCGAAACGATAATTGCACAGGGCCGGTGAAGGGGGACCGAGAGATCACCCCAGCCGGATGCAGGGCATCCAGCCTCGGTCGGCTCCGATGTCTGCCGTCGGAAGGCCCATTTTAGCCATTTTGGGGGGGGGGAGGGAATGAATGAGAAGCAGGGGAAAGCTCAGCAGGAGAGAGAGAGAGAGAGAGCTGAGGCAAACTACACAGCTTGGAGTAGTAGACTACTACTAGAGTACGTACTAGACTCCCGCCAGAAAATAGAATTAAAAAAAATTAAAAAAGGAAAAAATCAAGAGAAAAGACCGGATTGGAGAGCCGTGGAGGGCGGGATCGGTGGATCGATCGATGCACAACCGTTGGACTGGCTTCCCTCTCGTTTGCCCCGCTATTCCTCTTGAGGTTTAGTCTCCCGCCAAGTACCGCCGCGGCCGAGTCTCGGCTCCGACATCTTCGGCCGGACGAGGAGGAAACTCGACAAAACAACCAGAAGAACAGCTGGACAGCTATGCTTTTTTTTTTTTCTCCCTTCCCTAATCACTCTTGTCCAACATGACTCCTCCGTCTTCGACTGCTCCATACATCCTACTGACCAAGATGGCAATAGTCAAATGCGGAATTAATCTTATCCCTGCCTGCCTAGGTTTCTTCACGAGGCGACAACAATGTCGCTCGCTTGCCTGTTCCAGTTATTTCATCCGTTCTGCACAGGTTTTATTCTCCTTCATGGATATGACCGATGCATGTGGTAAACCTCAAGTTGGAGGCAACATACGTAGACTGAAACTAAACGAGGGGCAATTCTCCAGTCTCCTTCGCTAGTACTTTGTGGTGTCTGCATGCTGTCTAGATACGTAGTGTTTGCCCGTCCAGTCTGCCTTAGGCCGCCATGGTTCAGGTACCCTCAGTCGCGGCCGCAAGTGGGTCTGTTCTGGCCTCCATGGCTTCTCCTGTGTGTCCTTTGTGTTCCCTGGTAATAATGCAGATGCTCAAAGTTAATTCGCTTCCAACAGCAATACACGAGTAGTAAGTAATTTGTCGGAGGCAAAGACGGGGGTTACAGATGACAAGCCATACCACCTGCACAGTTCCCTTTCCGTCCTGAGTCCCTCCTGAATAGACCGAGTTGTACTACACAAGATGTAACATACAAAATATCTTTGGAGTGCCAAAGTACTATAGGTACTACTTACTACTTGCCACTTACTATGGTGTATTTGTGTACTGAGTATGTTTTCATTCCCTGGGATAGCCGCATCCACCAATCATGAGACGGTCATTGGCAATGAAATGCCCCTTACTGTCCATCTCAACCAGTCAGGTGGCCAACAATCCGCATTTCACATCCTCAATTCTCCGACCGTCTCGCTTACTACGCCTGCTCTGACCACGACGCAGTCCATGATTAGCCATACTATGGATGTACTATCCCGGTCCATCTCAATCCACTACAGTATCTAGGACTTTACTCTCTTCAGCTCTGCCTCCGTCCCTTTTTTTCATCTCCCGCGGGTACTCCGAAGGAACACAGACCAAGTCAGTGGGCCACAGCAACCCCGTTCAGGTGGAGAGAGAGAGAGTGCATCGCCTCCCAATTTATTCTCACACACACACACACACACACACACATCTCATAGCCGACCGAGGGGCCTAGCCAGTCTCCTGGAACATTGGGAGTCCTAGCAACCTCCTTTTCCACCAATTCTTTTGACCTAATGATAATCACAACGATGATGAATCCGCCCAAAGTTCCTGGCTGTGGTTACCCGCCATGACGTCTCGGGAGGTCCCCATCGCCCCTCTTCCCGCTACCACAAAAGCTGGAAAAAGGCTGGCTGGCGCGCTATCGACGGAATCTATCCACGGTAAGTCGCTCTCGGAACCACCAACCCGGTTGGCGCTATAGTCAGCGTCCTAAGAATAAAAATTCTCCTACGAGAAGTGACATACATAAAATCTCCGACCACACTACCCACTGGTCCAGCGCGGACGCTAGTAAATTTCTCGGCTTCAGACGTGGAGAAAATAACCTCGTTGAGTAAGGTTCTTGCTTCTTTTCCCCCAATTTCCCCCCCAATAGTCTCACCTGGCGGACCGGATACCGGGTGCCCAGGGTCTGCGGCAATGCCACCAGTGGTGTGATCCGGCTTCTTCAGAACCCCTTCCTTAGTGCGACGATGCTTCTCGATACACTCACTGTGGCTTGAGATCGCCAAGGATTGCAGAATTCTTCGCGTCGTCGTCGGCCGTATGCCTGCTGCCCCCCTCGGGTGATTGATGACCACCTCTGCCCGATCATCTCGTCCGAGATACTGGGATTGCTCTTGTTCTCATGACACGATTCTGGTTCATCTGGCAGCTGACCTTGTAGCATGTCTCCGGTTAGGTCGTTTCCGACGCACGAGACGCCTGGTGTGTGCCTTGGGCCACCAGATTCTGTATACGTCAAACTCGGCGGAGGTGGACGGCATCTGACTGATGGTCTCGGATGAGGCACCGGCCAGTGCTGGTCAGCCCTACCGTCATGGGTGATGACTGATCAGTGGAATTGATCCAGGATTATGCTCAACATTATTAATGTTCGCTTTAAGGTGTCCCCCCTGGCTGTGAGAACAAGGTTGGGCTTTAGCTTCATGGCACCAGCCCAGAATAGTAACCCCGCAGCACGATTACTCTCCATCGACTTACAGCTAATTATGTTGTTAGCTGGGCTAAGGCTGATAAGATGTTAACAGACGAATGAGTGTGCCAGAAATGTGAAGGTGGTCTTAGATGTCGCGCGATGATGATGAACAACAGCTGCGGGATGGCAGACGAGGTGCTAAGGACAGTTGCGTCAGACGTGTCTACATGACATGTGGATAGATAGCACCAACGGAGTGCTGAACTGATTAGATCTAGTCGAGCCTCATCTTGTTCTTCAACGGCGTCACCGAGATCCACAAGCTCTGACCACCACAAGTTTGGGTTGCCGCGGGGTCCGGGCTTGCCAATTTCCCAAAATTCAGCTCGAGGTCAGCACACCCCGGCTGCTATCCGCCCGGCGGGTGCACTACTGTACGATGCCGTGGGGGAACCGGTCCAAGACCTCCTTCTGAGGGCGGATGAGAATTATCCCGGATGACGGCAGGGCGTGTCGGTTGTTCCTCCTGTGTGTTATGTCACAGCGGCAGGAAACCTACTCCCGGTCGTCATCTTGCTGCTAAAGAGTGTATCGGACTTTATCCTGACGTCGGGGTGGAAAGCCGACCTCATCAACCTTCGGCAGATGGGATGCCGGTAAAGAGGGGCATCCCCCCGCATGAGACTTTCAGATCTACGACTCAGGCGGCAGTTACCTCACATGCCTCCCGGTTACCATGCAAAGACGGTTGGGATCAAAGGAATTATGGTAAGCTATCTACTTGCTCCCGGCCAACGCTTTTACTGTCGTCTCAAAGCTCTCAGGTTCTCGTCCCAAGATTTCCTCCAGGAGCGGCGACACCACGGCCGTCTCCCCGCGACGAATAGCATCCCAAGCGGATGCCCACTCCCGCGTCAGGTCGATACCATGGTAGGTGTGTTTGGATCCGTGCTGCGGTAAAGCCACATACTCATCGACAGAGATCTCCCGCAGCGGAAGGGACTTGCCAACGGCCTGGCCGAGAATCTCGACCGTCTCCTTCAATGAGACCTCCCTGGGGCCAGAGAGCAAAAGCACACGGTTTAGGTAGGGGAACCCCGCCGGATTCTTGGCATAGTCTGCAATCAGCTTCGCCGTGGCCTCCCCCAGCTCGTCACGTTTCACCCACGCAACGCCCGGTCCGTCGCCCGAGTGAGGGATCGCGATCTCGTCTGCGGGGTGGTGGATATCGAACCAGCTGGTGTAGATCGGATAGGACTCCGAGTACAGACCCTCCCGGATAGCGGTGTAGGTGAAGTGCCCGGGAAGTTCGGCCAAATACTTTTCGGTCCGCAGATGGGCGCCCATCACGTGCGCAACGCTAGTCTCCTCTAGATCGCCTGCAAAGGCGAGAGACGAATAGAAGATGTGCTTGACACCGCTGCGGCGGGCAGCGTCAATGGCATTCTTATGTGCCTGTCTCTGATCAGCATCATGCCAGCAATATGCCCGCTCGGGATGTCACTGCAACCTACCTCGAACCGGAACTGGATCTCAAACGAGGCGTACGAGATCAACATCAGGATGCCGATGCCATCGAAGGCGCGCTCTAGCGTGGCGGGGTCTTCATAGTCGGCCCGTCGGACGGTAGCTCCGGCCCGCGTGAGTTCTGCAAGATTATCTGGCTTGCGGGCGATCAGGATCAATTCCGATGCAGGCACCAGCTTGACGAGGTGATTGATGATGCTGGTCCCCAGTCCTCCTGCTGCAGGAAAGACACCGATTTTGGCCATGGTGTGTGCGTAGCGTATGACGTAAGGGTGGTCGCACAGGTGCTCCTCTTTCAAGGCCTCGTGATATGTAGGAACGTAGTGATGGGCTGTGTGTAGATTTGTCCTATGCAATGCTGTGTAGAGGGAAGATGTACAAGTCAGGGGTCGTTGGCTTGATGGTGTGAAGCCCAAAAGGGTGTGTCTTGGAGCCCCGCTGTTGCTGGCTTACAAATCGGTCTGACGTTGAGGGCAGTCATCAGTGGCTCCGATCGACCATCAGGGGTTCAACCAGCTTTGGAGGGGGTTCAACTTGACCCTGAAGGCTATCAACCATCGATTGGCCTCTGTAGAGTAATTAAATCACTCAGGTGAAGGAACAGGAGGCTACATGGCTTTCTCGCACCACAGTCGATGATTCTTGGTCCGGATGCAGGCTGTTTACCGGCACACCCGGAAGCTACCTAGAAATACTCCTCAGCCAAACACATACATTTATACAACAAAAATTATAAATCGACTCGTTATCGAAAAAGTGGTATCTTTTGAGAAAGAAAGCTGCGACGGTAAACTAGGAATAACAAACCATGTCCTTTGGTTCCAGTGCCCCTTCTTACTAGTAGTAGCCACGTGATCGTAGTATCAGTCCTGACCTTTTTGGAAGGTTCAGTGTGTCTTTTGGAAAATATTCCATTTATGGAATCTTGCTCACAAAGTAATGGAGTATTAGTAGTGTCATATTGCTTAATACTACGAGTATCATTGTAAGCTACTAGTGACTTACTAGTAGTACTACTTCCTAGTAGATGCTACTACTACAGGAATATATATATTCTCCCGAGATCGATCAAACACACTACTAATACATCCATCATGATCCACGACACGATCTCCTCCAAACCCCATTAAACCAACCGTTAGCCCGGCACTTCGACAGGTAAAATCAAAATTCATGTTTATTCAAGTCTCACTACTACCTGTAAGTAACATAAAGTAGTACTATCGAAGTGACATTTCCCCTCCCAAGACCAGGGAGGACTGGGTATCGCCCTAATCCCAACACGGCTAGTAAGAAGCACGAGTAGTTGGACCCATCGCGTCTCACCTCACTGGGAATGGTCTATCTCTATTTCAGAAGTATCAATATTACCAGCATCATTATCTTGTTACAGGATTAGTAGAGGCAGACAAGGATAAAGCCTTTCAGGTACAGAGAGGATGAGATTGGGGGTTGTTGATCTGCTCGTGGGATAGAATAGTAGGCTAGGAGCTTTACTATTAACAGCAAGTTGGAAGGTACTATAGATGTATGAGTCGCGATAAGTGCATATACCAAGGATAAAATGGTGGGAGAAAAGGTTATATCTGAAGGCATGCTTGTTCAACGGATACGTATCCTGAAGTTGCACGGCATTATAAACTAGTATAAGGGGAAAGGGAGATGAAATGCATAGAAAAGAATCTAAGGTTTTCGTGGCTCTATTTACTTTTCGCTGTGATGGAATAGAGAAATGCAAATTAACATCGCTTATGAATCAGTCACTCGCAGTAGAGAAGCACCCTGAAGAAAAGATATTCAGGTTGAGGGGATTAAGATCATGAGAATGAACGGGGTGCACCTGTGACGACCAACTCTTTTTGAGAGTCTCGAATTAGCAGTCTTTAGGTCACATATCCATAGTTTAACGGTGCCAATACATTTCCGGATAGAGATAAACAGCAAATTACATCTCTGCAATGCAATACTCCCTGCAATGACTGTATTCAGACGTTGATGTCATCGTCATCATCGAAGCATCTCCTCCCAGTCCTCCATGAATTGCAGAATCCACTTCCACAGATTCGGAGAAGCAACAAATGTATCTTGTCGGATCCTCCGCAGAGGCTCAGCTGCATACTTTGCTTTCCACTCGGACATGAGCGTCAATTGCTTGGCTATTGTGTGCTTGAACACGTTGTTCCGGAAATAGTCTTTCTCATCCCTTTCAACTTTCCACAGGGGTCGGTCCTCCTGTTGAACCTCATCGTAAAGCTGGAGGTAGCGAGGCGAGCGACGTTTTTGTAAGAAGTACTCCCCAATACCTTTTGCAGGGCCAGAGGTAGATTGCCAAGCGGTAGCAAAGAGGGCGTAATCACCGATAGAGTCTAGTCCGAGTAGTCGACTCAGGTTCCAGTAGAAATGGCCTTGTTCAAGCGTTTCGCGGTACCTGCGCACCATACTCGTTTCGGCTGATCCGGGAATAGCTGCCAGGAAACCATCGATGAAGGCCGCATGTAAATCTGGGCTTATCTTGTCGCCATATTGTGGCAACCCGGGAGGAGCTAACAGCATGGAGTCCGGAACAGAAGATGTAAAGGCCCAGTCGATGATACAAGTAATGTTGTAGTCGTCGTCAACATAGATGTTATTGACACTGAGGTCAGCGTGACATAGCGGAAAAGTCCCCTGATTAACAGTGGGGTGTTCAAGCTTGTGTATAATATCGCGGAGGGCATTTCCTGCAACGATGTAATCCAGCCTGTTATCTGCAGAATCAATTTTGTCTCCGACAGCGACGAAGTCATTCCACAGATCTACAGCTTGTCGATATTGCTTGTCGGAATCGTAATCTTCTCTCGAAGGAACTGGAGCCACAAAGCAATGGTGTGATAAGCGCAGACACTCTGCTTGTTCTAGGAATGTGGAAACAAGACTGTCGTAGAACTCTGCATCGGTAGCAAAAGGGCCACGCTGGCCTTCTATCAAGAATCGCTCATGTAACATATAACAGCGCCATAGGCATTCCTTGATTTTGAAGGCTCCGTCTTCTTCAAAAAGTGAGCCTATCCTATCAAGCCGCAACTGCGAAAGCTTCCAGGTGATACCGCCTAACTGTATTAGGACCTTGGCCTTTCTCGAAGGATCTAGGTCAGGTAGGGGGGAGCCGGCTGATACCCAAACCTTTGACAGGGGCCATCCAGGCGCTTGGCTCATGAGCATGAACGGAACTTTGGTTTCATTATCGGACGATGCGCTATGATAGGTTAGGCCCGAAGTATATGTCCAGAGGGGTGCATTACCAATAGTCATATACTTCTGGGACCGGAATATCGCTATGGGCTTTGAGGTATCGGAGCGTAGCAGCTTCACTTGCTAGTAGCTTCACTCCAAGATCAAGAGGCATAAATGTCCTCTGGTGTGGTGATCTAAAGACCCATTGTACGCCATCAGCGAAAAGGATGAAGATAGCCCAGTTGAAGCTTCCTGAGGCAGGACGCTGACTGGGATCACATGTACATGGAATACCCTGGCGTAGTGTGCTCGCCCGACGACACACTGCTTCATGGTCGAAATCAGCGTAAGTGAAGATGTTTTGCTTCGAGCTCGGGGACATATCGGCCGCCGAAAATTTCAAGGATAGAAGGAAAAGAACGAGGGGCCCGGAGAGTGTGGCCCAAACAGGGATGACCAGCAATGCGTCTCACATTGTCTTGGCTCATGCATAAAAGCGGTGACGCCAGCTTCCTCTGGGCCAAACATTGCGTGTAATGAGACCGCAACATCATACCCATTGCAAGTTGCGTAGAATGACAGACAATAAATAAAGTCATCAGGAAGTTGCAACATTTGATATGATTTTTTGTTTTGCTTTTCCTTTCATGAGTGAAAATGGTGAATAACAATAGGGATTAGGGTTCTATCACGATCAAGACGAGACAGATGGTATGCTCGAGTAATGTTATCACCTAAGCTGACTAGCACGACCACAAGTAGACCTAAGATAGGGGTTGCTGCAGGGACAATCTTTCAGGATTCGAAGGAAGTGGTACTCGCTTCCCTGTTCAGGCAGAGTGACTACCACCATAAGTCCTGGCATTATTGGTCAATACATCATTTCGGAGCTATGATGCGATGCTGAAAATGCCGCAGCCTACATACCGCATCACCGGTGCTGTGTCTCATACGTCGGGTATACACACTCGTTTTGGGGTAAACTACGTGTGGCCATAACACATTCCGTCGCTGATAGGCTGTTAGAGCCGACCCCGCGAAAGGTGTCACATATTCTTCGCTGATGAGGGATTAATCTTGTCCAGACTCTTTTGGGCTTGCAACACAGCTATGCATGATAGACCTTATCCTGGGGAAGTTGGTCACTATATAGAAGGGCGGCTACCTGTCCATGCTTGGACCGACCTGCATTTGTTGGCATTTCGAGAGCATAGACACAGTAGATCCAGATATCTAGATCTTATTTTTGTCTGTTGGATGTCGCAATATGCTTAGAATGGGATGAAAGCACCATAGCCCCTGTGACATTAGTCGAGCACCTAGAAAGCTTCGAATATTCGAACAGCGGAACGATCCGACAATAGATTTAAGAACCCTGCAGCATGTAGAAATTGGCTTGTAGCCGTAAGCTTCCGCTGTTGCATAAGTGGATGCAGACTTCGTATATGTAGCACTAGGTAAAGTCGATGGGCGAATCGCGATAGACAACCTTGGCCGCATGCGGCGGCTGTACTTATTGTTTAAATGCCACACACAACGGCCTTATCAGCAGCTATCGTGCATGTCCTCGGTGTTCTCGGCCTATCAGACAGAACAGCCAACGATTGTGCTCGGCGGATGCCACCATCGAAAACCGCTTTCCGTTGTCGGACAGCTCGCCACAGTTAGCGGGTTCTTTTCCCATGTATGACACCTCGATCGACAGGCCAGGCCGCCAACAGGCAGCCGCAGTCATAGCACCCCGCATTATCCTTCCCCCCTCTCTTGGATCGGAAGTCGGCTGTGACAAAGTTTGGGCTAGCGCTACCACAACGCCAGCTGGGCTGAACACTGTAAACACCTCTGTAACACTGCGTCTCTGGGTGCGGACTGTTGAGTCTCAGGATGGGCGACGGAGATGACGACAACTCCTCATACAATCCCGTTACTGGCCAGGATATCACGAATTCGCCACATATCGCATCTTAAAATTAAATCAAGGGGGGAGATAATGGTTCGGATGGATCGACAATCAGCGCCCCGGACGCGATTATCGCCTCCGCATAGACCTGCCCGATTGGGATAGATGACGGGGAGACTGACGATGATGATCTGGGATCGTATTCCAGGAAAGCTAGTGACAACTTGAAACCTCGATGCGACCTGCGAGTTGATAGTCGCAACTGCCTTTTCAACAGCGCGATTTAGTAAACTGATGAGGTGGGATATCCCTATATTTGAGACTGGTTGAGCACGGCGACCGAAAGGCGGATAGGTCCAATGACCGTAGTAAAGCGATAATTGCTCGAGAATATATCGCAGCTATTCAACCAGTATATGAGGCAAATATCACGACCACAGCCTGGCTGAGTGCTGCTCAGATAATTAGTTCCTCAGTCACTGCAACAGGCCTTTGGATGCCCGAAGCTGCCATCCCCACTTGGGAAGTCCTGCCGAGCCTAAAAAAACCAGCCCCCGCAAAAGTCAAAAGTCAAAGGCGGAAAAAAATTTCACTTATCGTCAACTTATCTATCTTGTCCACTCACGAGGATCTCTTCCATGACCAATTGATCATTAACTTGGTCATTATCATCTTGATAACCATCTTACCTTTCCAAACTAAGCATGCTGGCCTTGTGAGGGGAAGCCCGAGAATCCCCATGCCCTTGCGTCCTTAGACTTGTTCATATATGAACCGTCCCCTCAGCACCTGAAACCGGTTGTATGAATTTGCAGAAAATGGACAATTGGGTGCACGACTTGTCCATCGATCTCGTTGCTCTCCCGCTTGGCTGAATTGATTTATTTGTGATTGTGCATTTTCTTCCAATTTGTCTCCGGATGCCGATGGACTTGGAAAACAACGGGCCGATCAAACCGATCCAGTCGGTCGACCAGAGCGTCCAAGATGCTCATGATCTTGCGGCCATGGGCCATGACCAGGCCATGACTCGAAAATTCGATATTTGGAGCATGTTGTCTCTCGCGTTTTGTGTCTTAGGTTAGTTCTGCCCGATCGTCGGAATTTTTCGTGTGCTCTGTGCGCGCTGCACCCACCGGGGCGCCAAGAACGGCAGCTAACCGTTGCGACCCAGGCACCTACTCTACTTTCGCGCAGGATTTAGATAGCGGACTCACCAATGGCGGCTCCGTGACCATTCTCTGGGGTCTCGTGCTGGTCACGGTCTGCAACTTGTGTGTCGCAGTTTCGCTTGGAGAGCTCACTAGTAGTATGCCGACCGCTCTGGGCCAGGCGTATTGGGTGTTTCGACTTTGGGACACCCCGTTGGGTCGATTTACCTCGTACATGTGCGCATGGATCAACATGTTCGGCTGGTGGACCTTGACAGCGTCCCAGGTTGCTTTCATGGCCGAATTCCTGCTGGGGATGAAAGTTATGTTCGATAATTCATGGGGTGGAGCCAGCACTGGATGGCTAAATTTCATCGTCTACATCGGTACAGTCTTGGTGTTGACTGTCATCAACCTAGTCGGCTGTAGGAAGGAAAAGGTCCTCCCATGGCTCAACAACTTTGTCGGCATATGGTTTACCGGCTTGTTCGTCGTCTTGTCACTTGCGCTGCTCATCTCCGTCGGTGTGAAGAAAGATCTCTCCTTCCAACCTGCGTCTTTCGTCTTTGGAGCTTGGCTGAACGAAACCGGTTGGGGAAACGGGGTCGTTTGGTTCACAGGCCTAGTGCAAGCCGCCTATGGTCTCACGGCTTTCGATGCCGTTATCCATATGGTCGAGGAGATCCCTGCCCCGCGTCGCAACGCCCCAAAAGTCATGTGGCTTTCCGTCCTCATGGGGGCCATCACTGGTTTTATCTTCATGATGGTGTGCTTGTTTTGCATTCAGGACATCAACGAGGTTATCAACTCCCCAACCGGATTGCCGTTCATGGAGTTGATGGTGGAGACAGTAGGCCTGGAGGGTGGGGCCACACTCATCGCTTTATTCATCTTTAATGGCCTGGGCCAGGGAATTAGTATCCTAACGACCGCTTCTCGACTAACTTGGGGCTTTGCACGAGATGGTGGCTTACCTTGGAGCGGATACTTCATGCTGGTCGATCCGGTATGGAAGGTTCCGGCACGAGCACTATGGTTCCAGGGCTTTTGGATTGCATTGGTCGGAATCCTTTATCTGTTCGCCAACACGGTGCTCGATGCGATCTTGAGTGTTAGTACGATCGCTTTGACCATCTCATATGGTCTTCCCATTGCTGCCCTTCTGGTAGTCGGGCGCGATAAGCTGCCACCAGGCCAGTTCCATCTGGGACGATGGGGGAAGCTGATCAACTGGGTCAGCATCATCTACTGCATAATCACGACAGTATTCTTCCTATTCCCAGGGTCTCCGAACCCGTCACCTAGCGATATGAATTATGCGATTGCTGTGTTTGGAGTGATGCTGGTGGTCGCCGTTGGATTTTGGTTCGTTCAAGGAAACCGCACGTATTTGAAGACGGAGGATGCCATCGACCAGATGATTCAGGCACAGAGGCTTGAAATCAATACGGCGACGCAGGCGCAAGACAAGAAGAAATAGATCTTTGTATATAGTTTTCGAGTGTTTAATGACTACAATGACCTTCACTATTCTGTTAGCCAAGCTTGCATGCGTAGAAAGCAAATAAGCCCACTGAAACCCACTCGGGAGGAAAAAAGCTTCAAAGATCGCCTACCGGTACTTTCTAAGGTCGAGACCAAGCACTGTCACTCGAGGATTATCAGTAAGCAATATGTAGGATCGACAATTGCACGTCCTGGGGAGAGCGCAAAGAGTGTAAGTCGGTGAGAAAGGCCCGTGACCCAAGTGGACGCGCCCTCCACGTGTTGTGCGCCATCACCCCACGTATGGCACCACTCCTCTCATGCCGATGTTCCTTGACTCTAAGAATACTTTAACTCCCCAGTGGTTCTTCAATAAGGCTGATTTCTCCCACCTGACCAGAATTTGCTAATGTTGTACTTGCTATCTCTTTAGATGACCCAGGCCGTTTTTTCCGTGGAGCAATTACCTGGTTGCTAATACATAACGATGCACCTACATTTCACAACTAGTCTTCCGAGATAGGAGTTTACGATATCTCCATGGCACGTGAAGACCAAGACAGCCAGATCAGAAAGAGAATAAGATCGCTCAACAATTATGATGTGGCTAGCGTGTCTGCAGACCTATAATGGGAAATATTCTCCCTACTGCCATCGGATATATTACATTCTACCGGATATGTGAGCATAGGAAAGCGCGAACATACAGGTCACCCATCTATTGGTATCAGGCCGGAAGACTCGGATCAAGTATCCTGTTGTTATCGGTCGATTGAAGTTCTAGTTGATGACGTTGGGAGTTTAATCTCACATGAGTGTCATGATACCCTTGAGAGCAAAACAAACACCTTGATGCACCCTGAATGCTGACACGGCTATGAAACACAGGAACAGGAACCGGATGGCCTAAAGGGCCCAGACCAGATTTGATTAGTGTTCCACAGCCTAAACAATCCCGAAAGTACCCACCTGCTAGCTGGCTATATCCGAGCCTTAGAAGGTTGTTCCTGGCCCTGAGGGGCTGTCCAGATAGCTTATCTACCGATAGACAGTGACGCAACGTACGTATACATTACTGCAGCCGGTTTTAGACACTTTTGCGAGTAGTGGCCTGGATTTCATTCAAAGCAAAAGAGCTGTGGTTGCTGCGCACCCTGGGATATGATTGATTCCAACCATACTAAACTGACTCGTGGGCTAAATCCGCCGAAGGCTCAGTAAGAGCTCTTGGGGCCTATTACCAGCTGGATCTTGATGGCCTTAGGTCATCGCGGGCAATATTTCCAGACAGGACGAAGTTTGCAGCCCGCTATTGACGTGGTGCTGCACCTCTTGCTGCATCTCTATACCCGGGGCCATACCGAGAATATTCTGATGTGGACCTTATCTTATCTTTCAGCGAATGATATTCTCGGGAAGAGCTCATAGTGGGGATCTCGGTTTTACGGGTTCAAGATGCTCCGGGTATACGGGTTTACGGAGAACGCTTTTTCAGCAAACTGTCTCCATACTGGCTTTCTGAGAGAGAAAATATTGGAATATAACAGATTAAACGCCCACGGCTCTGATTACATCTAGTTGAGTACCTGAGCCATACTGTCACGCAGTGCCCTGGTTTTGTGGACTGTGGTTCATAGGTATGCTTATCGGCGGGCTGCTGAGATCTACAACGGATATACTGACCGATTACCCCCGTGTAGTTGTGACAAGTGGAATCATTGCTCAGGATGGACACTTCATCATCTTCAGGAACCGTGGACATTGAGCCTGGGAACTCTTCTATTCCCAAGCAGCTGACGCTCACGTGGCGCAATGTTAGCGTGAACGTCACAGCCCCCGATGCCGCCCTGGGCGATACACTGCTGTCAGTGGCCGATCCACGGCAGATTTCGGCGTGGTTCAGCAAGAGCCAAAGGCCAAAGAGGGTATGTTTGAGACATTATCAAGCTCGGATCAATGCTAACAATTCTACAAGACGATTCTTAAGGACATCTCTGGTCAACTTCGGCCAGGAGAAATGGTAGGAGAAATTAAATGAGCAGATAGATTGACAGCTTACTGACAAGGCCTAGTTGCTCGTTCTCGGACGTCCAGGATCAGGGTGTACATCATTCCTTCGTGTAATCTCCAATGATCGCGAAGCTTTCGACGAAGTTGTCGGTGAGACTCGATATGGAAGCATGGACCACAAACAGGCCAAGAAGTACCGGCAGCAGATCATGTTTAACAATGAAGACGATGTTCATTTCCCTACTTTGACCGTTAATCGAACGATGAAATTCGCCCTTCGAAACAAGGTTCCCAGAGAACGACCGGAGCACCTACACAATCGGAAAGATTACGTTCAGGAGAAAAGAGACGGAATTCTTGAGTCGCTGGGTATCCCGCACACAAAGAAGACATTGGTTGGAAACGAGTTTATCCGTGGTGTATCTGGTGGTGAGCGGAAGCGTGTTTCCTTGGCAGAGGTTATGGCTGGCCAGGTATCAATCCTCTCTCCATATGACATCAACATATTACTTACGACCGAAATTAGAGTCCTGTTCAATTTTGGGATAACCCAACTCGCGGTCTGGATTCCAAAACAGCGGTTGAATTCGCCCGCATGCTGCGACGCGAGGCCAACGAGAATCAAAAGACGATAATGGCTACCATGTATCAAGCTGGAAATGGCATTTTCGACGAGTTCGACAAGATCCTTGTCCTGGCGGAGGGTGTCGTCACCTACTACGGGCCGCGCGCATTGGCTCGGGGTTACTTTGAAGACATGGGATTCATCTGCCCCAAGGGAGCCAACATCGCCGACTTTCTGACATCGGTTACGGTGGTCACTGAACGGATTGTCGCCCCAGGCATGGAAGACAAGGTTCCCAATTCGCCCGCTGAGTTCGAGGCCCGTTACCGCCAGAGTGCGATACATTCCCAGATGATGAATGATATCCAGCCGCCAGAGAAACTGGTAAACGAGGATGAGAACTTGGCTCTAGCAGTGGCAATGGAGAAGAGAAAGCAGCATGTTCCTCGACCTCAGAGTGTCTATACGGCTGGTCTGTGGGATCAGATCCTCAGCTGCACCCTGCGGTAAGCTACTTGAAACTGGAAGCATGGCGGAGAAACTGACATTTTCCAAGTCAATTCCAGATTTTGGCCGGTGACAAGCTTTCTATTGCCATTAAGGTGGTTTCCGCTATCTTGCAGGCTCTTGTCTGCGGCAGTTTATTCTACAACCTTAAGCTAGACAGCAGTTCGATTTTCTTGCGTCCGGGTGCTCTCTTCTTCCCCGTTCTTTACTTCCTCCTCGAAACAATGTCTGAAACAACCGGATCATTCATGGGTCGACCTATTCTTTCGCGGCAAAAGAGGTTTGGCTTCTACCGACCGACAGCTTTCGCTATCGCCAATGCGATTACCGATATCCCTATCGTCTTGGTTCAGGTGTCCTGTTTCTCCTTGATTTTGTACTTCATGAGTGGGATGCAAATGGATGCAGGCCGCTTCTTCACGTACTGGATCATTATTATCGTGCAAACGCTGTGCTTCATGCAAATGTTCCGCGCGATTGGTGCCTTGTGCAAGCAGTTCGGTAATGCGTCCAAGATGACCGGATTTCTATCAACTGTCTTTTTCGTCTACGGAGGTTTGTTGTGCTAAATACAACTATTCTGAAATTCTGCTAATCATCACAGGATATCTGATTCCTTTTGAGAAGATGCATGTTTGGTTCCGGTGGATATTCTACCTGAACCCTGGTGCATATGCTTTCGAGGCGCTGATGGCCAACGAGTTTACGGGCCTAGAACTCAAGTGTGTCGAGCCTGACTATATCCCATACGGGTCGGGCTATCCTACCGGCTCTTCCCCTTACCGCGGCTGCACTGTCAAGGGTAGCAATTCGGAAGGCATCATTGACGGTGCCGCCTACATCAAAGAGCAGTACAATTACACTTATCACCATGTTTGGCGAAGCTTCGGTATTATCATTGGCTTCTGGGCATTTTTCATTTTTCTGACGGCGATTGGATTCGAATTGCGCAACAGCAGTGCCGGATCTTCCGTCCTCCTCTACAAGCGAGGCGCCAAAAGCAAGAAGCCAGACGAGGAGAGCAACGTCTCGTCTAAGTCTGAAGGAGCTGTCCTTGCGCAGTCTGGAAAACAGTCCACGTTCACATGGAACAATCTCGACTACCACGTTCCTTTCCATGGCCAGAAGAAGCAATTGCTGGACCAGGTATTTGGATATGTCAAGCCGGGTAATCTGGTGGCATTGATGGGATGCTCCGGTGCGGGAAAGACCACGTAAGTGCTAAGTGAGACGACAGAGTGATGCAAAGCTGATTGCTATAGATTGCTCGATGTGTTGGCTCAGCGCAAGGATAGTGGTGAGATCTACGGATCCATTTTGATAGATGGTCGGCCACAAGGTATCAGTTTCCAGCGTACCACTGGCTACTGCGAGCAGATGGATGTTCACGAAGGCACCGCGACCGTGAGAGAAGCCTTGGTCTTCTCCGCGCTTCTCCGCCAACCTGATAGCGTACCACGCGAAGAGAAGATTGCATATGTTGATCACATCATTGATCTCCTGGAGCTGAGCGATATCTAGGACGCTTTGATTGGAGGTATGTGAGAACTCCGGACAAAGACTGATCGATTACTGACAAGACAGTTCCCGGGGCTGGTTTGAGCATTGAACAGCGGAAGAGAGTGACATTGGGTGTTGAACTGGTCGCCAAGCCAACGCTTCTCTTCTTGGATGAACCGACCTCGGGTCTAGATGGACAGTCTGCTTACAACATTATCCGATTTCTGAGAAAGCTCGTCGACAGCGGTCAAGCTGTGCTGGTAAGTCTATATGCCTTTACATATTGGCGTATCTCACATATTCCAGTGCACTATCCATCAGCCTTCAGCGGTCTTGTTCGATGCATTCGACTCGCTAGTGCTGCTTGCCAAGGGCGGAAAGATGACCTACTTCGGAGAGAGTAAGCTTGCCACCCACCTGTACAGACTGAATCTAACACTCCATTAGCTGGCGAAGAGTCACACAAAGTGTTGGAATACTTTGCGAAGAACGGAGCCCCCTGTCCTCCAGACATGAACCCCGCCGAACACATTGTGGAGGTTATCCAGGGTAATACCGAGAAGCCTATTGACTGGGTTGATGTGTGGAGCCGATCTGAGGAGCGCGAGCGCGCTCTTGCAGAGCTTGAAGCCTTGAACAAGGAGGGACAATCACATACTGATTATGTGGAAGACCAAAGCAACTTTGCAACCCCGGTTTGGTTCCAGTTTAAGATGGTGCTGCAGCGCCTCATGGTCCAGCTATGGCGGTCACCGGTAGGTTCCAATATCATCTATGACTAGGGGCATTGACTGACGTTGATCAGGACTATATGTGGAACAAAATCATCCTGCACGTCTTTGCTGCACTGTTCAGTGGATTCACCTTCTGGAAGATGGGAGATGGAACGTTTGCGCTACAGCTTCGACTGTTTGCTATCTTCAACTTCATTTTCGTCGCACCAGGATGTATCAACCAGATGCAGCCGTTTTTCTTGCACAATCGCGATATCTTCGAAACCAGAGAGAAGAAGGTAAAGTCCTGCAGCTGTACTTTCATCAACGCTGGCTAACCGAAAGCAGTCTAAAACCTACCACTGGATTGCCTTCATCGGTGCCCAAGCAGTTTCCGAAATCCCCTACCTGATTATCTGCGCCACGCTCTACTTCGCATGCTGGTACTTTGTTGCCGGATTGCCTGTTGATGCGTACATCTCCGGCCACATGTACTTGCAGATGATCTGTGCGTACCCTTCCTTTGCAGAACTGTGCAGAACTGAGCAGAACTGACCGATTTAGTCTACGAATTCTTGTATACATCGATCGGACAGGCCATTGCGGCATACGCACCCAACGAGTACTTCGCCGCCATCATGAACCCCATCCTCATCGGTGCGGGTATGATCGCTTTCTGTGGTGTCGTTGTGCCCTACGATAGTATTACGCCCTTCTGGCGGTACTGGATGTACTACCTTGACCCGTTCACCTACTTGGTGGGTGGTCTTCTGGGAGAGGTGCTCTGGGATGTCAAGGTGCAGTGTGAGCCTTCGGAGTATATCCAATTCAACGCCCCGTCCGGACAGACATGCGGCCAGTACATGGCCGAGTTTATCTCCGAGCAGACTGGGTACCTCTTGGACGCGAATGCTACCGGCACTTGCTCGTTCTGCCAGTACTCGATGGGTTCAGACTATGCGAAGACCTTCAACTTGAAGGAGAAGTACTATTCGTGGAGAGATGTGAGTGTATCCTTGGTCAAAAATGTAACCAAATGCTAATTCATTGCAGACTGGAATTACGGCGCTGTTTTGTATCACGTCGTACGGATTGGTGTTCTTGATGATGAAGTTGCGGAGCAAGAAGACGAAGAGCGCACGGTCGGAGTAGACCACGAGATAGGATGTGTTGATATTGATAGGGGAGGAGGGAGGAGGCTTTGAAGGGAAGAGCCAGACAAGCATTCTTTGAGTAAATAGATACTAGATGATAGACCGACTGGATGCAGTCATATAGATACTACTGATTTTACTAGACTTTAATACAACACTACGTCGTTTCTTTCTACTATCACATCCCTTCCACGTAGACCTTAAATGTGATGGCTGGCACTAGTATGGTTGTTAGACCCAAGGAAGGCAGTGTAAACGCAACAATTGAAGTGAGCAGAATAGTGGCCAATGTGAACATAAGCTTATCAGACTAGTAGTAATTTCTGAACAAGATTGCGAGGGGAGTACGAATTGAGGCATACCCGAACATGGTGTAAATCGTGTTGTAAGATCTAAATAGAGTATATATATAAATACTATATAGTATAAGAAGGAAATTTAACTACTCAACCTGGCACCAAGGAAAATCCAACCCAACCAAACGAACCCAGGGTATATAATCAAGGCCAAATCCAAACACCTCCCAGAACCCCAAATCAATCAAAACCACACCAGAGCCAGCTGAGTGCCATCGCGCTTCACCAAAAATCCAAAATCAAAACCTAAATCTCGGCGTATCCACCTGGGACCTCACATAAGCCACATCCACCAACCTCCCCAAGATCACGTACTCCAACTTCAACTTGATACTATATACCAACGCCTTGAACGTAACCTGAAAGGTAAAAAAACCAGCATACTGAATCCCCACGACCGACAAATCCAACACAATAATCACCACATTAACCAACAACAACTGCACCAACACACTCCTGGACAACTCCCCACTATCCATGCGCAACATCCTCGCCGTCTCCCTGATATACAACCCGGAGAGCAACAGCTCCTGTGCACAGAACCACACCAACTGCACGCGCTCCATGATCCCGAATGCAACATTCATCGGCTCAGACTGCGGCATCGCATTAACCGCCAGTTCCAGCCCCTCACTCGCGCAATGCAGCAGCACCCCGTCGAAGATAATCAGGTAGAGCAAACCCCGTAGGATTTTCTTGTGGTGCAGCACGAGGTGCAGGCGCGACCAGAGCACGAGCGATTGTCCTGTAACCATGCCGGCCCAGCCGACTCCCACTATGGAGATCTCGAGGAAGTAGTTGGTGAAGGTGAGACCGAACATTTTGAGGAGATAGCCGAGGCTGAAGGGGATGATGGAGATGGACGCGATCAGGAGGGACCAGAAGTAGGTGCCGGTGTAGCGTTTGAAGGTGTTGAGGCAGAGGATAACCAACTCGATGGCATTGCACCAGGAGAGGGCGATGAGGATGGGGAAGACATATTCTTCGACGGTGGTGTTGAGGTGTCGGGTTAGGCCGGTAGGGGACTGGGTTGCGGCGTCGTCAAGGGTGAAATGGGGCATTAATAGGAGGCATTGATGGGGAAGGTAGTAGATATTATGTACGGATGGATTGAGAGAGGCGATAATGTGGAGGTGGAGGTGGAGATAGGGATGGTTACAGAGCACAGCATAGCAAGAACTTGTTGCACTGTAATCTGGAATGAGGCGAAGTTGGTAGTCAGTAGAGTTCGTCGCAAAGTTGTGGCGCCCGATCTGGCAGGCGAAAGGAACGGCTGTGATTTGATCGAGAACGGACAATTGCGTCATGGATGTCGGCAGTTAAGGCGACTGTCATGCGCTAATTGGTTGGAGATACAGGGATGCGGATGTGGCAGCCAATCAAGGTGGACTCAAACTGCTAATCTATCCTTATTCTGATTAGCTGCGTCGGTTAAAAGGAAGGTGGTGATTGGTGGGTGATTGCAGTCGGAACGGTTCTGTCCGATAAGGCAACCCCTGATATTCCTGACGGTACGGTAATCTTGGAGATGTGTTTGGCTTGTTTGTCCTGTTTGCTCAGGGACTCGTCGCGTGCTCAGTTTGGGATAGCTCTTTCTTTCCTTACTGCCTGCAGACGCGACAGCCATGGCCATGCTGTAGTGGATTCGAGGCTGAGATTGCCGACAGCTGCCTCGGTAGCTCCTGCCTCTCGAGGCAACAACATTTCATAACGTACGGAGCTATTCCCCGCCACTAACTCAATGGAGCTGGGGACAAACAATCATTCTTCCTCACTGGTTCTACTGCCTCTCAAGCTTCCGCCCCCGACGTGTCAGCACGCGTGACAATCATGATTCCCACCAAGAGGATGGATTTGACCGGGCGGAAGCCCCTCTATCGCCTCTCCGCTACTCCTGCGCCTCCTACCACCCCGCAGACCCCGAATGTGAAGCCCGCAGCCCAAACACCGACGCATCCTCCGGCACCGCAGTACCAGCCATGGCAGCAAACTCCTCCGCATCCATATCCCGCCCCGTCACCTCATGGACAGCCTTCGCAAGTCCTCTCACCGTATAATGAAACCAATCATGGCACCGACATGCAGGCTGCGCGACGACGCGGACGAATGCTATTCGAAAACGAACTCATCATCCTCTTCAAGGGCTGTATCGAGCGGAAGGATATGTACCTGACCAACCCGAACCGAAGCGCATTTTGGGACAACGTGGCCGGGTATATGAACAGCTTCACAGGGCGGAATTTCTCGCCCCCGTCCTACCAGCAGATCGTGACAGACCGAAGCATCGAGCGTCGAACGCATCGACGCGACATCGCAAATGGAAAGGCCCACGTGGAGCCCCCCAACGCCCTCACGACTGTGATCGATCAGTGGATTGCGATGGAGGATGAGATACTGAAGCAGACGAGCGAGAGCGAGGCTCGGTCGCAGAAACGGCCCGCACCGGACGATCCCAGTACGCAAGATGTTAGCCAGGCTAAACGATTGCGTCCGCATACGGCAGATGCTCCCCAGACCACCCCTTCGAGTCCTTCTCAAGCGCGTCGCGAGGTGGATGGGAACAGCCTTGCCCGAGCCTTGGTGCACGAAGTACGAGATCTACGGCGGGAGGTGGAAGAAGTCCATCGGAAACTGGACTTGGTTTTGGAGGCGCTCAAAGCGGTGAAAGAGAGTCCGGATAATGTGAACTCCGAGGAAAGATGATTCTCTCACAGTCGATCGCTGTTGATCTCGGACGAAAATGCCATTTCAGGGTGTGCGAGGCATACGATGCTCGGTCGGTCGTTGCGAACGGCCGAGACCGCTCGGCCCCTCATTCCCCGCATCCAATACGAAGATGAGGCTATTTAACTGAGCCGGACACAGAAATGTGTATAGGGACCCATCCGTACAACTTTTATCAGCAACTTTATCAGCTATCATGGCTCCTACATTCCGTGCAGAACAAATCGGCTCGCTGATGCGGCCCGAGGAGCTATTAGCTGCTCGCAATGCCGCCGGATTGGCGCACATCTACACCCGAACCAACGTGCCGGAGGGTGTGCAGCAAGTGACAAAACAGGCGATTGCCAAGGTGGTGGAGCAGCAGCAGGCGCACAAGGTGCGCCCAATCATGACCGGAGAGTTTGAACGGCCCATCTTCTACGCCGGGTTCTTCGAGAATCTGGAGGGGCTTGAAATGACCAAGGTCCCCATTCCGGACGGTTACCGCACGGGGCTCCCGACCGTGCAGACGCTCGAGAAGCTGGGCATCAAGGAACGGGATGCCTGCATCGCTGTGGGCAAGATTCAGCACGTGCGCAGCCCGTACCTGGCCGACTGGGAGTACCTACGGAGCCTGGTGCCGCAGGAACAGTGGAAGGAGTGCAAGATGAGCATGCCATCTATTACCTGGCAGCACCAGCATTTGCGTGCAGGGACCGCGTTCACGGCCTCCAGCCCGTACACTACCGACAAAGAGTACTTTGCGGACCTTGCAAAGGCGTTTGCACGGGAGTACCAGATCCTTTACGATGCGGGACTACGCTCCATCCAGGTGGACGATCCCGCCATGACCTTCTTTGTGACGGACGAAATGCGATCGGGGTGTGTGGCAGATGGGATTGACCCGGATGAACTGTTGGACCTGTATATCTGGGCGCACAACGAAAGTCTCCGGGACCGACCTGCAGATCTTCATGTCGGAGTTCACCTCTGCCGGGGCAATATGCCCGGGTCGACGCACGTGCTTAGTGGGTCGTATGAGCGGATTGCGCAACGCATGTTCACGGGACTCAACTATGACACGTTCTACCTGGAATATGACACGGAACGAGCGGGGGACTTCCAGCCGCTGCGACACCTGCCAGTGGGCAAGAACGTGGTACTGGGAGTGGTATCGACGAAAGCCCCGGAATTGGAGACAGTGGAGGAGCTGCAGGTGCGGGTATATGAAGCGGCGGATGTGATTGCGCAGGGGCAAGGCCGGAGTCGGCAAGAGGTGCTCGATAGCTCGCTTGGAGTGAGTCCGCAGTGTGGTTTCTCCAGTGTGAGCTATGGTCGGGGAATTGGAATGACGGAGACGCGCATGTGGGAGAAGCTGCAGTTGGTGCAAAAAGTAGCCGAGCGGGTGTGGCAGTAAGCTGCAGTAAGCTGCAGGGGGGATGGCCAGGGATGGTATGTGTGTATACATTCGTCACTACTATATTCAAGCGTACCGGATATACTATGTAGTGTTGAAGGAATGCATGGCTGTCAGGCACAGCAGATTGCATGATCCACCACTGCTGTCAAGTAGCACGGCATGTTGGCCTGCACGTGGCTGAATTGTTGGGTTCCGGACATCCGCGATGATCCTTAACCAATTTATTCTGTGCATAAATGCGGGTAGATGAACACCCGCACGGCAACTCTCTTCCAGCCGAGCTTCAATGTGACCTGTCTGCCGTCCATCTGGACAAGAATCTATATAGCTGGGCCCGGCACGAGTTCCATATCCATTTAGTCCCCAATCTATTGCTCACTTCACCCGCCAATCAAGCGTTCCATTCCCACCATGCACTTCCCTCTCGCAGTGCTGGCTCTGCTTCCCCTCACCACCCACGCCATCAACATCATTTCCTCCAACGATGATGGCTGGGCCGAGCTCAACATTCGCACTTTGTACAACGCGCTCACCGCAGCCGACCACTCGGTCGTGATATCTGCGCCCGCAGAGAATCAAAGCGGAACCGGTAATTCCATGCCTAACTCTCTACCTTGATTGATATTTCTACAACGGATAAACTAATCTAACCAATACAGGTTCCGACGACGCAACACCTACTCCCCTGACCTCCCCATGCGAATTCGACTCCTGTCCCAGCGGCAGCCCCGCCGTCGGCCACAACGCCAGCCAACCACGCTTCAACTACGTCAACAGCTACCCAGCGACCTCCATGAAATATGGCCTCAACAACCTCTCCTCCACCTACTTCTCCGGCTCTCCCGACCTCGCCGTCGCCGGGCCCAACGTAGGCGCTAACCTCGGCCTAGCCGTCTTCTTCTCTGGCACCGTCGGCGCAACCACCTACGCCGCCAACCAAGGCATTCCGGCAATCGCCTTTTCCGGATACACTGGCTCCCAGATCGCCTGGAACGTGAGCAGTGTTCCCACGTACAGTACTGTATATGCAGAGCTAGCGACGAAGTTGGTAGATGAGTTGGTGGAGTCCGGAACCCCGTACTTGCCCGAGGGCGTGTGGTTGAATGTGAACTTTGGGGCTGTGAGCGATGATAGTTGTACGAGTGCGGATGATTTCGAGTTTGTGTTGTCGAGGCTCTTTACGGCGATTCCGTTAATTACAGCGGATGATGTGGAAACCTGTAATAGTACACGGTTGCCCACGGAGTTGAGTGTTATGCTCCAGGATGGATGCTGGGCGAGTGTGTCGGTGGGCATGTCTGGGGATAAGTTGGATGCAAATGCTACGGTGCAGGGGGTGGTGTTGGAGAAGTTGGGGGGATTGTTGACCTGTTTGGATTAATTCACTAATTGTGAATGTACATAGTCTATAGTATAGTATATAGTATGGTATGTATAGTACAATAGGCGGAGAAGCATGTGCAGCCCTATATTCGCATATATACGCCTGCAGGAATGCGTGGTCCAAGCACAGGCCATTATTGGTTGAAAAATACGCTCTCCGACATTCCGTGTCTATATGTTAATATGCGCTACTATTAATCTATTCCATTCCCCTCACCGCTGCTACCCTGTTCTGCCATACCAACATCCTCCGTGCCTGTCAGCACTATCCATACCCGCATACGCATCCAGCTGATCCTTCACAGAATTAGGCATAACCCCCGAGCAGCAACCATATGCTCTGCTGTCCTTCCTATCGCCCCACCGCTACCGTTCCTCTGCCGATCTCTGAAGATACTTGCCTATAGTAGAGATGGACATAAAAGGAGCTCCCCTTTCCCCTCATCCTCATGCCACATCTTCCAAACAAATCACCAAAAAGAAAGAAATAAGTTAAGAAAAACAAAAAAACCAACACAATGTCCCTCCGCACCCTCCTCCTCGCCGCATCCACCCTCTCCGCCACCGCAGCAGCAGCAGCAGGCAAACACCGCCTGCACGCGCGCGACTGGATCGCCAGCGACGAAATCGTCGGCTTCAACCAGACCGTCCCGGACAACTCCACCGGCGATCTCTACCTCGCCTACCAGCCCTACCTGAAGGTCGTGAACGGATGTGTCCCGTTCCCGGGTGTTGACGCCGAAGGCGATACCGAGTATGTTCCCTCCCCCCCAATACCTCCCTCCAAGAAAATCCTCCTAATAAGCGATAAACAATGAATAGTGCCGGCCTCGCCCCCACCGGCGCCAGTGACGGCGACTGCAGCTCCAACACGGGCCAAATCTACGTGCGCAGCAACATCAGCTCCACCTCCTCCACCTCGACCTACCCGACAGCACTGCTCTACAGCTGGTACATGCCCAAAGACGAACCCAGCGATGGTCTCGGTCACCGACACGACTGGGAGGGCGTGATCATCTACCTGTCTGACGCGACCACCATCTCTGCGGATAATATCCTGGCTGTGTGTCCGTCCGCGCATGGCGGGTGGGATTGCTCCACGGATGGGTATACCCTTGAGGGTACGAAGGCGCTGATCAAGTATGAGAGTATCTGGCCGTTGGATCATAGTTGTGGGTTGACGGATGTGGTGGGTGGTACGCAGCCGTTGGTTGCGTGGGAGAGTTTGACTACGGCGGCGAGGGATGCGTTGCAGACGGCGGACTTTGATAAGGCTATTGTGCCGTTTAAGGATAGTACTTTTGATGAAAATCTTGCGAAAGCTACTTACTAGTTTACTAGTGAACTAGGGTGATGGAGGGGGAGGGGAAGTGGGAGGGTGTTGTAAATACTTTGTGGTAGTATATATATATGAAGTTATATTTGGGTAGTAATGGTCTGACTGACGGAAGTATGTACTGGGTATCTGTCGAGAGTTCCTTGAGGAATATGAATGTAATGTGAATGTGTTTGTGAAGGGTTCTGATCTATATAGGATACGGCTTAGTAGTAGCTTTATAGTAGTATCTACTAGAGTAAGTACTATTGATGTTTATTGGGAGAGCATATGAGGCAAGTCATTGTATTTAATACACTAAACAGCATAGACTAGCTATCACTGATAAGAGTGAATCTGTAAAAAAGGCTAAAGCGCTACTTAAGCACTTGCAATGCACTGGTAGTAGTAAGGGTTGTACGAGTGGCAGCTAGATCCGCTCGCGCACTGAGTAGCACCAGTCCAGTTGATACCACCGCACTGGCCGTACAGAGACTGGCTACCGGAGCTACCGGAGGCAGCAGAGCTAACAGCCGGAGCAGGGGTGATAGTCGACTGAGCAGGCTCGGGCTGAACCGAGGTAGTAGGCTGCACAGCCTGGGGAGTGTTGGTGAAGGTCAACAGGGTAGTCCAAGAAGAGGGGACCTGCACGGGGATCTGAGTGTAGGCGGAGGAGCTGGAGCTAGGGGCAGCAGGGGCAGGGGCACTGCTGGACTGAGCGATCTGGGTGTTGGTGTCAACGCTGGTCACGGCAGCAGCGCTGGTAGCGGCGGCAGCGGTCGAGGAAGCGGAAGCGACGGCGCTAGCACTGCCAACCACGGCGGTGCCGGTGGAAGTGACAGCGGAAGTAGTCTGAGTGATGGAGACATCGCCGCTGTAGGCTGTAGGGCCGGGCATAGTGTAAGTGCTCAGGGAGGAGTAGATGTTGACGAGGATACCGCCCTCAGTGGCAGTGTAGAGCTCGGTACCCTTAACACCGGAGGGAGTGGCGGTACCGGTACCGGTGACCTGGAGGTTGAAGCACTGGGGGTAGTTCTGGGCGCCGTCCTGCTCCTCAGCGCCGTGGAGAGCGATGAGCTCGTGACGGAGGACGTAGTTACCGGCGGCGATGGAGGGAGGGATCTCGACCATCCAGCTGTTGTTGTTGTTGATCAGCTGGTCGGTACCCCAGGTACCGGGGACCTCGGTGTCGCTGACGAGACCGACGCCGTCGATCTTGAAGAACTCCAGGTCGGTCTTGTCGACGGTCTCGCAGCTGCCGTCGCAGCGAGCCAGGTAGTCCAGGACGGGACCGTGGTGGGAGTCGGGCCAGGCAGTCCACTGGATGTTGATCTTCTCACCGGCACCGACGACAACGTGGGCCTGGGCGTTGGTGGCGTTCTCGTGACAGATGATGTTAGGGTTGCGGTACTCATCGGGCGAGATGAAGCCGTTACCGGTGTTGGGGGTGGTCCAGGCGGCAACCTTCGGGGGGTCGGACTCGTAGGGGAAGGAGTTGATGTCGAAGCCCTCGTAGTAGACACCGTCGACGACGATGTTGGTGACGTGACCGTGGGCAGCGACCTGGGTGGCCGACAGAAGGGCCGCAAGGAGAGAGGCAGACTGAGCTTGACGCATGATTGCTAGAGTGGTTTTTGGGAGAAGAAGGAAAAGTTTGTAGAGAATGTAAAGTAATGTATGTAGAGTGTTTGTAAAGAGTGAGCGCGCAGCGCAAAGAGTGTGAAAGCCTCAGTCAATGAAGCGGAAAGCAACGAAGGGAATGAAGATGAAAGAGAAGACTTGCTTGAGGGAGGAAAGGAACAGCAGCATGGTCGAGGAGCAGCATGGCTTTTAAATCTTCGTGTCGCCCTGTCAATACTCGCAGATGCTTTACCTGTGTCACATCTCAAACCACGGCTGGAGCCATGACACCCACCCAGGAGTCTGGTCTGACCACCGCCCTAGATTGCGGGTCCGAATTGGGCCTTTGGGAAGCGCTGGAGCAATTAAGGTGAGGGCAAACGGCGGTAGGGCAGGGGCAAGTGTTCCAGATCCGTCTGATATTAAGGCTATTGCCCGACTAGGGTCTTGGCTGTCGGAGAGTTTCCACTCTTGCCTCCCAACGACCTTCTGTCACCTTTTTCGAGCATATGTCTTGTCGGTTTCACTCATAGTTCGCTTATCATGAAGAAGCTTTCTCAATTAACAGCTCAAGAACAGATGTTCAACAGCTAGATGAACGCTGCCAGCGTGGTTAAAAATAGCAGCCGAATGCCCGCCACCCACTGCGGATCCGGCACTAGCCACCGAAGAACTAGTGTATCCCTAACTCGATGATAGCTCATCGGATAAATGCTGGTCCAGACTCATATAAATTAAGTCTGCCCTGACTGGTCGTCCCCACCAATCACGCCCCTTGATGCTGAATAGCCGCCGTTCCTGCAGCACTCAGTCCCTGCCAATTTTCCACCGGACACCCGCCACCACATCTAGAGGAAATCCTCTGTGTTCTCCAATAACATCCAGTAGTGGACCATCACCTTGCTTGGGGATGATAGTATAGCTGAAGCGTATTCGTCAGCAAATTCGGTTGCCTCGCCTTGTTTGGCAGCGCTTTGACCGGCCAGGGTCCACGTCGGAGTCTGCTCCGTGCAAGCACAGCTGTGTACGGAGAACCCTGCACTAATCTCCAGTCCCTGATCGCGGAGGTGTAGAATAATTCTGCCATCACCATCGCATATCAACACAACCTCAACCACAGCATACTACCATGCTGCAACACCAAGACCGTGCGACTACCAAGCAACTTTAACACTGTTAAACAATTAACCTTAAGTGAGACATAACGGTAACGTTGAATGACTCGCCATGGTAGTGAGCCCTTGGCAAACCGGGTCAAGTGTGGGCCCTGAAACAAACCTGGTTATTAAAGGCCGCCGCATTGTTAAGATACATCACCTGCACAGCCTGCTTTCCTGATATAGCCCTGGTCGTCATGGCAGTAGTTACTGGCTCTGAGTAAGCGGGGCTGCGCGGAATTGAACCAATATGAGCTACTTGTAAGGCTGGATTTAGCTAGACCTGCTGGCATCGGATGTTCGGGTCGGATATAAGGGCATATTGCAGGGGCTCTGGCAGGTCTCAGAGCGGGGATCTGACCTCGTTCGAGGACATTAATTGGCTGTCGCATGCATCATCAATATACCCAGGAGCATTTAAGCGCCGTGCTTACGACCTGTCATATCACTGCAACGACTTCATTGTCACGCAGTATCTGGAAAATATTGGCAACAGCATCGATACTATCAGGCATGAGAAAACCGCATCAATGCAGCCTAAGACAAAAGAGAAATAGAAGAAAATACGAAGGAATAAGAAGAAAAAAACAAGAAACTAAAGAAATAGAAAAATAAGGGGAAAAGAAAAAGGACTACCACTGCCAATCACTCGTCGACCCATTCTAATCCGGCCCCAGGGGATGGTGGCACTTGGCGAGATAATCACATCTTCAGCAATATCTTTCTGGATCCAAGCATCTCCAGATTTTCGTCGTGTCGAGTCTGGGTAAGAATAGATCCCCATTAATGAGATAGATGTCCCACCATCCTAGTTTCCTGAGTCGCTACAATATTTCCACAAAAGTCTTTTTGTGTCAAACTTGCTGCTAACGGATGACGGCGCGCATCAACTTCGTGTTATTCCTGTCAGGCATTATGGTAGACAAAGACACGATCTAGTCACTCTCTTGCATTAAACTCTTCAAAATTGTCTAGATGCTCATCAGGCAGAGCGGATGCAGCCTGTAGGACTGATAGAGTAGTATGACCAAATCAAGCGGCTCGAGCTGGTCGGCGAGGACCATGCCAAGGGCCAGTGCACAATTGATGTAGTGGTTACCAAGTAGATTTTGGAACAGCTGATCCATTACACTTTGGATGCCGTATCTGCCTACGATTGCTCATTGAAGCTGAAATTCTCCTCATTATTGTATCACTATTCTGTAAGGAATATCTATATAAATTTATTGAGAAGAGGTACATAAATAATGAGAGCCCTTTTCAAAGAACACAGTTCTTTATGAGCTGTTTTTACCATATCAGGTGGCTAATGGGCCATTATGTTAAAACTCCTATTTGCCAGTTCTGTACAATATATGAGTAGCAATTTAGCGCTATGATTTCCTATGCAATGAAACGGTCATAGACCTTTATGCAAAGACATGGAGATCCCGTGCGCTCCTCAGATGACCCAAATCGACACCTCACCGGCCTGGGGATATGCTCTTCCATCGTTTGCGGCGAAACCTAACTCGACCGACCGTCGGCTCGTTCTTGGCCAGAGTGCTCAGACGGCTCTCTCTGGGCGCCAAGCTGCCGAGATTCGTTCAAGCCAGCGGAGGTTGCCAATTTCTCCGCCGAACAGCGGGTGAAATCTGGGGAGGCGATTCTGCTAAATTCGGCCGCGCATATATCCCCAGATACACGAGGTGGCTGGGCAAGGCCGAGCGGAGGGTTACACTCTGCTACACGTACTCTCAACGAGAGTCACGCCTCAGTGGCGATGTCGTGCAACAACGTTACAGACCATGGCCTCCCCAGCCTTGGGAGCCGCTTTCAGTGCCCCTCTATCTTGGCGTGAGTTTCTAATAAACTCAAATAGGGTTGGGTATGGATGGAATGATAACCCCAGAAGTTGTCTGTATGGATGTGCCATGCATCCAAGATCTCGGCTTATGTAGTCCAAGACAACCACTGTTGCGTTCACTAGAGTCCAAGGCTCTTGGGTCGGATCCGTGAGACCAGATACTTAATGAGATTGGCTGTAGCATTAACGAGCCTGGAGCTACACTTTGACGTGAATGGAACAAGTCATTTCGCCTGCAATGAGCTCGATAGATCAGAGGATTCAGGCCTTTATGGACACCGGGATTTAAATAGGCCATCATGGCCCGGGGAAATTTCGTGAAGGCATACCATACTGCGCCTTGCTCACTTCAGATATCCGCACAACAGACCTCCATAACAAGCCTTTAGTGCAACTGCACTTCCTAAACTAGCATGGGTGACAAGAAAAGCGACCCAGAGAACCCCATCTCTACGGTTCACCATCTTGAATCACCCACCTCCAATGAAAAGCAAGATCCAGAGGTGGCCCGAGATTGGACACGCGATTTAACCGAGAGCAAGGATGCCACCACATCCACAAGATTGAAGAACCCGCTCGCTGGTCTGACGCGAGATGAGCTATTCCGCGATGTCGAGTCATTTGCAAGGGACAAGGGTTTGGAGCATATTATGGATGAGCTGAAAAGAGGCTCCCTTGTAGCACAGGATCCTAAAGCCTTCGAGTCCCTTGATGAATTATCCGAAAGTGATAAAGAACTGCTTCGTCGTGAGAAGACACATCGGTGGAGCCAGCCGTTCATGATGTACTTCATGACAAGTACGTCTTTTCCAACAAAGGTTGACACAACCGGAGGCTCTAACAAATACTAGTTCTCTGTGCTGGGTCCGCAATCGTCCAGGGCATGGACCAGACGGCAGTGAATGGAGCACAAGAGTAAGTTATGTACTGTCACGGGTTCTTTCTATAAGCTGAGTACATTCAGGTTTTACTTCGCTGAGTTTAATCTCACCAATACCTGGCAGCAAGGGCTCCTGAACGGAGCTCCATACTTATGTTCTGCGCTTATAGGATGCTGGACAACCGCCCCTCTAAACCGTTGGTTTGGTCGTCGTGGATGCATCTTCATCTCATGCTTGATTTCCTTTGCCTCGTCATTTTGGATGGCTGCAGCACACACTTGGTGGAACCTACTCTTAGGACGGTTCCTCCTCGGTTTTGCAGTAGGTGCCAAGTCAACAACGACTCCAGTATACGGAGCGGAGTGCTCTCCAGCCATAATTCGCGGGGCTCTAGTTATGATGTGGCAAATGTGGACGGCTTTCGGGATCATGCTTGGATATATTGCTTCCGTTGCCTTCATGGATGTGACGCACCCCTCAATCCCCGGTTTCAATTGGAGATTGATGCTTGGTTCAACCGCCATTCCGTAAGTTTGCACATGCCTACCTTTTGCACATATACCAGTTGTGCTAACAGCGACGAGTCCCTTCTTCGTATGCATGCAGGTGTATTTCTGTCCCGAGTCACCCAGATGGTATATGATGAGGAATCGCTATCAAGACGCTTACAAAGCACTCTGTAAGCTCCGTCCTTCCTCGTTTCAGGCCGCCCGCGACCTCTACTACATCCACGCGGCACTGCAGGTCGAGGAAAAGCTCCGGGAAGGTAAACAGCTCTGGCGGGAAATGTTCACCGTTCCTCGCAATCGACGCGCTGCACAATCATCTTTCTTCGTCATGTTTATGCAACAATTCTCGGGAGTAAATGTGATAATGTACTATTCTTCGAGCATCTTTGCAAATGCGGGATTTGATAGGCGCATGGCGTTGGTAACGTCATTGGGATGTGGTATAACGAACTGGATATTCGCTCTCCCGGCAGTATATACAATCGATACGTTCGGAAGGCGGAACCTCCTCCTCACCACATTCCCATTGATGAGCCTATTCCTGCTCTTCACCGGGTTTTCATTCTATATCCCGGACCAGACCTCACGAACGGCTTGCGTGGCGACAGGCATCTATCTTTTCATGATCGTGTACTCGCCAGGCGAGGGACCGGTACCTTTCACATACTCGGCAGAGGCATTTGTAAGTCGATGTGTAACTTCAGGTTCCGAAGGGAAATCTTGCTAAGCAACGCACAGCCACTATACATCCGTGACGTAGGTATGTCTTTTGCGACTGCAACGACCTGGGGCTTCAACTTCATCATCTCGTTGACATGGCTTCCCTTGCGAGATGCGTTCAGTGTGCAAGGAGCATTTGGATGGTATGCAGCATGGAATGTCTTCGGATGGATCTTTTGCTATTTCTGTTTACCCGAGACCAAAGCACTGTCGCTTGAGGAACTGGATCAGGTGTTCTCGATCCCGACAAGAAAGCATATCAAGCATTATGCCGAAATGCTGCCATGGTATGTGAGGAAATATATCTTGCGAGGAGACGTGCCGCCTCAGAAGCAGTTGTATGATTATGAGTAGGTGGAAGTGAAGTGAAGGTTGAATGAGGTGAGGTTGAGGATGAAGTGAGAGGCATAAGACGAGGACGGAAATACACTAATGCCTATTCGGTAACTAGTTGCCTCACCAGGCATCCGTCGACACTACTCGATGGACTACTGTTTTCTGGCTTCAGTTTTGGTACATTTGTCCTCCGAGTATATTTTATGGTTATACTTTTCTATAACTAAGTGCTACAGAGTTATGATGTCCGACGGTATCGGCTTTCCAGCAATTTGACCGACCGGCCAAGTATTCTTTTACTGTAGTCACCACAAGGAATCATACATGTTGTGTGTAACACATGCACGCCTATATAGTATATGATACACAGCAACTTGGACACTACTAGTCTGATAGATAGCAAAACCACTTGTAAGCCGTGAGAAAAAGGACTACCACCTAATCACAAGGCGGGGAAAGTCCGTCGCATAGTTATCTCCGTAGAAATTGAATCCAACGACAGCGTCCAGCCCATCCACACTATATGCATCCGAGCAGAAACTGAAAGTTCCACTTGGCTGGCTAGCCACAAACTGTGCTGCTCCCGAAGCTGCGCCCGCTAAGCCCGTCTGCGTCTTCGTTCCGTATCCACTCGGCTCGGTCCATGAGAAGTCGATTTCTTGCACATGAGAAGTTGTAGCTCTCGACTCCAATACCTTCGCGGCGAGATCCTCGGAAGGACAATTATCGGTGCAGGGCATATTAGAGAATCCTTGGGTGCGGGCATGAATCCGACCGTCAGACAGCCTTCTGACCGTCAGGTTGACGGGTTGGTTGACGGCGTGGACGAAGTGCCAGTCATGCGTTAACGCAGTAGTATTGATGAAGTTGTGGACAACGCCCTCGTGGGTGATATGGTTGAAGGCAATCGAACCCTCGTCTCGTTTGGCAGGAATCATAGCGCCTGTTTGGCCGCTTCCGCCATGTGCCTGGACAACTGCATTGATGCCGACTAGCAGGGCGGCTGCAATGCATCCAGTGCCGGCACTGGCAGGGAGGAAGTATCCGCACACCATCCAGGCAATACCAGCTATTGCGGAACTGGCCTTAACGTACCATGTAAAGCCGGCACCAGAGGTCGGGGTTGCCTGCATCAGGAAGACGAGGACTGCCGTGAGGGTCGCCCAAAGGCTTCTCTGTTGCGTTGGTGCCATTGTTGTAGACCACGTAGATCGAGGAACGGTTCGAGGACACGTAGAAGTTCTCTGAATGTAACAACAAAGATGTAGCAGGCAACTGCTTTGATCAGGAGTGCAAGGGCTTGTTCGAGCTCACTAGGCATGTTTGAATACTATGGGATGGAGGGCATGAGCTAGATATAACAGACAACCCAGGGTTGCGTGGAATAATGATTTGGAATAGACAGGCAACAGGAGGGGTAAATGGATAAATGGTTAATGAACCTCCAGACCTTGATATTAAGAATACATCCGAAAGGAACGCTCTAAGAAATCGCGCGGGTATGGGATTGGTTGCTTCGTTAGTAGGGTTACTTTGGGCCCCATCGATCAGGGGTTCCGTATTCCTCTGTATCTCCCCTGGACATATTGACTGTATCGTACTTACTTTCTAGGCCTGTCCCATAGATAAGGGCCGCTCTATCCACTATGCAATGTGCTTGTAGGCGTGAGAGAAATTACACCTCTACCCATAAGATCAGTGTAACATTGATATCTACCCTACGCACACGTCACCGACGTGGACTGCCTGATATTGCAGTAGGTCGAAAGATACTTCAACAACATGTTTACTTAGAAAGGCCGTGGCATTGCTTGAATATTCGGAGTAGGAATTCCGGTTGGATTTAGATTGGATCCTGATAGCGTATTCGGATAGAAGGAAAATATCCAATTCGTCGAGAAAAGAACATTAGTCTCCGCATTATGAATGTGGGCTAAGTTAATGGCTCCGATTGGGCTCTCTTGGCGGGCGGACAGGGAAGTAGTTCACATCACGCAGGGACTCACCCTAGTATAAGCAGAGTAGCCTTGTTTCCGCTGTCTGTGCATATGATAGAGACCCGAGGTGATCACATGGAGCAGGCCAATGGTCCACTTACTCCACTATTGTCTGTGAAGCAAGCTGCTGGTGACTTACTAAAGTGACAGGGAAGGCATTCCAATCGGAACTACCCGACAACATGGACTTTCTTGATTGCATGGGTTTCACCGTCTACAGACTCAACCCTGCGTACTGCAGCTGTTCACAAGTAGAGCTCTCCGGATGTTACATTGAGAGAAGCTGGGGTTATTAACTTTGACTTCGCATGCAATCAGTCCGCACTAGATGTAGTCCAAGTTCAATGTTTTGGGTCTACTGATTTACGAGAGAATAAGTCTTTGAAAACATGCCAATACACTTAGAAGCAGTTGCTGTGATCTCAATTGATAGATTCAAACTATATTCAAAGAAGTTCAAATGTCAGCCGATGATATATACCCAAAGAAAGCAAGGCCAAAACAGGGGAAATTTGACGCCAACATTATCCGAATTAAAGGGTTGGAGATGTACTACGTAGACTACTGAACTGGGGCTTCCTTACCTCTCTCCCATCCGAATTGGGCAGAATGGTCACTAGCCCACCGGGATCTCATGGCTAGCGAGAATCTGACGGATCATGGACATAGTAGTTGAGATCTAGGCCTCTTATGAGATAACATAACGTGATTAGGAGCATGAGCACACAACCTACGATAAAGCCACTTATATTATGGCTGAAGCTAATGCCGACATTCCGACAGGTAGAGATTGCATACATCCGAGTATAATCAGCGATAGAAGGCCTTGGCATTAACCCAGCCATTAATTTGAGATGGACTCGTATCATGATTGTGCCCTTGCAAGGCTGCGAGGCCCATATAGAGAAACACTGTCTAAGCTCATCTGTCCGTTGTAATACTGAATATTATAATAAATCACCAGATAGTTATAGCAGAACAGTCCACTGAGGGATATCTTCCTGTCTAGGGTAGATTGTTTCCTTAAACTTGTTTAGAAGACTGGATTTTCTCTTACAGTCTATAGTGATTCTTATGTTGCTTTTGAAAATATGTTGTGTGTAGATTTATGCTTATCCTTTCTCACTATCCGGTCTAGTGTTAACTAGTTCCTTGATGTCGAAGTACAGTTGACGGCTTTCCCATGCCTTTGGAGAGATAACTGGCCATCACTACTATATGCGCAATGATTTGAAGTACCATATATCATTCAGCATCATGGTAATGTAGGATTATATTAACATGTAAGTTAAGGATGAAATAGAAATATATATACTAGCGGTATACTGTGGATCACTTGCACTCATTCCCACAGATGGGGAATCTTCAAGGAGTGGTATTAAAGAGGGAACCCGCCACTTCACTGCATGAGGCCATTATGTTGTCCGTTATCGGATGACTACAATGTAGTGGTGAATGTATAACAACTCAACATCTCATGATTCCATGCTCAGCTTCTAGAAGATTTCTGGTTTCAGAATCTTTCTGCAACCCCCCATCACATGATGGTGCCCCCACACCATCCCGGCAGGTCCTTCTCAATCCAGCCTAGTGCCAGGCCCTTCCGCAGGCATCGCCGGCTTGGCATCAATGGCCATTGGCCAGGAAGGAACAGACTGAGCGGAGCGCCCCACATAGAAGGCTCGCGAATTAGGTAATGGGATGTTGAACGGGTGTAACGTTGAACACACAAATTTGTTGTGATGCAAAGACTTTCATTCGGCCCGGCGGGTGACTCAGAAGACGGTCTTCTCGCCGGACTCGTTCATTTGTCACCGCAGTTCCTCTTTGATATCTTCAGCCTGTCATTGTTGTTCAGTTCCTGCGCTAGGTTGCCTGTTTGTGTCAATGTAGGAGCGGTAGGGCCGTTGACGTTGTACATCCCTCAGAAACAAACTCTCCCCGTCGCCAGTTCTTTTTACCGTCCCCACTCCTCGTCCATCTCATTTCCCGCGGAGAGGCGAGCTGGGATTTTCACCTTCCCGTCACCGCGCAGTCATGGCCCATCCAACTGGCGACAAGGTTGACTCCCATCTGAATGTTCAGACGGGTCAGTTCTTCCAGGATGGCCGAGAGGAGCCCTATCTGCATGATGCAGAGGAGAAGCAGGACGAGAAGAAGGGCAGCCCCATCTATAATGACACCTTTGGTGATGAAGAGTATGCCGAGGTTAAATATAAGGTCCTGAGCTGGTGGTATGTTCATCCGACCCTTCTATATCTGCTACTGAACAACTGACTCACATGTCGCAGGCAATGTGGTTTTCGTAAGTGATTTGGATGCTAGCATCAGTCGACAGCTTGTGATACTAACATTGCCAGTCATGGTTGCGGAAACCGTGTCTCTTGGTATTCTGTCGCTGCCTGCTGTTGTCGCAACTCTGGGTCTTGCTCCGTATGTATCTAACCAGCCGCTGCGTGAAGTGATATCTTCCTCTAACCAAGTGTAGCGCTATTGTTCTCATCGTTGGCCTCGGTCTTCTGGCCACCTACACCGGTTACGTCATCGGCCAGTTCAGATGGCGCTATCCACATGTCCAGAATCTGGCTGATGCCGGTGAGATCCTCTTTGGGTCTATTGGTCGCGAGATCTTCGGTATCGGCCAGTTGCTGCTTGTCATCTTCATCATGGCGAGCCATCTGTTGACCTTCTCGGTTGCCATGAACACTATTACGGAACATGGAACTTGCTCCATTGTTTTCGGTGTTGTCGGCCTCGTGATCTGCTTCCTCCTGGGCCTACCTAGGACGTCTGCAAACGTGTCCTACCTCTCTGTTGCTTGTAAGTCGCCAACAGGGCCAGACACTTCTATGATACTAACCTGCACAGCTTTCATCAGTGTGTTCTCTGCCGTGATGATTGTCATGATTGCCGTTGGTGTGGAACGGCCTTACAAGGGAACCCTATCAGCAACGGTGGATACCAGCTTGTATGAAGCATTCCTTGCCGTCTGCAACATCGTCTTCTCCTTCTGTGGGTCACTTTCCCTTCTGCATTAGCTAACACCTACTAACATGCAATAGCGGGTCACGTTGCATTCTTCGGCTTCATGTCCGAATTAAAGGATCACAGAGAGTACCCTAAGGCCCTGTGTCTTCTCCAGGGTCTCGACACCATTCTCTACCTTGTCACTTCCGTAGTGATCTATATCTATGCGGGACCTAATGTCACGTCCCCAGCACTAGGCTCCGCTAGTGAGCTCGTGGGCAAAGTGGCCTACGGAATCGCCCTCCCTACTGTACGTGCCTTGCTCATATGGCCCATGCTCTACTGACACTTGATAGATCATCATTGGCGGTGTTGTAAACGGTCATGTCGCTTGTAAATATGTCTATGTCCGTATCTTCCGTCACGGAGATCGGATGCACAGCCGCGACCTCTTGGCAACCGGATCTTGGGTGGGCATTGCCCTGGGATTGTGGATTATTGCCTGGATCATTGCAGAGGCCATTCCTGTGTTCAATGATCTGCTGAGTTTGATTGTACGATGTCCGCCTCTTTCAATCAAGTATCATACTAACCGCGTTTCAGGCGTCCCTTTTCGCCAGTTGGTCTACATGTAAGCTAATCATCGTCTGCTCGTCATTCACCCACTAACAATAAACAGTCGGCTTCAGCGGCATGTTCTGGCTTTACCTCAACAAGGACCGACTGTTCTCTTCGCCTAGGAAGATTGCCCTGACCATCTTCAACGTTATTATTATCGGTATTGCAGCCTGCATTGTAAGTATATTACTCCGCTTTCGCCCATCAACTCTAACCACAGCACCAGTGCGGTCTCGGACTCTACGTATCCGGCCGGTCTCTTCACGACGACGCCAACGGCAGCAGTTTCTCCTGTGCCAGTAATGCTTGAGCGGTGGTATAGACCAGGTATATATTGCATATAGCGCCACATGTCCCATATTAGACTAGTGCATTTTGTACAGAAAAGCCTATGCAATGAAACGTATAATATAGCTGTATACTACACACTATTAACCATCCATCATGCCATAATCGTACTATTCACCACCTAATAAGCAACGAATCCCCGCAAATTCCCGATCCCCAGCTTGCCGCCAATCTCACCCGAAAATTTCCCCAAGCGCCAGCGCCAAGACCCCGCCAAGGGTCCGCCAAGATCACCGCGGCGGCGCCATCTTGGCGGTCAGACACTTTGTGGACGCTCAGTCACTGGATCGCTTGTGACGGTCGGCTGAAAATTTTACAGCTGAAGTCAATGCGCAGAAGGAGAATGAGAGAATGAAAAGAGAGTAACTGTAAACCAGACAACTTGGTTATGATGTATCTGTTTACGTAGATAGTACTACCAGTGAGAGGATGATGCTGTGCTATATTGTCTACCCGACGAGGCTGTTGTCAATTTGAGAATGAATATGCGGAGTCCCCGCATTCAAAGCAAGTGATCGTGGCACGTGCCCTGGACTTGTCGTGACCGCTCACCTCACCCCACTCTCACTCCCTTTCCCACGATGATGATGATGGTGGTGGTGGTGTTGGTTTGGTCAAGCCCCTGCTCAAAGACGCCACCGTTCACTGCATGTCCTATCTGCCAGAGGACTACAAAGCGATTAGCACACCACCAACAGAACTACCAAAGCGCAACACACTACTCGACGCGACGACGTCATGGGCGCGACGGGTGTCAATCCCCAAGAAATAACTGAGAGAACGAATGAGTCATGGCGCTCTCCCGCCTGGCAACTAAACCATACCATGAACCTAAGACACTCACTCGCACACAGTCGGCTAAGTTTCAAATTGTCCGCCATGCACGAGCTACTACCTGCACAGCATCCTTGTCTGTGCGAGCATGGACATTAGCATTGGCAACAGCTGCGATAAGCTAGAGCAAGTCGCGTATCAGAGTCCACAATGGCATGTTCCTGATACTCTTGTCATCGCATGGCACACGTGGAAAGGAAGATTACTATCCCCTAGTAGCATGCAAGCCTGCAAGTTGGCTTCGGCTATGTTGACATTCCACGCGCACATACACGGTTGCGGCAACGGCGTCGCTGGGCGTAAAAAAGAGAAGGTAAGATCGACAAGGCTTCTTGGCTTGTGCCGCTGAAACTTGGCCCCCCCGACGGCGTGGTGGTGGTAAAAACTTACTAGAGTAGGTAGGGTTGCTTCATTGCGATGGTCAAACTTTGGAATGGAAATCCGCCAATTTCAGTGACTGCGGGATTTGTTCTGACTGGTGGTGGTGGGCTTGGCAAGTGGCGAGAGGATTGGGGGTGGTGCTGACTGACTGACTATTATCTAACAGTATAGTGGTAGAAGTAATTGGTTTAATTATCCTCGCTACGATGTGAGAGTCCTAAGTGTTTTTCCATGGTTGGTGTAGATGTGGTGTTGGGGGAGAGGAGAGAGAGAGAGAGAGAGAGAGCCAGGCAGCAAGTGAGTGAGTGTTACCGAGCATAAGTGGGTGGTGGGTGCCCTCCACCTACTCGGTCTTGGTATCATTTCTTGTCGCAGCCTCATCAACCCGCGAGAATTCGGGATACCAGCCTGATTCAGAAAGCAAACGGTTCACAGTCTGACAGACTCCTCGTCATGTCTTCGGCAGTCCTTCCTGTTCGTAAAAATGCATCCCATCCTGGCTGGAACCAAGATCTCGGCATTCATCTGCCCAGCCCTTGGCCGGGAGCCAAGGAGGGAGCGCGGCCCTGAACCTTCCTCGATGGCTTCATTTCTCCCCGTTCATTCGTCTCCTCTGCCCTTGCCGAGATGAGCTGATTGGTGTGACCGAAAAGCTCTTCTTCCGAATATCCTGGTCGTTGAAGCAAGCAATGCAGCCCGACCTCCACCCCGCAGAACTCACGGTTTTTCCGGGGTGCAGCCCTTAGCTATAAAGAGGTCCCGTCGCTTCCCACTCAGTCTCACCGTTGCTTGCGACCTGCATCAGTCCTGATTCAGCCAAAAAAAGACATCTCACCATGTCTTCGGTGCCCACTTTCGCCGGCTTGTCCGGTCGGAAGCTGATCTGGTCTGTGACTTCCTGTGCGACCTTGGGTTTCTTGCTCTTTGGTTACGATCGTAAGGTTTTCTCCTTGCCGGGCGCTATAAGCCTTGAGCTAACCCTGACTTAGAGGGTGTGATGAGCAGTATTATTGACGCCGATCCCTTCAATGACATCTTCACGGCTACGAGAGATAACTCCACCATTCAGGGTGTGGTCACTGCTATCTATGAGCTGGGTAGGTACAGACCTCGGCTTTGGCTTACAACTGTACGCTAACCCTGCTAGGATGTCTCGGCGGTGCGCTCTTCATCCTCGCCTGCGGTGACTGGCTCGGCCGCAGATACTCCATCATGCTGGGTGCCACCATTATGATCATCGGTGTTATCATCCAGGTTACGTCTATCTCGGGACACGTTCCCCTGGCCCAATTCTGTGTCGGACGTGTTATTACCGGTGTCGGAAACGGCATGAACACGTCTACTATCCCCACATACCAGGCTGAATGTTCGAGGACTTCCAATCGTGGTCTACTCATCTGTATCGAGGGTAGTACCATTGCTATTGGAACCCTGATCTCCTACTGGGTGGATTTCGGTGCCTCCTACGGTCCCCCCGACCTCACTTGGCGTTTCCCCATCGCTTTCCAGATCTTCTTCGGTCTTCTTATCATCCTTGGTCTCTTGGTGCTGCCCGAGTCTCCCAGATGGCTGTTTACCCAGGAGCGCTACGAGGAGGGTGAGCGGGTCATTGCCGCCTTGCAGGGCAAGGAGATCAGCCACCACGAAGTCCAGCTGCAGAAGACCATCATTCTGGACTCCCTCAGAGCGTATGACCCCTAGCCCCTAAATCTACGATAAGCTTAAGCTAACCCCCACCAGTTCCGGCATGGCCACCAAGTCCACCCCCCTCTCCGCCGTCTTCACCGGCGGCAAGACCCAGCACTGCCGTCGCATGCTTTTGGGCTGCTCGTCTCAATTCTTCCAGCAAATCGGTGGCTGCAACGCTGTCATCTACTACCTGCCCGTTCTGATGCAGCAATCCCTCCACCAAACAGAATTCATGGCTATGATTCTCGGTGGTGTCAACATGATCGTCTACTCGATCTTCGCCTGCTCGTCCTGGTTCCTGATCCAAAAGGTCGGCCGTCGCAACCTCTTCCTTGTCGGCTCCTTCGGCCAAAGTGCGTCCATGGTGATCACCTTCGCCTGCTTGATCCCCGGCGGTCCCGAAGCCGCCAAGGGTGCCGCTGTAGGCCTGTTCACGTTCATTGCCACCTTCGGCGCAACCTGGCTCCCGCTTCCCTGGCTCTACCCGGCTGAGATTTCTCCGATCAAGACCCGTACCAAGGCGAACGCCATCTCCACTTGCACCAACTGGCTCTTCAACTTCCTCATTGTCATGGTCACCCCCATTATGATTCGCAACATCGGATGGGGCACGTACCTCTTCTTCGCGGTCATCAATGCCCTCTTCATTCCCGTCATTTACTTCTTCTACCCCGAGACAAAAGATCGATCCCTCGAGGAGATTGATTTGATTTTCGCCAAGGGTTACATCGAGAAGATGACCTACGTGCGTGCGGCCAAGGAGCTGCCGCACTTGTCGGACGAAGAGGTCGAGCAGGTTGCTATTCAGTATGGTTTTGGTCCTGCTGATCAGCCGGCTAGTGGCGATAGTGAGAGTACGGAGACTGGTGCGGGTAGGACGGAGGTTGAGGTGGAGAAGCGCAGCGAGTAAGAGGGAATTAATTGGTCAGATTAGATGGTGTGTTCGATAGATGGGCTGTTGTTGTTTGAGGCGGTGATATTCAGATTGACATTGTTTTACTCGTTGGACAAGATACCATATACCAGATGGAGTTTGGCTCTGTCAATATCTCATGGGACATTAATATAGGACTGCAATATACCTACCACAATCCTTACAATATGATATCGAAGGTTTCTCCACCAATATAATCTCATATGCACAAAACGACTCCCAATAACAGCCAGGCATAAAGCCCAAAACACCCTCATAATAGACGCAACATCCCTCCCCAGCACCTCAAGCCGGCTCTTCCTCTCCACCCACCTAGACGTCTCATCCAAGCTCTCGATCCTAGTATTTCCATCCTCACCCCAAACCAACACCTCCGCATCGCTGAACTTTTGCACTGCACTTTCAACAATAAACCCAATCCAATGATCCTGAACCGTCCTCACCAGCTCCATATGCTTCACCACATCCTGTCCAGTAGACGACACCCCCCCTTATGTTTGGTGGTTCATGCATGACGCTGTTGCAGTAGTTTGGAAGATGGATGGGAAAAATTTGTGATACTCTGTATAAGACCTTTGAGAAGTGGTAACTGCGAACGAAATATCAACTAGCTGATGATAGCGATGAAATCCAACTACGTTTGTATCCAATGAGAGGGGAAAAGAAAAAGTAAGTATAAAACGTCAAGAAATTATGACGCCTACTATTAGGTCAAATACTGCACTGGACTCGCACAGCCCTATTCTGTAACAGATCTTCGCTCGAAATATCATCCAGCAACTGAAGGTGGAAATTGGTGGAGGTTGATGTCTCTTAGGTTATGGTAAGCCCTCCGCTTTTTCTGGATTCAATTTCCGCTTGTTGGAGTCATGATCCGGAGATATTTTTGATTGGTAAAGCTGGCTTGCCATGCACAGGTGTAACTGATGAGTCAAATATGTATGACTACTGACAACCGATCTAAACCAGTTATTTGTTGCCGATTAGCCACAGAAAAGCCAATTAGCAAGATAGTGGATACCGTTGAAAGCGTCCCGAGTGGTTCATTATGACTAACCTTCCTTTTTGGGACCCCGACATGGACCAGCCCTCGTCTTCTTCGAAATGCAGATGTCCTACTCCATAGTAAAGAAACAATAGCAGCAATATCCTTTTCCGAATTCTAACGACCAAGCTTGGTACTTAATTTATCTGGTATCTGCGCGCTAGTCTACTAGCCGACCCTCGAATTTGATCTGCACATAGCTTAACCATTTCGGGACCCCGACTTCGAGGGATCATTTATGCTTGGTATGTAACCACACCTTAAGGACGTCTCAATCGCTAGTAACGCCCTCTGCGCCTTTAAATCCATCTAGACAGCAAATTGGCTCTATAACTATCATCATTATTTGTCAAGCCATTCAGTCCGCTGCAGAAAAGTTCGCTCACACTACACGCTAAAGCCACTGCCTGAGTACCTTACTAACCTGTGGCGCAGTCCAACACCCGGCATGATGGTATCGGCTGCAACAATTCAATGTACTTCCCAGCAAACTCGATTTCATATCGAATCTCCCAATTACCGCGAGGTAAGAGCATTCTGTTGCAGCTATGATTTACACAGGATCAAGAAGTCTTATGTGTTGACTGCCCATGTCTCCAGCTCGACATAAAAGGACTGCAAATTCTCGTTACATCAGGGGACAAGAAGTCCACCACAAAGGGGAAGTCCAAAGCGAAATCTAAAGATGGTATCGAGATTTTATCCAACGCGGAATTGTCACTGAAAGAAGGTCGGCGATATGCTCTCGTCGGTCGAAATGGGACCGGGAAGTCAAGTGAGAGCAATCCTGCCAGACATATCAATCCTAGTCAAGGACTAACCAGTCTGCCACGTCTTAAAACAGCACTTCTGAGAAGTATAGCAGAGAAGCTCATCCCAGGGATACCAGAGAATACAAAAATTGCTATCCTTCAGCAAACCAGGCTGACGGATGGGGCTGATGGTCCCAAGCCAGCGGGTGGAGATAGTATAGGTCTTAGTGTCCTACAGACCGTGATAGAGAGAGCCACGTCTAGGAGTACTATCGAACAAGAGATACTGAGTACGTCTATGCTTGAAGGTACTCTGTCCTAGCTGACAAGTTAGCCCTGTCTCAGGGAATCGATACTTCGGATCCTTATGCTCCAGTTAAAGCGCTTCGATCGCTGAAACATGAGCGCCTCCAAAAACGCCTTTTCATATTGGATAAAGATGCTCGACTTCGCAGTGGTATGCGAGGTATGCAAGCCAGGAAAGCGCTTGTGGCTTTTGAGAAAGTTGTTGCTGAATCAAAGAGAATGTGCGTGGACGATCCGTATTAACTTTTATTCTTGCTTAACGCTAGTCCTTCCGAACTGACAACCTTCTTAGGCTAGAACAACCCAGCGAAGACATATCAGCCGAAATCCTACAGCAGGAGACTCAGGAGGCAGTGGATATGCTCGCGCATCTTCAAGCACAAATCGAACCAGCTCTCGTTGCACACACAGAGACTAGGGCGCGAAGTATTTTGACTGGATTAGGCTTTTCATCTGCAATGATGGCAAAGCCCATCTCCGACTTATCGGGCGGTTGGCACATGCGAGCAGCTCTTGCATCTACACTTCTACAGGATGCCGATATATTGATTCTCGACGAACCCACAAACTTCCTCGACATGTTGGGCATTATCTGGCTTCAACGGTATCTCACCTCGCTGGGGGAGAACAGAAAGCCACCTACCATGATCATCGTCTCCCACGATCGAGACTTCGTCAGTCTCTGCACGGACCTGATCATTCTCAAAGATAAACAACTCACGTACTTCCACGGAGACCTACCGACATACGAGACATCGCAATCCGAACGACGAAAATACCTTACGACGATGAAGGAAGCGCAGGACAAGCAGAAAGCCCACATTGAGAAGACGATCGCAGCCAACCTCAAAGCAGGCAAGGCAAACGACGATCAGAACAAGATCCGACAAGCAAAGTCACGCCAGAAGAAACTGGATAATCGCTGGGGCATGGAAGTCGGTGCCAGGGGCGGTAGGTTCAAGTTGAATCGCGACCTAGTTGGCTACCACTTTACTGCTCGAGATGAGATCGAGATACCCCCCGAAGAACGCCCTGTTATGATAAATCTACCCGAACCGCCTGATTTACGATTCCCAGGATCGCTCATAACCCTCGAAAAAGTCAGCTTTCGTTACTCGGCTACGTCTCCGATCGTCATCCGAGATGTCGACCTCTCGGTCGGTATGGGAGACCGAATAGGGATACTGGGGCTGAACGGCGAGGGCAAGTCAACACTGATCCAAACATTGGTGGGCGAAACGAATGTGACACAAGGAACAAGGAACATTCATCCTCGCCTACGCCTGGGATATTACTCTCAGCATGGCGTCGAGGCCTTGCAAGCCCTTGGTGCACAGGAGGAGACGCTCACAGCGCTGACACTATTGACGCGGGAGGTTAATGGGGAATTGACAGAGGGTGAAATCCGCGGCCTCTTGAGCCAGCTTGGACTTCCCGGACGTTTAGCCTCCGATGTACCTATTCGCAAGCTGTCGGGTGGACAGCTGGTTCGCTGTGCACTGGCACGGTTGTTCTGGCGTCGACCCCATTGTCTTGTTCTGGATGAGGTTACGACTCACTTGGACTATGAGACTGTTACGGCGCTGAGACGCGCACTTAATGAATGGGATGGGGCGGTTGTTGCCGTTAGTCACGATAGATGGTTTATGAGGGGGACTGTGGAGGGGGTTGTGGATGGTGGTCAATCGGAGGGTGAGGAGGATGATAGTGAGGATGAGTTAGAAGAAAGGAGGAGAGTCATATGTATGGTACGTAGTGGGGAGTTAAGTGTCCTGGGGCGCGGTGTTGATGAGTTTGAGGAACGGATGGAAAGGCGTGTGAGGAAGTTGATTGACTAGCCCCAAATTAGGGTGTGCGGTGAAAGTGCCAACAGGGGAACATTCATTTAGCCTGATATTATTGGGCCATATCTGGACAGGTGAAACTCAGGGTAATCTCGGCAGTTATAGGCTATTATAACATCATTCTGTTTGATGACTGCCTACCTTCGACTTTTTAGAACAGCTCATAGTGGAGCAACTAGTACGTCGGGAAAATAATAAGTCTTAATTCCATCGGTAAAAGCCATATTGTAGCCCCCGCTGCGGATAGAGTACGGGTCAAAACGCCTTGACATTCAGGGCAACCAATTGCCGTTACCGGGAATAGTTAAAAATGGAGCCTACAATCAAGGCCGGACGTCTTACAGATCCCTGTCTAGTGGCATCCCTCTAATTTATCCCCTGTCCCTATCGGCTTTGATATACTGGATTATATGCCGAAGATCCCAGCATGGTCCGATTCGGAGCCGTGACGAAGTATAGAAGCTAAAACCACAAGCCGCGGAAAATGACAAGCCGTGGAAAACGATAAGCCGTGGATTCAACCCAGTGTTGCAGGCCTTGTACAGCATGGAACATCGAGTCGCCAATCCGGACGTTATGGCATTCCTACCGGACATTGGCAAGCAATGCTTCCTCTTCCTTAGAGAGTCCACCGCCTGGGACCGTGAAGAGGAAAGTGATCCCAAGGTAAAATGCTCGGGGCAGGTATCTGCTTATGCTATTTTGAAATTCCCAGGAGTTGATCTGTTCCTTTCTACAGTGCTTAACAAATACCTAGCCCACTAAGAATGGGTCTTCCGGATGCGCTAGCTACTGTAGCGGGATCGGTTAACAATTTAACCTAGTACGACTGGCATTTGTTAATGATCATCCCCCTACGGGTGGATTACCATTCTAGGAAAAGGCTGGCTAGGAATACAGGGGATCCACCATGACCTTGACTTGTCTAATCACTAACTATGCCTTGCCCAACAGAAGGGAAGGACCAATGTTGAATAAGTCTTTCCAATCAGAGTGGGTACGACTTTTTAGCTCTCACACGCCCAACGTTCCAGAACGAAGAAACAAGCTATCATTATCCCGAGCTGGAGTCAATTTACCCAGATTCTGCCTCAAAGGCTACTTCTAGAACCCTAGTTGACACTGGCGGTCCAGTTGTCAACCGTGAAGGTTGCCGGGCCCCCGGTGAACGCCTCAGTTCCAAACTGCAGATCTACACATCACTTCTGTTAGTGACTGTTTCGCTGCGGCGTCCGCTGGTAGAATCAGGGAATCTTACTGATCAAGTACTGAGAGCTGGCGGGAAAGCCTTGGTTCTGAGTTAGATAGCTGAAAAATGCATTGATGTCCCCACTGTATGAGTTGATAGGGCTTTCCGACACGAAGCTGTATGTCCTCTGCTCCGCACCGGCCTGGGTGGTGCTGCCATACCACACCTCCCAGGACTTGCCTCCCACTGTGGCCGTGGCAATTTGCTTGCCAATGGGCTGGATGTTGCCGTAGCGGGCAAGCCTGGCGTTGTTAGATTTCTGTATTCTTTGATTCTTTGCGAGCTCACATACCAAATCATCAGTTCATAGTCGCCGCTAGAAGTGGCATGGTCCACATTCGCCGCGGTGAAAAGATCATACGCGACATCGGCGTTGACGTTGGTGTTGTCCTGCTTCCATTCCACCGAGGTGGGGATGCTCGATACATCACTCACGAGCTTCTTGTTAAATGTAACGCCAGAGTTAGAGTAGCTTTTCACTGTTCCATCACCACCGCTCCAGGTCCATTCGGTGTGCCAGGATGCACCACTGCTGGAGAGTTTGTCGACATATACACACTGGCTGCCGGTGCCTTGGTACTCGCCCCAGAGGTTCTGGTTCACTGAGTATGGGGGGCTCGAGGCACTGTCATACTGAGAGCACATTGTCTGGCCCATGGCGGTGGCCGCAAGCATAGCAAGTGTCACGGGGAGCTTCATGTTGGGCGTTAGAGCGGCGGAGCGGCAATCAAGGGAAATTTGAAAGGAATAAGAGGATAAGTGTTTAGGATAAGACACCAACACGGAGGGAGCGGCAGATGAGGCAGCTTAAATACCTGAATCTAATCAACAATGCTTACTATTGCCATTATGATTGTCCGAATTTCCGTGTCCAATATGGCATTCAAGAAGAAGTAAGCCAACTAGCTATTGCGGGTTGCGCCGCCATCTCACGCCAATCTGCAACAGACATGCACATCCTCCGTTTCAAAATGAGACCCTATATCGGAGCACTTGCCGTTTAAAGTTAGTGATGGTCTGTGGCAGTCGGCAACCGAACAATGTGGAGAACGGGATCTGATGGGAAACAAGAAAAGGGTCCTGCTTGTGCTGACGATATTAATTTAGAAGGATAGACCAACTCAATTTAGATGAGCATGGCTTAGGGATCGGCCTTTTGTCGGTGAAATATCAACAGGGCTTAGGTGTTTTGACTGATACGAAGCTCACGGGTAAGAAGCTTGCTATCTGCTCGTATAAACATGCCCTTCTTAAACTCCTGGCGTTGAACAGCGCGAGACTTGTGCATCTTGCGGGATTCACACAGTGTGTGGCGGAGTAATTCAACGCACAGGCGAGGAAGTACGATAGGAGTCATTTTCGTTTCTCATTTTTCAACGTCTCTAGATATAGATATTTGATCTTAGCCGGATTCTAGACATTGAATAGAGTCAAACACCGCTGATTTAGACAATAATTGGCAAGATTGGTGGTGGCGGTAGTGGTGGTGGTGGTGGTCAGGCAGGGACGTGTTGGTCAGAACCCGTTGTTTTGGGGTGCTCGGGTCGGGCGGATTGCTCGGGTCCCACGGAATGACTCTAGTACATCATATGTTTATCATATTACTGTTCTCTGGTCCCCAGGGGTAATGGGGCCATGTCAGTGGGGGCCGCAATCCAACTAAGGCTGCGGTAATTTCTTCTCTGTAGTCTCATAGTAGCTGCAGTTGTTCTCTCGTGCCTGCACTTTTCTTCTGCCCCCAGTCCTCTCTGACCCAGAGTTATCTCCTGCCTACAGTATCCTCTTGACCGCAGATTTCTGTTGCCTGTAGCTATCGATTATCCACAATCTCCTATTACGACTGGGCAGTTTGATTAGAATCAATATCTGTGAAACATACCACCTAGCCAACAAATGTCGATTGTCTAGAACCTTCCCGCCTCACCCTCTGCTCCCACCCACCAAAACCTCGATATAACCTACCGCCTTAACGTCCCCAACTTGGCTTGTCACAAGTCTTAAACACACAGACGGTCACCGATATTAGAGGCCCCAACTTTGACATCTAAGGTGGAGCTGGTGGCGAAGATCCAGGATCATGGGTTTATCTGTTGATGGGAGGCCTGTATGAAAGGTTCGTGATGAGGTGGTGTCAATTCGGGGCAAGGATAGGGTTACTAGGGTTGAGATGTTGGATGAGACATCCAGTTGGGTGGAGAAGAAGTGGCTTCAGTTGCTTTGCAGGGATGTCGGGTCGATGATGAGAGTGTTTAGGATGCTGGGTTGGGTGATCATGGAGAGAATCGATGCCGAAGTCTTAGCTGGGGGTCTAGACCTGTAGCTTAAGCTTATTGTCTTTCCAATAATGTATGCATATCTACTCCCTTCCACATCAAGAAAACGACCCATGAAACTCCACCAAGATCGCCGGAAACCGACGATCCACACTGGCCCAAGCCAACTCAATCAAAAGCCCATCTGGAATTTTGACAATACCAGTGACAGCTACACACAGGCTAAGTGCCCGGACCCGCATCACCCCTACCCAGTCGTGCATCTCCTTGCAGTATTCCACTTCACAAAGCAGAATTCTCTACCACCGCTCACAGTTCAGTCTTCAACCACTAGGTATGTAGGGAGGTTCACTGACCTTGTCTTTTATGATCGTCAGTAGGTGGCCGAAGATTGGCTTCAATGCTACTGTTTTGAGAGCGACCCTAGTGCTGTCATGCGTATCCAGGTAATCCAACGCGAGCGCTTGGGCTATTGATGCATCGCCAGTGGCTGTGATGGCTTGGGTTTGGGCTCGGATAGAAGGGATACTGTTTTTATCCAAGTCAACCGTAGAAAGGGTCTTTTGGAGGACAACAGCTTGTTCGTTCAAGCGTTGAAGAAGTGAGATGAGGTTGTTGAGGCCACTGTCTGGGTTGGGGATGCTGGGTGGCGGTGTGGAAGCTAGGGCAGGTACGGCGGCAGATATATTCGGAGATGAGATGCTGGTGCCGTTAATGGAATAATCGGTATTCCCTCCGAGGATAGGAAGCCCTTGAAGAGTTGGAGCAAGAACAAGCAGCGTTAAGGCGGAGAGGTTGAGTTTCATTTTCATAGTCGGGTGGCAAGGAGGCCTGGATAGAGGTGATGAGAATAGACAGCAGAATATGGCAGCTTGGATTATTTAAGCTATATGTTCAGTTTCCGACTGCGGGTAAGATTAGAACATAGTCATGAAAAAGATCTATTGTATTTGTGCTACTGCGATATTTACGTATGATGGGAGGTCATTGAAACCCCTTGTCGCGCGGTAGTCAAGCCGAGGTCTCACACATTATGTGCATCCGCATGCTGGTGCCATTAGACTTCTAGCAGTTTTATATTGGGTTACTGGAGCCTTGAAAAAAGAGTTTCAATGTTAATAGCCTGCGAAGTTTCAAGGTGCAGTATGAGACTCGCCATATAGAAAACGATGGTATTAGGGTTACATGGCCAGTGATGTGTATCCGGGGATGAATTACGGCGCAAAATTGTGCCATATTGCCAGTGAAACCTCTACAACGATTTTTCGACGGACACACGTGAAGAATGTTTCGTCCGATATTGATTTCTGTGTCTAGTTCCTGTGTTCTCTGCACAGTCTCTGGGTCCTCAAATACTAGCTTGGATCCTTTGAATGTGAAGATAATCAATACTACTACCGAGAGCAAAATAGTATTGATCTGCTATAAGCCTTCATACGTAGTTTTGTCTTGCTAATAACTCCTTGCAATGTTGCGCTGTGGTAGATCAGCTGCATGCCCCCAGGGCATCAGTTTTCAAGCGTTTCCTCTATATAAACAAGGATATAACGCACTGTGTTTGCTCCCAGCGCTTCGTCGAAGTCCAGGGTTTTCATGTTCAATTCTATCACGGGAAACTTTAGCGTCTCGGACTGGCATCTTATCAATCCACACGGCACTACTGCACCTCCACACCAATCATGCAGTGTCAACTCCATATCGCGGCCGCGTCTTGATAAGAAATGCGGAGAAGTCCAGATAAGAGAGGGAAGGCATCGGCCTCCCCTCTTTCCCCTCTCCATCCACCCAAAAATGCCTTCTTCCTCGAGTACAGCCCGTGCAAGCACTTCCTGCCGTCGCTGCCACCGACGGAAGAAGCGCTGCGACCGTACACTTCCACAATGTGAGACCTGTATCCATGCCCAGGTAGAATGCAGCTTTCTTGATGATGATCGACAAGTCGGGACATATCCAATCGCGTGAGTTTGGTGGCAGTAACATGAGTTCATCCACTAATTCCAGGGTTTGAAGCTACGTCCAAGGGCTCGAATGTCGCGTCAAGGAGCTAGAAAAGCAACTTTCCGCAGCCCTAGCATCAACACCATACCCTACCCTCCAACTTGATCAGGATTTCGACCAGCCAGTAATCAACTTCGCGACACCTCCGGACACGGACGCTAGCGACACCTTCCCCATAGCGACTCCTCCATCTCATAGCCGATCGGACTTTCTGGTCGATGAGCTCAAGCGACTGTCCCTAGAAGCAGCAGCAGAGCGACATCTTGGTTCCTCTTCAGGGCTATCCTTCGCCAAGTTAACCCAGGCAGTCCTTCGACGGCTATCCCCCGACAAAGCCGAGTTTGTATTCGATGATACCCCAGACGAGTCGCCAGAGCAATACGGTGAACCTTTCTCAGACCCTCTACTCGATGCTTCAACTTCCCTCTGGGAACTGAACAACTCGTTCTCCTCACCATGCCTCTTCAACCAACTTCCACTGTCACACGTCATGGAAGACGAGACAACGCTGGCCGATCTGCAATTACCCGACAGAGCACATATCGAATACTTAATGGAGTTCTACTTCGCACATTCCCACACACTGTACCCTATCATCCGCCAGACCGAGTTCACCTCCGTCATATGGCGAGTATACAACAATCCACAAGACCCTCTGGCAGGGTCTCCACTTTGGATGTTTCGCATCTGGATGGTTCTGGCCATTGGCTCGACGACACACTGTTCCGTAACCCTGGGAGATGAATCCGAGTCTGTGCTGTACTACAATAAGGCAATGGGGTATTTCGAGGATGCGCTTGGACTAGGCGATATGGTATGTCCACTTCCGATTAGGTAGACTGGAACAACTGACTAACGACTCAGGCCGCACTAGAGGTCATGATGCTGCAAGTCTCTTACTCATTCTTCAACCAAGTCGGACCAAGTACGTACACCCTGATTCCGATATATCCTCTACTAATTAAATAAAAGACACATTCTTCCTCGTCGGCGTTGCCGCCCGCATGGCCATCGGTATAGGCCTACACAGCTCCTCAAGCTACGCCAGCCTCCCATCTGACGTGATCGAATACCGCAAGCGGATTTTCTTCTCTTTGTACATGATGGACAGGTACCTCTCCCCTAAACCCACACCCTATCCTTTATCCACTCTAATAAGTATCAACAGAGTAGTATCCATAGCCCTAGGCCGCCCCTTCGCCATCCACGACGCCGACATTGACGTCGAGGTAGCCCCTCTCCCCAAGGTTCATCTCCTATAAACCAATCTAATACACAACTACAGCCCTTCACCGACACCACCACAACAGACGACCTAAACCACACAACCAACCTCTCCATCCCACTACACATCCTCTCCCTCCGCCGCATCGCCAGCGAAATCACCACAGCCCTCCACTCCCCAACGAACACGCACAACTCAGACCGCCAGACAACCCTCCAAGCTCTGCACAAGAAGCTCCTCCACTGGCGACGCACCATGCCATTCCCACTCCCACCAACCCCGTCGCCAATCCCACATCTAACCAGCGCCTGGTTCGATCTGAACTACTACACGCACATGACAATGCTATACCGGCCATCTCCTCTCTTTCCGTCTCTCGACGAACAGAAAGTGAAGGTGTTAGCGACAGCTGCAGCAATGGCTATTCGGCAGGCGATGAATCTGCATCGGCAGGGACGGTTCGCGTATAACTGGTTGAATCTTTTAGGGGTGTTTCAGAGTGCGGTGGCGTTGATGTATGCTACGCTGGCGAGGCCGGATGAGTTGGGGGTTGTGGTTCGGGAGAGTAAAGTAGTTGAGGATTTGGGGCTGGTGGTGGAGTTGTTGAGGGCTTTTGGGAGGAAATTTGGGGTTGCGGGGAGATTGGAGAGGATTGTGGGGGTAGTGGTGGGGAGGTTGGGGGAGTTTTGTGAGGGAGGTAGGGTTGGTGTGATGGTATGAGTATAGGAGGCAAGATAGCTATGTTACGAAAGATAGTGCTTTGTATACAATAGGTTTAGCAAGGTCGGTATTTAGTTCTCGATTTAGTACTATATATCAGGTTCAACAGATGCAAATTGTAGTGGTGTGGTAGCTAGACAGTAGATATAAACAATTTTGATGAACGCCGAACATTATGAAGGCTGAAAGCTCTCAGAAAATCCAGGCACACCTCAGGAAATACGCGCGGTATCATAAATGTAGTTCTCAATAGTCATGTCCTTGTCTTTTGCCAGACTAAGTGCAACCACCGTGATGGGGCCGCCTCGAATGAGAGACGGCAGCGGACCACCAGGTGCGACTAGCTCAGCTTGAAGGACTCCAGTCACAATCAAAATAGGAAGGCATGGTTTCACTCTGTGGATGTGGTTGACGAAACGCGTGATGGTTTCGGCACTATCCGCGACAGCTTCCACAAGCACAACAGTGTCCTTTTCCTGTAGATGGTCGAGATCGATCTCTTCTGGGTCATATGCTTGCAGCGGGCAAGCTTCCTTGAAGACATCGCAAATTCCGGCAGCCATGTGGTGACTATTTCCCATTAGGGGAACGATAAGCATGCCGCTTTCACGGACCAGTTGATAAACAGTCGCTTTAGGCTCCTGGTGATTTTCAATTGCAACCTCCTCAAGGCCTCGTAGCTCGCTTATGTATTCGTTGGCGAGATACCATTCAGCTTCGTGAAAGACCTTTTCCTCCAGATCGTGATTGGGAAAATAAATCGTTTTCAGAATTTCCGTATGCAGCAGCTTTGCTGTGCCCTTGTGGGTCGCGTGAGTAAGGGTAAACTGATGTTGAACGAGTTGATCAAAAAATGCCGGCTCCTCGAGTTCCCTCAGATGGAGGGTGGTTGAATCTATGCAATCCTTCGAATCCTTCAATGTCGAAGCCATGCCGGATAACCATTCCGCATTACAGTGGGGATTAGTTGGCCGATGAAGGATAATCGGATAATGTGCTCGATGAAGCATCTTCTCAGGCGAACCGGAGCCTCCAAAGGCCCATACCTGCAAGTTATGGACTGTCCTGAGGCGTTCGACCAGTCTCTCTTTAACCGAGGGGGTCACGATATAACCGTTAGAAAGTGGGCCCGAGCCAATGACTTTGATGGAATGTGAGAGACCCTCTTGGGCCAGAACTCTTTCCCACAGCAAGCGTAGTCTGGAAGTCACTATGATTATGCGAAGGCGCGGACACTGCGAGACACGATTTAAAAAGCTTCTGATTTCAGGATATAGAGAAATTGCGGACGCAGCCTTTTCGCAGGTCTCGTCAAATCGGCCCTCCGCCGCAACTTGCTCATAAGCTAAGCTTGATTGGCGGCAATCAAAGTCATCGTGTATGAATCCGCACCATGGATGCTTATCCGGCAACTGACGGCGTCCCTCGTCAACATCGGCACAATCACCGAAATAATATTTTCCCCAGAAGATCTGCTCTTCATATTTGGGTGTGAGGATTCCATCGCAGTCCATGACTATAACCTTCTCCACATGCCCTTGCCAAGGGGCTACAATCTCGTCAATACACTTATCCACTATACCTTGGTTGTGCTCTTCATTTCGATCAAGCTGAATGGTGTGGATGAGGGTGATAATCCTCGAAATGTCAAGAGGGTCCACAATCATGGTGAACATGATCTTCCGGTCTAAACACGCGTCTTTCACCCCAATGATTTCTTCATCGGCCCATTCACGAAAGTAATCAAGGGAACACCAACTAAGTCCCTTTTCAGCGTCGTCCATGCAACGGCGATGGACCACCTCGACAGGGGTGTTCAAATATATAATATGCGTGAACGGCCCATTAGTACAGTCATCATCAAGAATTATCTCGCATGGAGGATAGCCGTCCTCGTCCGGTAGCATGTAATTAGCTGTGGCAACTCCTGCGACCCCTGATTGATCGCATTCATGCCTGATAGATTCAAAGGCCCTATCATTGACAAACCAGTTAGAAGGCCTGGTTTGGCCTACCTCCTCAAACTCATAGAATGAAAAAGGGCCCCCTTCGAGCTCCCTTCTGAGTTGATTGAGAAGATAGGTCTTCCCAGATCCGGGAAGGCCAAAGATGCCTATCAAGTTCTGCCTGCGTGGGTCAGATGGATTCACTGACATGGTGAAGATATTGCAGTAACCGGGAGAGGATGGGTGATGGAGATGAAGACTGGTTATGCAAAACAGACAGGAACCTTTGAAGGCAAAGATGTATCGATGATCTGGGGAGAGAGATAGAGTATGACAAATGCTCCAGTGGTGAGCAATGAGTCGATAGGAGAAAGTGACATCTATGGTACAACGACTACATACTTATATCAAGGCAAGAGCAACCATGCGGTTCACATAGCATGTAGGGAACGCATAAAGTCCATTGCTTGAGCTTGAATCCAGGGAACCCCCACTGAATTACATGCTTGGTATTGTTCCATGACGGTAAGCACCATGCGATCTTTTAACTGTTATGCGGTCGTTCGTATATCTGAGATTTTCCATTTGAAACATTGTATCATGTACGAGTCACTTTGAGGTACCAGTAACAATTAATCACTGTTAGGTCCCGTCAAATACAATAATAGTAAACAAGAAGTCCTTGGACATCTTCGTATAGGACTGATAGTGAAGGGGTTCTGCCTGTATCTGCTACGATACCTGCGTGGATAATCGCACACATGTGAAAGCATCTTCTCAATCCTTAATCTTCGGCAGTTCGACAACATCGCAATAAACCAACAGCAAAGCAGCCTGAATCCGGGGGCAACCGAATAATTTATACCATCACCACCGCCAACAATTATACCCAAAGTGAGGCGAATCAAATAATTGGTCCACAACCAGCACCATGAGTTGTCCTCGGTGCTTAGCGATAAACGGTTGTTTCAATTCGTTCCAACCACCCCACTCAAATGCGTCAACGTGGACAGCTCCACAAAATCGCATATCACGATCGTAAATACACCTAGGCCCCAACCCAGATAATGTCAACCCCCGGAAACATCCACCACCACCACCACCACCAAAAACGCTCACTTACTGTCCTGCAAGACCAAAAATGGTCTTCAAATCCCTCCCCAACCTCCTCAGCACCCTAACCACTATCTCCAAAACCACCCACGACCTCCTCTCCACCATTCTCATCGCCCAAGACTCCCACGGCGACAATCCCCTCTACGCCAGCACCGCCCTTACCCTCGCCAGCAGCTTCGCACCCCCCGCGCTCGCAGCAATCACCATCCACCAAGCCCTCGAAACCAACACCCAACTGCGCCAAATCTCCTCCCACCTCGGCACCATCTCCGACACTCTCGCCCGCGACAATGCACTCCGTGTCGCATCCGAGTTCCCCACCCTCGTGTACAACATGCTGCAACACAAAATCAAATCCGAGCCGTCCTCGATATGGTACCTCGTCTACCACCCCGACACGATCTGGCGACATCATTTCGAGGATTTGGTCCTGAACCGGGGTGTGTTAGGCGAGCGATTCATTGGCATATTTGGGAGCTTGGATGCAGTGGTTATTTATATGCAGGCTATGAGGAGGGCGGGTGTGGGGAGAGGAGGAGGGGGTGAAGGGGAGGTGCACTTCAGGTTGCTTGTTCCGGCCTATTATCCGATCACGGTGGAGACGCCGGTTAGGTTTCCGGTTGAGAGTATTGAGCCGTTTGATTTGTACTGTGATGTGCACAATGGGGTGCCGTTGGTGAGCATGTTTCTTCCGGGTGTGAGGGAGGGCGAGTTGGGGAATGTGGGGTTGTGGAAGCCGCAGAGAGGGTTTTGGGAACAATGTAAGTGTGCATATACCTCTGTGTTTGACGGGTGTGGGGTGCTGACAGATTAGTGTTTGGGATAGGATCTGGACAGGATGAGAAACCCCGGTTGCTGGGGATGCAATTGCTGCATGATGGGGAGAATGGGAATATGGATGGATTGGCGATTCATAATCAGTCCATCGATGGGGATAAGATAGGTCAATCTGGAGAGCAGGTACAAGTGCAAGAGACGATGCGCGAAGTGTTGGCTGAAGATCCAATGAGTGGTGACGAGTACATATATGAGGAAGCTGTTGGTCGAGAGACAGATGATGAGCTGGAGCGCGCCTCTACAGTCGCATCTGCCGGAGAGACAGAACAGCATACCATTCGACATCATTCGCGTCGACATAAGAGTCGGCACAGCACTGCATCCCAGGCTGGATCTGTGGCTGGCAGTGACTTCTACTCTGTTTACTCGTGGACCTCTGGTCAGAGCTCCCGTAGCTCGGGCAGGAGACACAGGCGTCGCCATACCAGTCGGAATGGAAGCGATCGAAGCACGCGTCGATGAAATGTAGCCCGCAAAGAAGACTTATACTGTCAATTTGGACAGAGAAGCGCCAACATACTACCAGCTACAAAGAAGGTACAAGCCGTAGTGGGAGACAAGAGTCCCTCGCTACTTCGAACAATTGGGACAGGATTCCAACACGGGATTTCGATTAATCATGCTGAAATTATCCTATATGCATATCGACGTTCATCAGGTATATCGAAGTCACTACCACTCCAACGCAATCGTCTTCGCCTTGGGTCCTCCACACTCATACAACGCCAACAGCCGTCTATCATCGAGGGTGAAGATACCCGGCCAATGACTCGAGTCCGCACATACCGTCGTCGGCCTCGTCCACATAATCCTTCCCTCATGTGGCATCGACCCAAAGACGACCTTAACGCAAGCATTTCTAGTCCAATTGACCTCACCGAAATCCTCATCGCACATGAAGATAACAGCCAAAGACCCATCACCCAGACTGGCAATCTGCGGGGCCCCCGCATTATGTCCTTGCGGGGGCACGTACACCTGCTGCCTGCCACCCCACGTCTCGCCATCATCATAACTGACCAGCGCCTCAACATCGAACGTCCCATAAGTGGTCGTCTCGAACACCATAACCAAGGCCTCACAATTCCTCGCCTGATCCCACGTCCTTGCGATACCATTCATACCATCTCTGCGCTGATCCTCCGCCCCATGCAGACAGTGCGGCGCCGACCATGACGAACCGCCATCATACGACCTCACCAGCATTGTGCACTGGTTATTATGCGCAAACTCCTGCGAGTACGTGAGCTGGATCTCGCCCGGCCGACGTCCAAGCCTCATAAATGGTTCCCAGATACCCAAGGGAGCGGGCTTCTCCGCGGCCTGGGAGGCGAAGGACCAGCTGCGCCCGGCGTCCGTGGAACGGCAGACAGTAATGCGGAAGTGTGTGGGGCCACCAGGGCCGATATCGTGGTTACGGAACGCAGCGAGGACAGTTCCGGGGCCGATCTCGAGGAGGTACACGTTGTCGACGTCGCCCTTGCCGCGGGTGATCTCGCCATGGTCAACGAAAGTTTGGCCATTGTCTTCGCTGATAGAGACCATTAGGACGCGTTCACCGTCGCCGACGAATCGCGTGAAGGAGGCCAGAATGCGACCGTCGTGGAGGCGCGCGAGGCGTGGGTAGGTGCCTGCGGGGTGGGGGGAGAGGAGGCGCTCGTCGTTGTGGATGACGCGGTTGCCGGCGAGGCGGTTGTCACCCGGTGGGGGCGGTTGTTGGTAGGGTTGGCCTTGGCCATGGCCGTGGTGGCCGTGATGGTCGATCCCTAAGGTGTTGAGGATTTTCTGGCCAAAGTGTCCGGGCATGATGATGGTAGCAACAATTATGAAAGACAGATAACGTTGGAGTGGGAGGTGTTTGGACCCTGGGACCCTGAGAGCTGACAGGCGGGGTATTTATTAGGAGATGGAGACAAAGTGGGGAGTGGCTGAGGCCCAGGATGACGTCATCAGGGGGATCGGCGCTGAAACACGGTTGCCTGACCTGATGCTATAATTATGATGATGTTCACTGAGCTTTTTAGCCTTGTTGATGAATGTTAAGTGATGGGCGGGTGAATGGTAGATGGTGATGTGATGCGGTGGGGTGAATGGCGAACAAGGCATACGGAGGCGGCATGTAGGGCTGATCCGCAGCCGTCATGGCCCTGTTTCGCGGGGAAGGATTAAGTGTCGGTAGCTTGATTGGGTGAGAATCTTTGTTTTGATAGTATCTGTGCTATGGGGTACGTAATTGGTCTTTGCCCCTATAATTATTCTTAGCTTATTGGCTATGGGAGCCAATAATGCTTCTTGATCCCTCTGTATCTGGCCAGAACCAACACCATCTCCGGTTTAAGGCAATGTTTATCAAACAGTCTGGGCGGTAATGCGTCTTGGCAGGCGCAGGGCGATCATTACAACCGTATCGTCTCGTCATCATTGTCATCATATCGATATTCAACTACTGAAATGTTTCATTCTCAGGGGTTCTGTATTGCTAGGCAGCGATCACTTGCATCTATCCTATTCAAATCATGCTGCACCAGGAAGCTTACCATACCGTTGCCGTCACGTCTTCATTTATCCACCAGATCACCTACCTACCATGACTTTTCCAGAAACACGTGTCGACGATGGATGTAAGATTGGCCTGCTTCACTTATATACCAATCACTAATATCTTCAAGAATGAACGAGAACAAGCAGCTCAAAAAACGATACGTCAAATTCAATCCGACCGAGCTTCAGCGTGTTGCAGGCTGCCACGGGCACCTTCCCTTTAGGGAAGGATGTAGTAGAGAACTCTTCTTTACTTATTCCACATGATATATCTATCAAGAATTTTTCTAAAAAAGATAAATCAGATCCATTTTTATATAATTATCTAATTTTTTATTAAATCTCTAGAATAATCCTATAGGTTTCTGATCAGGAGCCTACACGCCGACAGTAATAAATTAATAGTATATTCTATAAGCTCTACAGAACTTACTTCTTTTTCTATGTTATTAGTATAGATTATATTCAATAAGAATAACCTGATCTGATTAAATTGGCATCATATTAATAAATATCACACGAAGAATTAAATAATATTTGTGTCCGATATTAGAGCAGGCTTTTAAATATTAAAGATTGATATACACTCTAGAAAACACGTATCAAGATCTTTCTATATATTATAATTTCTTATTTATATAACTGATGATCAGGGGAGTTAACCGCTTCTTCCTATGCATACAGATTCGTGCTTTTAATATCAAACTTTCATCTTTATGCTATGTCAGATTATTCCTGTAAACGCAAGCAACATCGACATATCTTTCAAGCAACTTCTGCCTCCCACATTTTCGCCGAACATCGCTCTGACGCCTGCACCACCTGCGCCGCCTGCACCTCCTGCGACGCCTGCCCCTCCTGCGACGCATGCACCTCCTGCGCCGCCTGCCAGGACTGGGACAGCTGCTGCTCCGCTGGTTATAGACAATGGCAACGGAAATGCTGTGCCCGCACCGCCAGCCGCAGGCGATTGGGCCCAGCATTTAGTTGATACCATAGAACGCGTACGTAACATATATCTTCGCCTGAATAACCTGGCCCGAGAAGTCTACCTGCTTTATGTTTTCCACATCAAACTGAACTTCATCGACAGGCGTCGGGACGACGCCTCCCGAGGGAAGGATGTAGTAGAGAACCCGTCTTTGCTTGTTACACATGATGTATCTATCAAGAATCTTTCTAAAAAGTTGAATCAGATCCATCTTCGTACAACTGTTTGATTTCCTCATTAGATCTCTAGAACGGTCCTACGGACCCCTGATCGGGAGCCTACACGCTGACGGCAGCACAGGCCAAGCAATGGGGAAAGATCATTGCCCTTTCATAGTCAAGCTTGCAGAAGGAGGATTTAAGAAGGTCTTCCTCTTAGGAACAAACTCTGGTAAAGAAGTCATAGCACGGATTCCTACTCCCATTGCTGGTCCTCCCCATTACACCACCGCCAGCGAGATTGCTACGATGGCCTTCTTGCGAGATATTCTAGAAGCTCCGATCCCAAAGGTCTTGGTGTCCTCGACAGATTCGACTAATCCAGTTGGCGCAGAGTGCATCATTATGGAACGGATAGAAGGGGTGAGTCTTGCATCACGATTGTTATCTCTCACCACAGGGGAAGTGAAGGATATCATGACACAGATAGCAGCTATTGAGCAGAAGCTTTTCGCTTATCCATTTCCTGGATATGGAAGCTTATACTACAGATGAGATCTTCAAGGGGATTTGCAGATACCGCTTCCATTAGAAGATTACTGCATCAGTCCTATTTCTGCACGGCAGTTCTGGCACGGCGGTCGAAGTGAAACTAAGATTGACCGTGGTCCCTGTGAGTTGGTTCTGAGGATTCCTATAGCTTGGAAGACATCTTACCATTGTGACAGGGCTCTCGCCCAAAGATTGCTTTACATCCGCTGCTCGCCGAGAGACCGCCTGCATATTGCAACATGCAAAACCCCGGCCTCGAAGTACATTTCTTCACCCTACCACTTCAGATATCGAACCGTCGGAATATACCTCACTCCTCTCGAAATTCCTGAAACTTGCCCCTTCGTTGATACCAACAAACCCAGACCATACTTCTCCCATTCTGCGACATCCGGACTTGAATCTGAACAACATCTTGATAGCGCCCAATTCCGCAAAGATTGCTAGTATCATAGATTGACAGGATAGTATCATCTTCCCGCTCTTCATGCAGGCAGGCTGTCCAGCCTTTTGCGAGCATGATTCGTCGAAGACTCAAAGCTTATAGATTCCATCCCTCCCAGATAACTTTTCCAATATGAGCAGCGAGGACAGATTAAAGCAAAAGCTGAATTTCGCTCCGAGGAAGCAAATCTCTACTACACAGCAGCTACTGGGTTGTATAATGATATCCACTGGAGCGCCTTGAAGATCCCGCACCTTGGCATGCGACACTATCTGTATCAACAAACAGGGTACCCTTGGGATGGAGATGTCATTAACATTCGTGCTGCTCTTGTTGGTATCACAACATCGCACGTCTGGAGTAACATTACATCGGAATGCTGTCCGGTGACGTTCTCTGATCAAGAGCGACGAACAGCAATGGAGGAGTCAAATGAGTGGAATGAGTCCGAGGAACTCCTAACTATCATCTGGAACGACTTAGGTATTGACCCTGAAGGTGGTACAGAACCTGCGAACTTTGACTGGGCGTCTTGGAGGAACTTGGAATATAGATTAGAGATGCTACGGCAGGCCGAAGAGGATGAGCGTGATATCTGCTGGCGGAACTGGCCCTTCAAGGACGATACGGACATCTCTTCTCCGCCGTCAGTATCATAAGATTGTGAGGTAGAAAGAGACAGTCGCGCGACCATTGCAACCTGGAAACTGGTGTGGGATGAAGATTTTCCCTATGTCTCAAATAACAGGTATGTCAGGTTCACCTGACTCTAATCAAAGGACAGTTAATGCATCCACTGGAGCACTTATGCTACCTATCTTGATTCTGTTCAGTATAATCTGTGCGCACAAGCATTATCTCTCTCTAAAAAAAAAAGAAAAAATAGATAAATAAATAAAAAGGAAAGTTTACATACAACAGAAGGGATTCGCTGGTGGTCACCCACCCAACTACTAACCTCCCGGCGTGTGGCTTGAGTACGGCTGAGCGGACGGGAAGCCCTATTTTCCACACCCTGTGGTCGTATGTGCTTATTATACCTTTGATCATTCTTATATGCGACCTGTTGAAAGAACAAAGGCCCTGCGTGACAAATTGAGCTTTAGTAGAGTACTGTGAATGTACGCATGCATGCTTTGAGTTCCGTCTGAGTTGCGCGACCCCCCCTCCTCCTTCCCTTCACTGTATCTTGTCCGTAGTAGAGATATGGTCTCTAGCGATAGGGAAATACATGCAAATCATGATATTCTCATGCTCTACCTTGCAAATCCACTTCGCTGAGATATATGGTCCCCAGTCCGCGTATTTATCTCCCAATTACTTAACAAAAATGTTACTTCGACTCCCAACCCACCGAATCGACCATGCCAATCATTGATGGGGCTGGAGATGCAGGAACATTGTCAGAACGTCCGTGTTTTATCGAGAAACGTCTTAACGCACTCTACTAATCCGGTCAATTAGGATGCTGATTCCTCAGAAGAGACAATCACCGTTGTCATTGACCAGCATATTATCGAACAAGAGTCCGTTAGTAACATGAAAATTGTGCACTTGAAGCAGCCACCAAACTGTATTGCAATGGGCTACTCCGGATACATCTGCAAAGCCGACCAAAATACCATCATTAAACATCCAAGGTACCTTCCCGATAACGAGCCTTACAATCAAATTTACCGCGATATGATCAGCACAGAGAGGCAGATCTACGAGTGCCTGGGAAGTCATAAAGGGATTATTCCCTACTTAGGTGTTCACGACCACTCTACGGGCGCGATAAAACTCGCATGCGCACAACAAGGCGATCTTGAAAACTATATTCAAAACCACGATAAGCCTTCTGAAGCAATCCGGGCTTCATGGATTGAAACAATTGTCGAGACATTCTGGTATATCTATTCTCGCAAGGTTCTCCACCAGGACGTCAAGCCCAACAACATACTTGTTCATGATGAAAGCCCAAAGGTCGCTGACTTTGGTAATGCTGAAATATTTGCGTTGTATGCTAATATGGAGGCTATTTACATGAAAGATCCCTTTTCGCGGGTCGACATACTCGGCATTGGATGCATCATTTATTCAATAGCAGCATGGCGTGCTTTCTGGTATGACTACTTTGAACAGGATCGCTGGCCGGATTCGGGAGATCTCCCTGTGATAAGTGGATTGCTTTGTGAAGATATCATTGGGAAATGCTGGAGCGATAGCTATGAGAATATGCAGTCGCTGTATGAGGATTTCAATGTCACTATCAGCAAGAACGTGTTGTCTGCGAAGGAAGGATAATTAATGTTTATTTACGTCCTGAGAATGTGGGTCTATGGCGCGATTTCTTCGATCCGAAAGATCTGCTAGGGTCCATCGAAGCATATGAAAATGACTAAATTTGCTAATATTTTCTACCTAAGCACCACACAGTCTGGTCGACGAATATAGTAAAGTAGACCCATTTTGTATCTGTAATGAGCTTTTCTCTTCTGGAATAGCAGCGCAATTTATGGAATGCACTAAGGTCCCACGACTTGATCAGCACAAAGCGCCATTGTGTCACATCATCCCCTATGTTATATCACCGTTCAATCAACATCCATCATTTCACTATCCTCTGGCTCAGCCAATGGTGCGAACGATATAGCCCGCGCTTTTGGTCTCCAAAAGCGTCTCTCCTTAGCCCTCAATGGCCGAGGCCTATCTGGCTGTTGATCGCGATCAAAGTTCCAGGTGCGAAGCACCCAGCGCAAAAGCATAATTCCATGGAGAAGATCATAGGGATCCAATTTGAAAGGATTTCTCTCTCCAGGGATGTATTGGTAGGTGTGACGGAACATTGCTGGTTTGATCCTGGCCATTTCATGTAAAGTCCAGATCGCAGTGATCCCGATAACATTGCTCATCGTGACCTTATCCCAGTCCACTTTGGGAGGTTCGGTGTCATCAAAAATCGATATATAAGACATGTCTTGGGACCAACCAAATAGCTGCATGTCAATAGTCAGAATGTCCCTTGCGTCATCTTGGGCCCTCTTTGAAGGCTTCATGCAACCGACAAAGTCCTCGAGTATTTTCGTCATTCGTGGGCCGCTCCGGTAGCACAGGTCCCATATCTCTGTGGTGTCCTTCATGCCCCAGGCTCCGGCGAGGAGTTCATCATCTGAGCTGAGCTGATTTACATAGCCTGCGGTGTAGTTGACACCTTCGATCTCGTTGTATCTTTCATCTTCGATAGAGGGGAGCGGGGAGTTGTGAATGCTGCTCTTTAGCTCTATGAGATATGAGATATTAGTTGATGAATGTAGGCTGTGTGAAAATGGGATACGCCTTTGATTTTGCATGCAATATCGAGTCCAGGAGGCACTTACTGGTCATGATTCTGACCCTTGATGTGGTGGACTTGCCCACAGATGAAATAACTTGACGATTCTATTAGAGGGACTCTGTCATGTACATATGTTCGACAACTGGCTCTCTTCCTTATATGTTACCTGGGCTAGAGGAAAACCAAATTGCTGTCAGACTACATCGGGTATTTCCTTCACTTCGTTGTAGCAGGGATGCCGGCGGTAATACGCGCATGACAGTGAACCACCCCGTCATTCAATGTGTAACCTTCTCCTATTTTTTAGGTGGGGTAGATTTACATGTAATGTTGGAGTTGCCATTTATACAATGAAACCCTGCGTGTCTTATATGTAGACTATTAAGGTATTGTCTGAATATTTTCCAGGCTAGTTCCGATACTCGAGGATATTTGCACACAGAATTGACCCTTGAGGCGCAACCATCTTCTTGCGCATCACTAGCTCTTGATGTACTAACTCTTGGTAATGAAATATGAACTACTGTTTATACCATTAACGCACCAGATGCTCTTTCTCACAAGTAATATTTCTTTTCTAGCGAGTCCGTTCAATTACTAGTACGGGATTTTGTCACTCAAGTTTCTTTGTTCTCCTTTCGCTACTACGAGAAACACCATTCTGAAACATTCAGAACCTATAATATAGATATTAGAGAAGACTTAGATTTGCAGGCACATTGCTCTCGGTCTCATGAAGTTGTATATGTCCAAGGATAAATAGAAGTATCTGTTGAGCTCTGTGTCGCTAAGCGGACAAATATATTTTAAACGGTAGGTGCAATATAACGATAGACAAAATCGTTATCGAACGAAGCATCATATATCATAGACAACTTAGCTCCTACTAAGGTTGATTCTGGTATATAGAGCGTCCTCTCATTCAAGATAGCCTTACTTTGCTACTACCTTCTTGCTTTTCTCAATCGCGGCAAAGAAAACTTCCAAATTCGGACTTCAGCTTCAAAAATAAACCCTCCACAGATTTTTCTTTCTAATTAACCAACTCATTGTACTCAACGGCAATTAGGATAAATCTCAAAAAACCCTTGTTTCCAAAGGGATGTATTCCCCTATGTTTTGCTGATCGGAACTCATGAATATCTGCGTGATCCTGGAAATAAAATTGTCCAGATGCTCCTTGATCCAGCTTCCAACACCACCTAGAATATCCCATAACCAAGAGAGCGTGGATTTGATTGCATCAAATACCTTTCGGAATCCAGTTTTGATATCATCCCAGACTTGCGAACACACGTTACAAATATATTGCCAGAACCCCTGATCTTGGGGTGAACTATCATTGGACGGCTCATCGTCAAATGAGTCATTGTCGAGTAGTCCCTCTTCAGACCGTTCATTATCAGACCATTCTTCATCGTGCGCGCCTTCCTCAGACGATTCATCGGGATATGGGTCATCATTATATGAGTCCTCCTCTTTTGGATCATCAGGATGCTCCCACGTGTCTTCAAAAGAACCGAACAACTTCCCTTTCAATAAGATCCATTCTTCTTCCATTCTCTTCCTCATATCAGGCGTGATGCGCGAGAGCCCGAGGGGAGGAACATTCTTATTGCGCTTCCTTGGCTTGGAGCCCTCATGTCGTGAGGAGCCGGATGCCCACCCGGACATGAAAGGGTCTCTAAGGTAGCATGTCAGTGCATGACTATATGACACCTTTGGTTAGCTTGTAACACTCGATGGAGACTAACTCATTCATATGCATCTTTGGCGGTGTAGCCTGGGAATATGTGTTTTGGTAATCTTCGTTGCGGCGTGCAGGATGTGCATCGGGCCCCCTGGAAATATCATGACATCCTTAGAGCGGAAGAATATTCCGGAGGAATGAATATGTATTCCTTCAACATGACGATGTTTGCATAAAATGGCTAATCGTAGGTAACATATGTCCAATCCAGCAGGAAGAAAAGGAGACATGAGAACGTAACTCTTTTTTGAGCAGTTGCTCGCTGCTGAGTGACTTTGAGGCTGTGTATGGTTAACCATTCAACAACAATCAAAAACCGATACTGCAAATCCTTTCAATCTTATCTCTATCCCCGGCTACGCTGCTACTTTACAATAGTCCCTATCAAATGAAATTTCTTTTTTGGTCTCTCACTTTTGAAGAAATTGTGGTTTTGACATTCATCACTTCAACTTATCGATTCTGCAGATCTATACACCAGAATTTAGCAAGAGAATGCAACTCTCTTATGCCAATTATGGACTCGAAAGAGGTTAAAATGGTGAGTCCTTCTTTAGAGTCAAGTATTGACCTCCACATCGAGTAAAGGAGGAATATATCTCATACCCTGTCCCTCGAGTTCGATAAAGACATTCTTTGCTGCTGGTAGGCCATGTGAACTATGCTTGGCAGACTGTATTTTCATTGGATAATTGTACCAGTAAGTTATATACCATGGGTACGGAGTTTATTAATTGTGCGATATACGGGCCGTCTTTGGAAACGCAAAGAACACCAACTATGTCATGCATTCAAGCCAAGAGCTATTTAGATCGTTCTTTAGTATCATTGCACGATTATCAGTGATCGAGATAATGTCTATTTAACTGGTTATTGCGTCCGAGAAATATCTTAATCAGGATCTGCCAAGAGGCCGCCAAACTGAAGACTGGATACGACCCGCAGTCAGGGTGTAAGCTGCACGCATCATCCGGACTTTGAGCTTATCTCCGTCACTTTGCCATCAGATAGCATCATAGACTACCAGTATATAATGACTATAAACAATAGCGTATTCAGCACCCCAGGAACACCTTTTCCAAGCATTTGCCTAGTACTGTGCCCCAAAATCAAAATCTTCATGTCTGTCACCCTCCCCCTCTGCCGCAACCCGGGTCGCTCCCCTCTATCTCGGCGCCTTGACCTTCGACACCGGACATAGCAAGCGCTACGGACACTGCACGAAGGCCAACACATGTGGCATACCGGGTCTCTTTTGCAGCAAAAGTGGCAGCTTCATAGATACGGCAAATAAATATCGGTATAGACATAAGTATATCGTGAAATTCAGATCTTTACTATTAGATGCATTCTGTAGAGCTCCCGGATATAGTTCCTATCATGCAAAATTCATAACAACTTGACTACCGTGTAGACAGAATGATACGGTTCCTTTTGTTAAGATTGATGTCCTGCAAGTGCTGAATTATTCCATGCTCAATCACACTCTCATGTTCCTAAAATAACCCAATAAACAGATACCCGGAGTTAAGATACCCTTGACCCACTCCATCTCCATTGGCCCCACCAGCGGATTGACTGATAACGAGCCAATGATAACCGAAGTGTAAGCGTCTTGCGCATCTATTTAAGAGCCACATGTCGGCCTCGCCCCGTGTAGAAAGTGGTAAGGTCAGACCACCCCTCCCTTGTGCCATAGAACTTTCCGAATGCAGCTGCAACGGAGATCACAGCCCGCAGCGGCCACTGCTCCCGAGGATAACTGGAGCGGAGTGAGCAATCGGGCTATACGGCGCCGAGTGCAGAATCGCCTCAACCAGAGAGCCTATCGTGAGGACCTAGAGCCCAGCTTTGCGCAATATAGATGCTGGCACCTTTTTTACTGACAAATAATCCTCTCCTCTACTTAGGAGCACGCCAACGGAAAGATGTCCAATCATCGGGAGCCGCAAACAATATCCACAACCTATCATCATTGAGCTCTCCACATCCTCGAAGCCCGCTTCCCCCATCGGGCGCAATTACATGTAGACTATCCAGAGACGAGCATTTCCGGTGCACATTTGCCCCTCCCAATGTCCACGAGCTGATGGCCGACTTTGAAACCGGGGCTTTGCACAGCTACCTTGGCGGATCACCACAGACCGACATGCTACTGAATTTAAGCCGAATGAATGTGCTCCGGGCAGCCTACCAGAATGCCATTGCGTTAGGCATGACTGCCGAATGGCTTTGCCAGGATGATACTATCTCCATTTTCTCCAACCATGGTCCCCGTGTTGTACCGAGGAATCAGGTCAGCATCCCCTACAGTCTACGCCCAACAGCCCTGCAGCGTGCAACTCCACATCATCCGTGGCTCGATGTCTTTCCGTTCCCGTGCATGAGGGACAATCTTATCCAAGCAGGCGATGATCTTGATGATGATGAACTGTGCCATGATTTGACGGCTTTCTGGGATACGCGTAGCAGTAACGCCACGCTCCTCGTATGGGGAACACCCTGGGATCCCCGGAATTGGGAGGTTACTGAGGAATTTGCTAAGAAATGGGGTGTTTTTCTTCAAGGGTGTCCGGAGATTCTCCGTTCAACGAATAGTTGGAGGGCTAGGAGAGGCGAGAAGCCTTTGGTATGGGAACGCATCTTTGCTTCAATTGATAAATAAAACTTGTACCTGTATTGATGAAGGGTTGATGAACTTTAAATATTCCATTGCGAGTACAGAACTTGCTTTTCTTGATTTTGAAGCGTCCATTGACCAATTGGGACCCTTATCCATACTTTTATTCAGCCGCTATCCTACAGTAGCTGGTTCTTAGGCACTGGCTCTTTTGATATCCTACTATGTGCAAGGAGATCTCGGCCCCGATGTCGCAGCAACGGCTTTGGCACCTGGAGAGGCGCTCCATTGGGCTCTGAAGTGGAGAACGCTATCTGCTTACAATTTCAACCCGATTGGTCGATGCTTGCAGTAAACTAGATCAATGCTCTGAACGGCGGCTGCACCTTGCTGACAATTTTGCTCTTATTGGCTAGAGATATCAGCATCAGATTTACAAGTGGGTCGTGCACCATAGTGCGTTCAAGGTTCGTCGGACAACCGCCTAACCAGTGATCATGATACTGGCGTTCTATCATGGAAGCCCATCTGTCTCGAATAAGAGTCACTAAATCAATCCAAATACTAAAAAAGGTATTGCTTAGTAGCATCAGCAAAGTACATCCCAGCAGCTCTGATGATATTGTCGCCAACAAGTGCGGAGCTCGACGTGTTCTGACCTGTATACAACTTGCCGTTCTCTCCACTGGTGAGAACCTTGACGCCGAAGGGGCCAACGGCCTTCTCATAGATTCTTCATACTTGCGTAGTTCCGTCTCCAGCACAAAGGACATATCTCGGCTAAATTGGAGGATGTCTTCCTCCACGTCAGAGATGCCAATGAAATTCTGTCCTGCAACCAAGCAGGTCCCATTCGATGACTTGACATTGGCCAGGGCAGCAGGACCATGGCACACGGCTGACACGACTTTGCCAGCCTCGTAGAAATCCCGCACCTTTGAATGGGAGCTAACTTACGACCGTGACCACCAACATAGGATATCCCTGCAAACTCAGACGCCTTACCAAACAAGGTCTCGAGCTTTGCTGTGTTCTTCCAGACACTGGAATTCTCCTTTCAAAAGCCAACACAATCTGGACCCTCTCTTGTCGCTTCAATCGACTAGGAATTCAGGAGTGCTTCATCGCCAACAGCAGACGAGACCACAATATCAAAAACGGGCGCCAGTTTGTAGTAGGGATGAACTAGCTATGATAAAAACCACCCGGTGGGCGTGTCTCGGCTTGGGAGAATGCTCTAGGAAGAGAGGACGAAGATGAAATTATGTTTCAGCAGCATGGCAGTAGTTTTTTTCTTGCTTATGCTTGAAGACTCGGGTCAAGGGACAAGAACTAACTGATCAAGGAGGATATGTTCGGTGGATTCACATGTATTTATTTGATGACGCCCAGTCATATTGCGGTATATTTCCGGACACAATCTAGAGTAGGCCTTGCCACTAAATATTCTCCACATACTTAGTGGAACCTTGAATAAATGACAATAAATAGCCGGAAGTCTACGAAACGCCAGTAAGCTTACGGACTTAGCGGATGTAAATCACCCGGGCGGCAAAGATGGAACCTACATAAGACTGACCTCGCCCTTCAGTCAGAAGGGTTAAAACACCTAACTTCCTTAGTAGCATTTCATACTCCAGAACACGTTTACTCTGAAGAGAGACTTTCATCCACAAGATCTCCATAAACATGACTTATACAATCACCGTCGTTTTCCCCAACGAGCCCGATGCCCAATACGACATCGATTACTACACCAATGTTCACATGAGGCTAATTGAGAAGCATTGGTCAAAGTATGGTCTCAAGAGCTGGTCTGTCACCAAGTTTGGTCCGTCCTTGGATGGTACAGCCCCTATGTATGCCGTTGGTAGCCGAGTACACTGGGAAAGTGAGGAGGGGATGAAGAGAGCATTTGAGAGCCCCGAGGTCCCGGAGATTATGGGCGATGTTGTCCACTTCAGCAACAAGCAACCTATTTTCCTATTTGGCGAGACTGTACAGCCTTCTCCCAATCCTTGAGGGCTCGAGGTAGGTATTTACCCGATAAGAGTATCTAGGGTTGGTCGTGACTCATTGATTACAGGGGTGCTTCTTCAGTGAATCAGCACATTATCCTTCATATGGTACGTTTCGGATTGATTCCTGAGGTTGCTTTCAGCTGATATTTCCAGAACAAGAGTCCGCCAGTCGTTCACTTTCCCTATTTCTCTAAGATTAGCTTGACATCCGGTGTTGCTTTACATGAATGAAAGGATGGTCGTTTTCTACCCAGGCCGCCCGCCTTCGGGGTATATGGAGGGTACCTTAATTACTAGAACTGGAACAAACTTCGAGATATATCGTACTACTACACTATCATAAGTTTGACTCTATAAGTATAGGATACTCCTACTTTTGAGCGGGATACAAGCCAACCCAGCAAACGGCAATGTGTTTGTGTACACAGTAGTAAATCATATGTACTATAATCTTATCTTATCTGTATCCCCAACTCCCCAGGCGACCCCCTTCACCCCCGCATCGGCGACCTCCGCCACCACCCCATCTATAAAACAATACCCCCTACACAAACCACAACCACCATCACTAATACCCACGGATTTCAAGCCTCAAATCCCACTCTAACCCACTCCTATTCCCAAAACCAAACCACAAATCAAAATGCTCCTCACCAACGCCACAATCCTTACTCTCTCCCCGACCCGCACAATCCTCACCAACGGCGCCCTCCGCACGCAATCCAGCTACATAACCGACATCGACAAAACCCCCGCTCTCCTAGCCAAATACCCCGACGAAGAAGTAATCGACCTCACCGGCCACATCCTCATCCCTGGGCTAATCTCCACGCACATGCACACCGCCCAGACCCTCCTCCGCGGCTGCGCAGACGATCTCGAGCTGGTATCCTGGCTGTGCGAGCGCATCTGGGTCCTACAGGGGAATTTCACTCCCCAGGATGGGTACGCCGCTGCGAGATTGAGTATTGCGGAGATGTTGAAGAGTGGAACGACGTGTTTTTTGGAGAGTATGGTGTGTTTCTCATTTCATTTATTTTTCTGTTGGATTTGTGGTTTTTTGGAGAGGGAGAGATATGCTAATGACTCATATTTGGGGAGGGGAATATAGTTCGCAGACAGGTATGGGTTTGATGGGCTGTGTCGTGCCGTCGAGGAGAGCGGGATCCGAGGCTGCTTGGGCAAGATCGTCATGGATACTGGCCGGTACGCGAAAGATGATGCGTGGGCGATGCATCCGGGGTTGATTGAGGATCGGGAGACTTCGTTGCTAGGCACGATGAAGATGTGGGAGAAGTGGAATGGGAAGGCGGATGATCGGATTAGGGTTTGGTTTGGGGCGAGGACGCCGGGGGGGTATATATTTCCCTTTTCTATCTCTCTATGTTCCGGTCCATGAGGGAGATCTGGGTGGTGATGGTCAAACTAACGATGTTTTCAGTGTCTCTGCCTCCCTCTACAAAGAAATGACCGCCCTCTCAGCCAAACACAACATCCCCATCACCATGCACTGCGCCGAAGTCTCCGCAGACCGAGACTTCTTCTCCTCCGTCGACCACACCCCCATGACGTACTGCGACAGCGTCGGCCTGCTCTCCCCATCTACAGTACTAGTGCACATGGTCCACCTCGACGACGGGGACATCTCCCTTCTAGCCAAGTCCGGGACGCACGTCGCGCACTGCCCCACTTCCAATGCAAAGCTCGCGTCCGGGACATGTCGTGTGCCGGATCTGCAGCGTGCCGGGGTGAATATCGGGCTAGGGACGGATGGTGCGCCGTGCAATAACACCTGCGACATGTTGCAGGAGATGAAGCTGGCGGGGATTATCCATAAGGGAGTGAGTGGGGATCCTACGGTTGTGAGTGCAGAAGAAGTGCTAGAGATGGCGACGATTAATGGGGCCAAGGCGCTGGGGTTGCAGGATAGTATTGGGAGCTTGGAGGCGGGGAAGAAGGCGGATATTGTGGCGATTGATGCCAGGGGCGTGGAGATGCAGCCGTGGTTCAATCCGGTTAGTGCGGTGGTGTATACGGCTACGGGGAGAGATGTGAGGTTTGTGATGGTGGACGGGAGGGTTGTGGTTAGGGAGGGCGAGTTGGTGACGATGGATGAGGGGGAGGTGGTCAGGGAGGCAGAGAGGAGGAGTAGGGAGGTCGTGGAGAGGGCTGGGTTGGGGGGGAAGGTGGGTGCGAGGTGGCCGGTTGTGTGAGAATTGATTGCATTAGATCCTTAAATACAGATAATTGATTAAAGCTTTGGTAACCACAGAGTCTGCGAGTTGCACCATCCTGTCAGTCCGTTCAATCCCCACTCGACTCCCAGGCCGCTCTTCTTGTGTCCTCCGAATGGTACGGATGGTGCACATTCGAAGTGCGAGTTCACCCAGACTGTGCCAGCCTCGAGCTGATCTGCCATGCGTCGTGCGCGCTGCAGGTCCCGGCTCCAGACAGATGCCCCTAGGCCGTAATCGGTGTTGTTGGCGCGCGCAAGCACGTCCGTCTCGTCGGACCATTTGAGAAGCGGCAGGATTGGAGCGAATGGCTCCTCCTGGACGACGCGGGATGTCTCAGGCGGGTTGTCGACGATTGTCGGAGTGATGAAGTAGCCAGTTCGGTCTGGGATGGAATGGCTGGAGAGGGTGCTGAAACCGCTGGAATGGATGTTGTTAAGAAGATCGGTGGCTTTGTCGTATTGCATTTTGTTTTGCAGAGGCCCAATAAATACATCCGGCTCGGTCCCCTCGCCCATCTTCAGGCTTTGAACATGCTGGACAAGTTTGTCGCGGAACTCATCGTAGATCTTCTCCTGCACGTACAGGCGCTTGATCATCATGCAGATCTGACTGGAGCATAGGAAGGAGAGAAAGGCAATCTATACAATTAGGAGAGCTAAAGGAGCGTAGATGATGCGACGTACCTGGGGAACTATAGCATCAATGTCCACATCCTCGCAGACAATGCAGGGGTCATTCCCGCCCAATTCCAGTGTCACTTTCTTCAAAGTCTTGGCACAACTAGCCATGACACGCTGACCCGTAGCTATTGAACCCGTGAAGCTAATCTTCTGAATGCCCGGGTGCTCGGTAATCATCGGCCCCAAATCATCACCCCCACTAAGCGCCTGCACCACGCCCGGCGGAAAGCATTGGGCTGCCAGTTCTGCCAGCTTTAAATCACAGTATGGCGTGTATGGGGAGGGCTTGACGATAATAGTGTTACCCGTGTATACAGCCGGGACAATTTTGCCGATAGCCAACAGTACGGGAAAGTTCCAGGGCACAATAGCGGCGGCCACACCGATGGGAATATAGCGCTGAATAACTTCGCGGTCTTCTGTCTCACTGACAACCGTCTTGGGGATGGCAATGGTACTGAGCGAACGGGTCCACTGAATGGCCATGTCCAGCTCGGTCGATGCCTGGCTCAGGGATTTGCCCTGCTCGCGGGACAGAAGTGCCGCCAATCCTTCTTTATTGGCCGCGATGAGATCAGCATAGGAATGGATGACAGTGCGACGCTCGTCAAACGAGGTCCGTGACCATTGACGAAACGCTCGGCTGGCAGCATCCACTGCGCGATCGAGATCTTCTGCCGTCGAGACTGGCACCTCGGGGTTGGGCTGGCAGTTGGCCGGGTTAATTCCATGACGGGTTTGCGTCGTGGATGTCAATTCGTTGTCGATAACATTATGAAAGGTCTGGTCTATTAGATCGGATGCAGATGGGAGAACTGTTAATTAGTCACTCACTGTAAAATCCAAAGCCATGATGTCTACAAATTGCGATTAAGTATGGTGATGGAAATGACAGAAAGCAGACAAAAGATAGAGGGCATGACCGGACTATATAAGAACACCGTCGCAATGGCCTACGAGTGATGAAATAATCTAGCCATATGATAGTCGGCCAAAGCCGTTGTTTTGAACTCTATATGCTGGCCGCATTCAGCCAGGTTGCTGACATTCCCCGCACCTTGAAATCTAGTTTGTCATTGCGGTGCGCATGGGAACTGTTTAGCTCCGACAGTGAGTGGACGCCAGTTTGATCGTCGGACGCCTGAATTGCCGTCTTTGTCTCACCTTCCAATCACGTTGACCTGCAGCATGCCGCCTTGACAAGCGTCACACAGCTGGAACGTGGAAGAGCTGTGCGCTGTGATGTTATCGACATGAGTGACACGAGGCACGGACGGCGTCTTTTGCCTCCAGTCGGAGATTTTCCGCCTTCAAGTTCAGCTGCCAGCCGGTGGCTCCGGTCTGTTGCCTGAGGCGGCGTTCTCCGGCGCCTGGGTAGCCTTAACAGCAAGTAGACACATGATAGATGCACATCTTGATGATTGGACCCTTTGCGTGCGTGCGTCTAGATTGTCCGTAGATCGCCGGAGTATCTCTCGGCAGGTGTTCTGTGGCGAGGATCCCAGCTGGCTCGAGCGCAAAGTGCAAACACCGCGTCAAGCGAGTGTGATTAAAACAGCAAATAAATATCAAACTAACTAGGTCACAGGAGCATTGCTTATTCTTAAATTTCTCTATTGCTTCTGTGAGCAAGAATATGCAGATGCTGACTAATCCTACGGAGCAGCGGAGAAACCTGCCGATGAACATGCCCACTATTGTCGGTGCCTTCAGCAAGACGGCCAATGCGACAATTTACGCTGGGTTGATCTACTCGCAACCCTGCTGGAAGCGGTTACTGAAACATTCAGCTTGATCAAACTGGCTAGGATGGAGGATAGCCTCGCAGCCGAGTTTGGTCATGGGACTTTCGCTCCGAGACTGTACAGGCTTGTGTGTTTCCAGTGGCCAATTGTTAGAATACCAACTTGAAATATCACAACATCAGAGGGGAGAGATACGTCTTAGTGTGGTGTTATTGTTCCTGAGATATACCCAGCGGATCATCGTTGCGAATTCTGGAATAATAAAAACTCAGACTATGTCTCTTTCAGTAATTGGCACGTCTCGAAATCCTTGGTGCTAAGATGATATTTTTCCAATAGCAGACATGATAAAGGTCCTAGTATCTAATTTCATCTTGATGTACTAGTAGAAATGAATTGTATAATTTTCAGAAGGACTCGAAAAATCAATGTCAAGTTCAACTATAGTAAGTAAAAGTTTTCAGAAATATTTCGAAGAAGCACTATCATAATTTCCAGCAGAAATCAAGGATGTATTGTTCAACATGTAGTTGGTATACATTTGACTAAGAATGTTTGATAGAAGATGTAATAACTTGCTCTACTACCCAGCATCCAACTATTAGCTGTCTCGGCAGAAACCTCAAGGTCCTCAAAAGAGGGTGTCCCAATACCTTCTGCCAATCAAGTCTCAGTGTGCTTAGCACGGCATTACAGATGTGGATATGGATTCAGCAAATAAAGATATAGATATCCTTAGCTGCACATTGGCATTGAGCACTGTAGGATAACTAAATGGTACCGATATGATGTTGTACGAAGCGATTGGCGCAACCACCCGAGCCAAGAAGGCCAAGACAGCAGGCGCGCCACACATAAATACAGATGGATTTCCATGATGTACGAAGAGCTGAACCAGCATCACTGCCATGGGCAATATTCCAGATGACAAGCGACACACAGTCGTTCAGGCTATCCCGGTTGGTGTGGGAGATGAAGCCGAGTTCGCGCAGGAGTTCACTCGAAAGGAACATGCGCTGGGGTTCTGGGAAGCCATGCGACTGCACTGGCCGGCTGTGGCTTGGGCATCGTTCATGAACCTAGTAAGAGAATTCTGTTCATTGGAAAAGCAATTGTTGACTTCTCACAGGCGACCATTCTGAAAGGCATTGTAGGTCATCTCATCCTCCATGTGAGATGCAGCCCTAACTGGTATAGGACGGCGGCATTGTTAAAGGACTGGTTGGTCTCGACGTCTTTAAGAAGACATACGGCTACAACTACCATGGGGAATACGTCCTAGCGGCTCGGTGGATCTCTGCCTTCCAATACGCCAACTTAGTAGGGGCCATCGTGGGCGCTCTCTGCTCGGGCTTTGCCTACGATCGCTTTGGTCCGCGAGTGATGATAGCGGTGTGCTCGTCTTTATCCATCGCATTTATCTTCCTGCAGTTCTTCAGTCACACGCCAGCTCAGCTCTTTGTAGGCGAGCTCATCAATGGGTGCATCATCGCATTTTACCCCATCTGTGCCTCCGCGTACGTGGGAGAGGTGACTCCGCTGGCACTCCGCGGGTTCGCTGCTACAATGACCAACCTCGCCTTCTCGATCGGCTCGCTCATCGCATCAGGCATTCTGAAAGGGACGGAATCGCTTAATACCACCATGTCGTACAAAATTCCTATCGCGACGCAGTGGGCGCTACCATGTATCATGCTGGCGCTGATCTTCTTCTGCCCCGATCCACCATACTGGCTATGTCGGCATGGTCGCAACGAAGCGGCACGAGCATCGCTGCGGCGTCTGGCCACCCCAGCTGTAGATGTGTCGCGCCAGCTATCTCATATCGAAGAGACGCTGCGTCTAGAGGCCAGTTTCCAGGCCGACCGACCGACGTACCGGGAATGTCTGCGTGGGCCAAACCTCCGTCGGCTGCTGATCTGCGTGATGGCCTACAACATGCAAGCGTTCACCGGAAATGTCTTTTTCATCAACTACGCTGTGCACTTTATGGAGCTGGCGGGCTTGGACTCGTCGCATGCATTCTCGATGAACATCGGACTGACGGCGTTGGGACTAGTCGGGACGTGTCTGTCGTGGCTATTACTGCCCTACGTCGGCCGCCGGACTATGTATATCTTCGGATGCTCCGCATTGGCGGTGGTACAGTGCCTGATCGGTGTGCTCGATGTTGTTCCGCGAGACACTGCCACGGTATGGGGACAGTGTGGGCTCATGCTGGCCTGCACGTTCGTGTATGATCTCAGTCTCGGCCCGTTCTGCTATGTGCTGCTGGCAGAGGTATCATCGGCGCGATTGCGGGGACTGACCATTGCGCTGGCCACAGTCAGCTGCTTTGTGTGGTCGGTAGTGTTTGCGGTGGTGATTCCGTATGCGATGAATGAAGACGAGGGGAATTGGCGGGGCAAGCTGGGATTTTTGTTTGCGGGGTTGGGTGCGCTGTGCGCGGGATATTGTTTCTGGTGTATGCCAGAGACACAAGGGAAGACCTTTGAAGAGTTGGATGTACTGTTTGAGAAGGGCGTTCCGAGTCGAAAGTTCAAGAATTGTGTGGTTGAGATGCAGTAAATAAAAGCCAAATCTGCTGATGCCGAAGACCGAATCTTTTCCGAGGGAAAAAAAAAATCGGATTATGCTGACTAATGCCGGGGATAATGGAGATAACTTCAAATCAACCTCAACATCCGCCACTGCCGAGGTATCTTGGGGATTTTCTTCAGTCCCAACACCTTCTATTTCTGCTTGATAAGCATCGGCCGCTGAATACTAATCAGTTTCACCGTCTGCATTGAATCCCCCGCCTGTCCCTTTATCCCGCGGCCCAGGGCATAACTCTACACCGTAGTCCCCGCCATGTGGGAACCCGCCGGCTTCCATTCCTGATTCTAAGATCCGCTCCGCCAGTATGACATAACTAATCCTTCACGGAGATGCGTTTCTGTAGCTGGGATACTATCGGATGGATATCTTTTACACAGTAAGACTTGTATTCTGGAATGTCCAGAATGATCTGTTACACACTGATGAAGAAAATCCTAACTTTGCCGAGCAGGGAGTCGCCGCCATCATGCCGAACCGGTTGATGCCCCGAACAAGCATATCCCCCGATTGCCTCATCACCGGCACGGTCCACCAGAGCCGTGGTTCAACGGAGCTTCTGCACCAATCTGTCCGTTGTTCCTGGTGAAAACCCACCCACACCAGCCTGTTTCGGTAAGAGCCTAGGTAACTCAAAATGCAATCCTCGTCTCGAGAAGCTTCTGTTTGCCTTGGGGGGCGCAATACACAGAAGAATCATCCATGATGCTTTGTAATCGAGATTCCACCGCAGGAAATATAAACCTACGTCAGACCCTTTTGCCTCTACTCGAAGTACCTACTAAAAATCCAAGCCATAATCGCAACCATGTCCAACCAAAGCCTCGTCTTCAAGCAAATCCCCTCCGGCTACTTCGTCCCCGGCCAGGACGTCGTCGTTGAGCAGGCCTCGTACGACGCCTCCGCCCCGGCCCCGGAGGGCGGCATCTTCGTGCAATCCCTCTATGCCAGCTTCGACCCCTACATGCGCGGCCGCATGCGCCCCGCCCACATCAAGTCCTACTCTCCCGCCTTCACCCTTGACGCTCCCATCGACAGCAGCATCATCGCCAAGGTCCTCCGCTCCAACACCCCCGCCTACAAGGAGGGCGACCTGATCATCGGCTTCCTCCCTATCCAGCAGTACATCTCCGTCAGCGCCGAGCAGCTCCCCCGCGTCCGCGCCCTCGAGAACCCCCTCGGCATCGAGGACCTCCGCGTCTTCATCGGCGCCCTCGGCATGCCCGGTCTGACTGCCTACTCCTCCCTCTACGAGATCGGCAAGCCCAAGAAGGGCGAGACCATCTTCGTCTCCGCCGCTAGTGGCGCTGTCGGCCAGCTGGTCGGCCAGCTCGCTAAGCACGAGGGTCTGAAGGTCATTGGATCTGTCGGATCGGATGAGAAGCTCGACTTCATCATCAAGGAGCTGGGCTTCGATGGTGGATTCAACTACAAGACGGAGAAGCCGGCTGATGCGCTGGCACGTCTGGCCCCCGAGGGTCTGGATATCTACTATGAGAACGTCGGTGGTGAGCACCTCGAGGCTGCGCTCAACGCGATGAATGATTTCGGTCGTGTCGTGGTCTGTGGTATGATCTCGCAGTACAACGGTGGTGGCTATCCCATCAAGAACATTACCAATGTGTTGACCAAGCGTCTGGATATGCGCGGTTTCATTGTCGGTGATAAGGGCATGGGTGATAAGTATGCTAAGGAGCATCAGGAGAATGTGCAGAAGTGGATCAAGGAGGGCACGTTCAAGACTTTGATCCACGAGACGCAGGGCATTGAGAATGCGCCCGAGGGATTGTTGGGCATTTTCCATGGAAAGAACCTGGGTAAGGCTGTTCTTAAGTTCTAAGCTAGCTTAGAATGTTGGCTATGATATAGATTACGGTATAGATAATAATGATTATTCAATCTAATTATGGAAACTAAGTAATTGTAGTAGTAGTATTCTGGTATAAATAAAGTGCTGACACCACGTGGGATCCACTAGTCCGACCCTTGATCCTTGAAAAGACTATATCTCACTAGCATATCTCCCTTCTCAACCTACACTCATTCCACCACCACCAACATCCTAACCATCCCTCTCCTCCACACTCCCTCCCTTCTCCCCATCATTCTCCCGCACATCCCTCCCCTCCACACTTGCCCCCCTCTGCACCTCCCCAACTCCCTCCCCATCTACCCTCTCCCCCTCCACCCTCTTCCTCCTCCTCTCCACCACCCACCCCACCAGCACACCCACCACATAAACCACTCCAACCACGCCCGCCACAACCGCATACCCAATGACCGCCCCCAACGGCGCCATCCCCATCCCCCTAGCAGCATGCAACCCAATCCCCCCATTAACCACGCCCACCACAATAACCCCCCTCCCAAGCCACCTATGACACACCCCCCACCCCGTCCTCCCCCCCGTCCTCAAGAACCCCCAATGCTGCAACCACCCCATCGCCGGCTGAAACAGCACCAACACCCCGACCACAATAATCCCCAGGATAGGGTGCGCCGTCTTCAACTGCCCCGTCTCATACGCGAGGTAAATTCCGCATCCGAAGCCAGCAAGCGTCATGAGCATCGTGAAGATCTGGAGTGGCATGTGGAGCTGGAACTTCGAGACAGGGAGGGATAAGGGGAGTGGCATGAGCAGAGCAGCGAGCGGGTAGAAGAGCACGAAGGAGAGGGACATCAGCGTAGCGTGGGTGATGAGGATATGCGTCATTTTAGTAAGGTTGGGGAGCGGGGAGGTAGGTGTGCTGGGGGCTTGTACGGGGACGGAGTCCGTAGCTGGGTTATAGTTGGTGAAGGGGTTTATTTGGTCGTCCTCGGTATTGGAGGTGTTAGGTTGCGGGGGCATACCTGCCCGAGTGAGGTCGACTTGGATACCACCCATGTCGTCGTGGATTGAGATGTCCGCGTCCATGGCCGCCGAGTTGATGGGGACGCCCTCGCGATAGGCCCAGATGAATGGGAAGTTAGGGTCCTTGGGGTTCATCGTGCCGGTGCCGTCTTGCCAGGTGAGACAGTTGTCGCAGCGGAAGTTGGCCGTCATGGTTGTTCTGGTGTTGTCAGAGGAGGATGAGCTGTTGGTGAGGGCGGCGGTGGTGGAGTTGATGGCGGAGATGCCGGTGCCCGGGAGCATGGTGATTTGGGTGTTGCTTGTGTATTGGGGTTCGAAGTGGCCGAGGCCGGAGCGCGGGGAGAGGGTTATTTTGGTGGATGACGAGGTGTACAGGATGAACATGTTGGCGCCGGTCATTTGAGCGCCTTGGCCGAGGCCGACCCATTGGATGGAGGTTGGGGCGGTGATTTGGATGTAGATGGGACCTGGGGTGGAGAGGGTCGTGGTGTTGGGGATGGTGAGGCTGTAGATGATGTCTGGGTTGGTCGGGGGGGAGAAGGAGATGATGCTTGCGTTGGCTGGTAATCAGCTTAGTTAGTATGGTTTGATGGATGTGTAGAGGTGGTAGTGGGGAGGGTGTGGTACCTAGCCCTAAGGCTATGGGGAGGAGATTGAGCCACTTCATGGTAATACTACTTGTGATAGTGGTGAGAAAAGAAAGTATCAGGCCTACTATCTAGAATAGTGTCTAGTAAAGAGGCTATATACTGTCCTGGCGGTCAGCATGTCTCTATCTGAAGCTACCTGCTAGGGTCATGCATGTAAAGACAGACATGTTCCATTGCAACGGACGTTGGAACGTTGATACTTGTTTCTGCATCCACCCCTTGCATCGCCCTTGCAGGGCTTGATCCTCGGCCAAGCTGACGGCTGGAAAGTCTAGTAGCTGTCATGGCGGGAAACAAGGTTCAATAGACGTGGATCATCCCGATGGCTTTGGGGTTGGAATGGTGCTGTATGGTTGAAATGGTTAGTACTAAGCCACTATGTGACATGGGTTGGTGGGAAGCCAGAGACAGACGTGAGGGATCAGCGAGGGGGTCCCTTGCAGAGATGGTATGTGAGAAACTTCGGTGATATATCCATGAATTGGAATAGATTAAAATCGACGATAGATCCATTTCACGAATCTATTACTGGAGTAACAGTGCTGCGTCTGTCAAAAATTAGCTGGACTGAGTGGAGTACCAGCTAGTACTGACAGCCTTTATCTACTGCAATCCTCCACAATCAGCAACCTCACTATTTTCCGAATCCAGTATGACTGCTCTACCCCTGCAGACTCAGGAATGCGCCGACGCACGATCCCCGCACCCCAGACTCACCCTGTACCAGTAAGCAGGTAGCAATTAATCACCAACAATGGTAAACATTAGCAGTAAGTAGTTACCATTAGTGCTACTCCTCCCCCCCAGATCTCACCCCAAACCCAACCCAGAAAGATAGTATCGGCATCTACACAGCCGACCTCCCGCAACCCGCACCACTCGGCAACGAACTTCGGGTCGGGCGGATAAACGGTTCCAACCCATAATCCCCAAACTCACTCCAACATACAATACTACTATTACCTTCCCCCATCCCCACCCCACCACCCCTCCATCCACATTAATGTTTACGTTCCCCAAGCCACGACCCAAACCCTCCCTCTTCAAGCTGTAAGTCATTCCCCCTCCCCCCTCCTACACCAAACAATTCTAACAAAACATAAACCACCCAGCAACCCACCCAATAACTTCACACAAACCCGCAAAATGCGTCTCCCCTACGCCCCCTCCACCCCTCCAGACCCCACCGACCTCCCCACCACCGAAATCTACTCCCGCATCGCCGCCCGCCGCCATCCCCGCCCCCTCATCCCCCTCGACCTCTCCCTCCTACACTCCCCTCCCGTCGCCGACGGCTGGAACAGCTTCCTGGGCGCCATCCGCACGCAAACTATCATCGACGGCGGATTGCTCGAGCTCGCCGTGTGTCGCGTGGCCGTGCTCACCAATGCCATCTACGAGTGGAATGCGCATGCGCCGTTGGCGCTGAAGGGGGGGATTAAGGGGGCGGAGTTGGGTGCGGTGCGGACACTCCCCTCTCTGGCTGAGGGGGATGCGAAGGCGGATGAGCAGTTGGAGGGAAGTCAGTTGACGAGTGTGCAGAAGGCGGTGGTGCGGTATGTGGATGAGATGACGAGGACGGTGAAGGTGCAGGATAGCACGTTTGAGAAGTTGAAGGAGGTGGGGTTGTCGGATCGGGAGATTGTGGAGTTGACCACGGGGGTTGCCGGGTATAATTGTGTCAGTCGGGTGTTGGTCGCGTTGGATGTGGGGGAGAATAATGGGAAGGAGATGAGGAGTGTGGAGGATTTGGTGGCTGATCTTGAGAGGAAGTGATTTATATACTATTCAAGTATGTTGGGAGGGTATGGGTGTATATAGTGGGTGGGGCGGATGAAGGGTATAAGATGCTTGATTTGTATGAATGATGGATGATAGCTATGGCCTAGTAAATATACCTAAAGTGGATATTCTCGCGGTCTGTTCGGTCCTCGAATGCCCTCGCTAGGTGGTCCTCTCCATCCAGTGCAATCCCCATCTCTGCCATCGCTTTGTCCTTCTTCTTGTTCTCCCGGATCAGGTAGAAGCGGAGGAAGATCACCGCCAGTGTCATGGCTGAGTAGCAGCCGAGGTGCACACCAAAGGCGATGAAGTACCGCGGGGCGTCGCGATCGAGGAACACTTGGGGGCCTACTTCATTAGTAAGGCTCCGAGAGATATAGTGTGTAAGCTAGGGGTCCTACCGATGGCGTTTCCAACAGCCCAAGACACAAACGTCGCAGCCACAACAGTGGACTTCTTAGTAGCGCCGGCAATGTTCCTCGTCACCATGGACAAGCCCAAGTTCTGGGCAGACCAGAACGACAGCGTAATGTAGTAGCTGATAAGAAGACCCACTTTGGTGCTGAGGGAGTGATTCTGCACTGTCATGAGGACGATAGTTCCGACGAAGGACCTACATCTTGTTAGTATCACACCTCAGAATAAGATACGAGAAGAATGGGGGGACGCACGGAATAATAAATCCCAACATCACCAGCAAATTCTGCTCAAACTTCTTGACCAACCACGCACTCGTCAACAACACAATAATGATGTAAAAGCCCAGTACCATCGCCAACAACTGCGTCTGTAACTCCGTAAAGTTGAACCCACTGATGATGATATTTGCAAACGCCCCCAGACCACTCGTGGGCAGCGTGGTAAAGATCTGAATCGCGCAGTAGCAGTACATCTGCGGATCCCGGAACGCTTCCCACATCTGATACGCGCGGAACTTCTTATTCTGGAGTCCGGTCTGGTTGGCACGCACACGCTCCACCATCTTGTGCTTGTCCTCTTCGGTAAAGCATTTAGCACGCATGGGGGAATCGGGCATCCACCAGATTACAAACAGCCCCCAGAGCACGGAAATGCAGCCGTACGTGAGGAAGAGCGCTTGCCAGGATTTGAGCGCGCGATCAGAGCCAATTAGACTGAAGCAGTAGGCTAGGAGACCACCGACGATCTGTTGGCCGCCGTTCATCATATACCTATACCTTGTTAGTATACGTAGATTAGGGTGTAGAGGCTGGGGTGTACCAGAAGGTGACGGTGGCAGCTTGTTCTTCACGCTTATACCACATTCCGGAAAGGACAACGAAGGAGGGCTGGCATGCAGCTTCGAAGATACCAAGCAGAGTGCGCACAGTCACTAGACCGGCGAAGTTGTGGCATGCCGAGTGCAGGGCTAGGATGGTGCCCCAGCAGATGATGTTGAAGCCGAGGTATTTGGCGATGCGGACGCGTTGGATGATCCAGTTGGTGGGATATTCGACAATGAGGACGGCAATGTAGATACAGGTTGTGAGCCAGGAGTACTACTTAATTAGTGCTTGACCATAAGCAGATATATGTTCAGACTCACCTGTTGTCCCACAAGATGGGCATCGTCGCGAATACCCATAATGGAAGCAAACGACATGGTACCCTTGTCCAGGGCCTGCAGAAAGTATGTCACGATCATGATGACCAGCACACGACGATCAATCATGCGACGAAGACGCCGACTTTCGGCTTCATCGACCTCAATCTGGCCGCGCGCGGCATACTCCAGCACCTCATTGTCGACGCGGTTCGCATCGATCGGGGCCTTCAGTTTGTCGGAGGGTGACAGCACCCGCTCGACATGGGACACATCCTGCGGCGGCTTGTGATCCTCCACAGTAGTGGAAGCTCCCTTAGAATCAGGCCCGCCAGCGGGCGTCGAGCTAATATTCTCCATGGACATGTTGCCTGCCAGAATTGCCAGGGTTGGAGAGGGTCAACCCCGGCTGGGGGACCCGGACACCCTTATATCGGTCATGCGGGAGATAGAGTCTGACTAGGGCACGAGTGGCTGCTCCGTGGCTGTATTTTCACTCCAATGAGAGAGAGGATGAGCAGGTCTGATAGTCTGATAGTCTGATGCCAGGGATGGCTGCTGGCTGGGATTCTCCACGCGTACAATCCGGGGGCGGACCCTGCCGCCCCCGCGCGGGGACAATTGGCCCGAGCCCTTCGCTTAAAAGGCGCTTCACAGCCTATCCTCACTTTAGCATCTTACACGACCAATCTTCTCTGTTTGCCGAGCGAGCTTGGCATGATTCAGACGTGGCTGCTCGGCTGAAGCTAGCCCGAGGACATTCCCCGCATTGCTGCTGAAGCTCGACACGAGGGGTGATCCATCCCACCTTATAGACACCAGCATCACCAGAGTGTAGCACAATCAACAACTCCATCAGTAATACCACTCAACTCCTCATCTCTCATCATGGCTTCTACATCTCCTCCCGCTGTCCGATCCAAAATTGACCTTCTCATCACCAACCTCGTCAACATCCAAGACAAAACCGGTCAATTCCTCCTCCCCCTCGCCGATGGCCGCATCATCGACACCAAGTCCTGGCATGGCTGGGAATGGACGCATGGAATCGGCCTCTATGGCATCTGGAAGTACTATGAAATGACCGGCTCTCCGCATCTCCTGCAAATTATCGAGGATTGGTTCGCCGCCCGCTTCGCTGAAGGCGGTACCACTAAGAACATCAACACCATGGCCGTCTTCCTTACTCTGGCATACGTATACGAGAAGACGCAAAACCCTGTCTACCTGCCCTGGCTGGACGCATGGGCCGAATGGGCCATGCATGAACTCCCGCGCACCAAGCAGGGAGGGATGCAGCACGCCACATACCTCACGGAAAATTACCAGCAGTTGTGGGATGATACGTTGATGATGACCGTCATGCCGTTGGCAAAAATCGGAAAGTTGCTGAATCGACCGGATTATGTGGAGGAGGCCAAGCGTCAGACGTTGGTGCACGTCAAGTACTTGGTGGATACGAGCACCGGGCTGTGGTTTCATGGCTGGACGTTCGAGGATGGTGGGCATAACTTTGCTAGAGCGAGGTGGGCACGTGGTAATAGTTGGGTGACTATGGTTATCCCAGAGTTTGTTGAGTTGTTGGATTTGAAGGAGGGGGATCCTATTCGCCTGTTCTTGTTGGATACGTTAGAGGCCCAATGCGAGGCTCTCATGGGCCTGCAGGAGGAATCGGGCTTTTGGCACACCCTGCTTGACCATCCTGATTCATATGTCGAGGCCTCCGCCACAGCAGGCTTCGCATATGGTATCCTTAAGGCTGTTAGGAAGAGGTATTTGCCAAAGAAATATCGGGTAGTCGCAGAGAAGGCCATTCAGGCAGTGTTGAGCGCCGTTGACGAGACCGGAGAACTGCAGCAGACGAGCTTTGGTACCGGCATGGGGGATTCTTTGGACTTCTATAAGAAGATTCCCTTGACAGCCATGCCATATGGGCAGGCCATGGCCATCATGGCGCTGGGCGAGTATCTCCGGGGACACCTATAGAAATGTACTTATCCTTTTTTAGATAGCATATAGAGCAACAGAAGCACTTTTCTGATTAGGTCATGATTGATGTGGTAATGTCATAGAAATTGAATGCTTCTCATTCCATTCTTGCAAATAATCATGCTTGTGTGACCCCTTGTACTCATTTGATCGGTCCAATTGTGGGCCGTGAAAATGCTGCACCAGCTGAAGACCTTCAGCTCATTTGGGCCAGCAAATGCGATCTCACTCTTCTTTAGAAAAGCATGATCCACTTCCACAAGTTGTAATCAGTGAAAAAACTTTCCCCGCTTTTCGGGGATGCTGCTGATGGGGTGGCGTGTATTGGCAACCCCACCGCGAGACTAGTGTTAGCCTCCTTGCAATAGCCTCCTGGAATGTATTACCCCGAAAGTAGTCCCGCTCTGCCTTTTCAATCTTCTGAATCGGCTGGTCCTCTAATCTGATGTCATTGTCAAGCTCTATGAAGCTTGACGACGATCGCTTCTCGGTAAAATAAGACCTGGCATCCTTTCCTTGGCCGTATACATGTTCCCACACGGCAAATAACAGATTGTAGTCATCAGTTGAGTCAAAATTAAGTAACCGTGTCAACAGCCATGAGCATCTGGTCTGCTGTAGGGTCTCAAGGGCGATTTTATTGGTTACTGTCTGTTCATTACGCGTGTCTTCGGCAGCGGCAGCTGCGAATCCATTTTGGAAGGCTTGAACGAGGTTCTCATCCAACTCGTAGCGCGACTGTGACAAGCCTGGGGAAGCTATCATCAGGGCTTCTGGGACAGTTGAGGAAAATGCCGCCTCGTTCAAACAATGAGCCTATCTGATTAAACCGTAATTGAGACAGCTTGTAAGTCATTGTTTCTAGCTGATATATCACTTTTAGCTTTCAGCGGTGCGGCCAATTCCGGTTCGCCAGACCCTGTTGTTTTCCAAGCTTTTGCGAGAGGCCAGCTGGGGGCTTTGCTCATCAAAATAAACGGTATATCAACCTCATGTTCGGTGGTGGGGCTTTCAAGTCAGCGTCGAGTAAATAGGATGGGCATACGACTGGCCTGCAAAGGTGCACAGCTCGTAATAGAATGTCACTTGTCAATTTTATATGATTCAAGGTATCGGCTCCACTTTCGAGCAGTTTTGAACTAAGCTCCATCGATATCTCAGCGCCCTTTGTACACGCCGAGCGAAGGACCTATTAACTAGACTCCATCATCAAATGTAAGTAAAACGGCCCGATTAAAGCTGCCGCTCGCGGGATGTTAATCGAGGTCGCAAAAGCATGGAATATCCTGTCGAATGTTGCTCGGAATGCGACAAAGAGCCTCGACATTGAAACTAGCATACAGGCATATGGCAGGCCTATTATCAGATAGCATGGGAGTGTCTAAAACATTGCACAATACGTGTCGAACATGTACTTTCCCAAGGCACTGGCATGTCAGACGGCAGAATTCAAAAGGCGGTCAGAAAACATACAGAATCCCCAGTTGACTTTAGGGGGACTGTATGCTCTTAAATCCGCTTAAATCCGAGGTTTTTTGGTCGAGGTAGACTAGTTTCTGCCGCTTTGGGCGGTCACAGGAGCGGTCACGCTGGACAGTATCTATATGCTGTGCAGGCAGAAATGGTGTGTGCCTGCAGAGTGTGTGCCTATTGTTGCTGGGCACCTCGTGTTTGATTCGTATGTACATACTTGGTTGCATCTCCGTTTAACACTATCCTAGATTGGAGCTACTTCTTTTGAGCTCTCATACACCCTTCAGGGTAGTGCAGTGCCCTGGTTCGTGGTCTTATTTACGATTGCAATGATCTGTATATTCTACCACGTGAGTATTCTTAAATGATGTTGGATAGTAGTGGAGCACATAGATCAGCAAAGTTGTCATTCGACAAGCAAGACCTTAACTACCATTCCAGTCACTGCTGACCATCAGTCTAATACACTTGTGATCAACTTCTTCATATCACCAACAGGTGTTGTTATACGCACACTTTCCATGATATAGCGCAGATGCAAACATCCACACTTCCCCAATTATCCCACCCATTCCAGTACTTCATACCATCCAACCTCCCATAAACCCTTCAACTTCCATAAAAATATAGGTACATAAAATGAGTAAGATACTCCAACCTCCAGCTCTCCCGTATAGCCTCCCACTCTTTAAGCCACCTCCCAACCTCAGTCAGCCAGGGGAGACCCGCAGACCAGCCACATTCCACGGGGGCATCTCCCACCGTAGACAATCCCGTCAGCACAAAATACCTCGGAACTATATAAGTGTCACAAGTATCCAGAAATCTCCGTAGAAATGACACCGGCGCGCGACCCCAAGGTGGATTATGCATAGGATAGAAGATGAGAACTTTTCCCACTGGGAGCGAGAAACACATCTGAACAAGCCTCTCTAGATGCTTCAGTCTCAGGACTGCGTTTGACTCGTTGGATGGTACCCCGCCGATGCTCAGGGGAATGAGATCGTCACTGACCGCTAGAGTCGGGGCTGGGGGCTGGTGGAGGAGCATTTCTCGCCAGCTGGCTTCGTGGCGGAGGTAGGGGTGTCGACGTTCTAACTCTGAGATGGAGGGATCACTGCTCTTTTGTGGTCCGAATCGAGAGAGATAAGAACTAAAAACTCTGTGGAAACTTGGTCCATGGTTGCTGACAAAGTGTTTCAGGAGCTTGTTCAGGAAGGGGTTTACAGTGCGCTTAGGTTTCAGGGCCGGTGTCGATGTCGATAACTCTTTTTGAGGGCGGAAGAATAAGGCCGTTTGGAGGGATGGGGATGTTTTGATGAGTGAGTTCCAGAGGTGGCAGACGCGTTGTGAGAGGAGGAGGGTGGTTGTGTCTAGGTTTAGGAGGACTGGTTCCAGTACCTCGGGGATGAGGAATATTTGGTGTGGTGAGTCCATTGTTTCGGCTTGGAGGTGTAGTATTGTAGGGGGTTTTGTATATCTTGCAAATAGAGCAATGTTTCTTCAAGTGTAAGTGTTGCAGAAGATGAGAAACTAGTAGTGAAGACTTTCTTGTCTTGTTGTCTAGGTTGTTATGCTCAAATGTGGTGGACGGGTAGAAGATTGCGTGGGATGGACTTCTACACAATTTCGGAATTGTACTTACGTGCCTAATTACGTAGGGGTAAAATGCCTCTTTCGTGTTGATGAGGTACACGACTGGCCCCATGAAGACGGAAAGATGATGGAATGATGAGAATCAGGCAGAGAATTACCGGTGCCGTCTTCAAATAATCTCATTCATATACACCGAGTCCCAGCTCCAAAGATATGAGCAGGAAGTTATGATTGACATAAATCCTCATGAGAAAAACTCATCTAGAGAGCTAGTGATTCATAGTAATCGCATTTCCTGACAAGGCTTGCTTCCTGACTTGTGATACCACCTACAATCGAGCCTCCGAAGTATCAAGCCCATATTCCTCTGCCAGCGCATCTCCACATGTCAAACCGGTCACATACGCAGTTGCCTGTGTGTGGTTGTTCGTCAAAACAGGCACCACACCCATGTCGGCGATCCGCAGATTCTCGACACCAAATACCCGGAACCGGCTGTCCACGACAGCATCGGCATCCCCGGACTTACCCATCTTGGTCGTTCCAGTCATGTGCCAACTGGATCCGAGGGTGTTCTTCCAGAACTCAAGAATATCCTCATCCGACTCGGACGGGGGCGCAATCAATGCGGACACGGTGTCTTTTTGGAAAGATTCATGCTTCGTCACATCCAGCGCGTGGCGATAGATCTCAATACATGCGCGCCTGTCAAACGGGTGGGACAAGAACTTTGGATCAAACAGCAGCGGGTCTTCAGGGTTGGCTGACTGCAGACGCACTTCACCGCTGGATTGCTCGTTCATCAAAAACACGAGCATGCAAACGTAGCTGTAATCTTTGAAAGGCTCGGGAGAGATGAGATGCAGCGGGAAGTGTGTCATGAACTCGTAGTGTGGCACCGTGTCGCGTTGTAGGAATTCCTGCACTGTCGGCGGCAGTGCTTTGAATTCCTCAGATGCGACCAAGCGGTCGGACTTGAGCCAGCCGGCGCCAATCTGGCACGAGTGCCGCGCCCACGGCCCTGTGCCATCTTTGCTCCATTGTTCTAGAGCTGACTCCATGGCGGCCGGGTTGCCGAAGAAAGCATCGCGATCGTTTGTTGTTGGGTTGCGTTGGAAGCACAGCGGTGCGAAAAAGTGGTCTCGAAGGCCCTGGCCTACCGCAGGCATGTCCTTGACGACGGGGATCCCGAATTGTTGTAGTTGTCCCGCTGGTCCAAGTCCCGAATGCATTAGGATCTTGGGCGTGTCCAGTGATCCGGTTGTTAGAATCACTTCTTTGGATGCGAAGTCTGCAGCGACAAGCCATGGTTAGTTGAACGGTTCGGCTTTAAGAACAGCTCGATTGCATACATTTTGCCCCCTTGGTTTCCACACCAACAGTCTTGGTGCCTTGGAGCACGAGCCTGAGCGCTGGCGTCTCCGTTATGATGGTCAAATTGGACGGGGCTCCGTCCAAAAGATCAGTTGCTGTCACTCTTCGGCCCTGGTGGGATGAATTAATGACCAATGCCATGCCAATCGGGTCTCCCGAGTTGTGGTCAGGGTTCCGAGCCAGGCCAGCCTGCTCGAAGACATCCATCATCAGGGGAAGATCCTGCTCCCACTCAGCAGCATAGCCGACCTTCAGACTCCCTTGGGAGCCATGGTCTGAGGTCCTCGGGGCTGCATATTTGCTATTCTTTGGGTCCACAATGGCACCGTTAAATGTTTCCAGCTGTCTGAATCGAGCCTGCATGCGCTCCCAGCGAAACAGGTCATCACCAACAAGCCCAGCCCATTGGTTATAGTCGTCACGCGCACCCACGGTGTAGACACCGAAGTTGATGGCGCTGCTGCCGCCCAGGACCTTGCCCCGAGAATAGTCGATCTGTCGGCCATTACAGTGTTCTTGTGGGGTGGTCTTGTACCCCCAGTTCAAGTTTCCATTCATAAAGGTCTGCCATCGTTGGCCGTCCACACGCAGTGATGGATCATCGTTACGAGGGCCGGCTTCAAGCAGCAGGACCTGAGGCCGTCGCGCTGACCGAGCAAGCCTTGAAGCAAGGGCACAGCCCGCCGGGCCACCTATAGCATCGTTAGGTGAGGTCCTGATCGACGAACGAGACTTCCATACTAACCACCCACAACGACGAATTCCCACGTCTGATCAGTCGAGGCCATTGTATATTCAAGATTACCACCCTGTCGGCAGCTGTGACACAGCGATAAGAACAGTGTCTCACAAGGACGAAAGGATCACAAGTCAGAAGAGCAGATGCCCCAATTAAAGGCAGTTGACAGAAGCTTGGCGAGTGGGACTCTCATTGAGTCTAGTCCTGCGATCGACAGTGAGACACGAAAGACAACCCCGCAACGTTTGCGCCATAACCATTCCCGGCCAACCTAAAAGACGGAAAAAGAGACGGTTCAAACTGTAGTGTTGTAGGCTGCCGTGTCTTGGGTCGTGTCAGCCGTGCGGACATATTATGGGTTATTCCAGGCCCACAAAGTCGAGACTAAGTGAGTTGGGAGTTCCTAGGCAAACAGTTGAGGTCCACTCGACGCTGTCTCAGTGATGATCCTTTTGAGTTTCGCGGTGCGAGACCGACGGCTCTTCTTCCCGGAGACCTTCCCTCGAGAGCACTTCTCGCGGTGAAGATATGAGTGGCGTTGTCTCGTGAGCCAAGGAGTTAGCAGCATGCACAAGCTTGACAGGGATCATCTCCCTAGCCACCCTGCTGAATGCTCCTTCGCCCACCACTTGTTGTCCAGCTCTTCACCATTGGTGGAAGTGAACACGAGTGAAGAGGGGTGAAGAGATAACATTCCAATGCAGACCTCTGTAAGCCGGCTAAACCAGGATTGTCGCTGATGCGACCGGGGGTATGTGATCAGATACTGCTCGACTGGAGAGCTCATGAAGAGCTGCAGAAACGTGACGTGGAGAAAATCTTGCATAATGCATTGCAGTTTGCTGCAGAATCTTACCATCTCCCGCCTTGCCTTGCTTTTTCTTTTTATTTCCTTTTTCATGTTCTTCTTCACCCTCTTCCCTATTAAACGGATGAATGGATTCCGGCGTTCTGTCATTGCCAAGCGTCGACTGTCAGGTATCCCAAAACCGATAGCTTAGCGCCCGAGCAGCAATGTCCTTCAGCACAGCGATGTGGACGAAAAGGAAGACCGTTTTAGAGCTCAAGATCCCGGTATAAGCTCCCTTCGGGGACGGGAATGGTGCTATTCACGTGGAGAAGACAGGACAGCGAAGAGCTCGTCCAGCAAGACTGGCGCGACCACTTCACAAGTCCCCGAAGGTTGCGCGACAGCGCCGATCGGGACGCGACCGAAGTGGAGAGCATTTGTCGGTGATCACAACAGGCGTACAGTGGTTCAAGCACAGTCTCTCTAGCGGTAGTACCTCGGAGTCCGGAGAAAATCAGTGATGGCGGGTCGTTGCAGAGCTGGAATGGGGACGAGTGGAGTTGCAAATTGAAGTGTCGCGAAGATGAAAATGATCAGGCTCCAATTTGCCTGAGGCCACACTACGTTAAGCAGAGCTGGATGGTTTAATCTATGCTGCTTTACTTCACATTCGCCAATGACAATTTACAAATACCTTGGGGTTTAGTATTCTTGAAAGTAAGGTTAATAGTCCCGTTATGCGCTTGTGTATACGTTTCTCCTGAAATCTATATATAGACCAGCAACTGCAAGGCAAGCGTCATAAGGGGCACCTTCTATCAGGCGTCAATTATAGCTTATCCGCCGTACTGCCGCTTACCTGATTGATGGAACATTTGTACTACTTCCACTTCCTAATGTTACTAGTGGGCGATTTTCTTATTAAGAGAAGAGTGTTGATAAGGGCGCTTTGGGGCCCGCCTTGGGTGCATCCTGTCCCCAAGTCGTGTCGTAGACGTTAGCGACGCATACACCGCGCAAAGCATGGTATCACAGCATAAGATAATTTCCGCAAATAAGCGTCTGGGGTATCCCTATGGGCGTCAGGATTGCCTTAGTAATGGGGCCATTATAGTCGAGCCAAAATGAGGAGAGCCTTGCCATAGCAATCTACCGCTAGTAGTAGTAGCAACACAGGAAGGACCTTCCGACCCAGAAGGGGCCGTTCCCCGATACGCTCAATGCTTTGGAGGTAGCTCCCACCCTTGTCACTGTTAGGGAGTTAGTTGCATCAATCACTACGGATCGATAATGCTGATAATTCTAGCATTGCTGCTTTTCCTAGTATCGCCCGTCGTGAGAGCCGATTTGCAATGTCGGTGTCAACCTGGTGACGCATGCTGGCCTTCCAGGGATGATTGGAAACACTTGAATAAATCCATCAGTGGTCGTTTAGTTCGAGTCTACCCCATCGGCCATGTATGCCATGAGCCCTTCTTCAACCAAGCCTCTTGCAATCAGCTTGTTCACTTGCAGTATGACTCTAATTGGCGCGCAGAGCAGCCAGGTAGGGTGCCAAGTATGAGCAACGCCTACATGTGTCCGTCGTCGCTGACAAATATGCAAACACCACAGGAGCTCTGCAGAGCTTCAACTGGGAGAACTGGCCCCGGGAAAACGAGAATTGTACTATTGAGGCGAATCCGCGCTCGGTGTGCGGGCAAGGTCGCATACCGTTATACTCTGCAGTGATCCACTCAGTCGATGAGATCTGCGCAGTGGTCAAATTTGCCAAGCAAAGGAATATTCGATTGGTCATCAAGAATACAGGTCATGACTCAACTGGTCGCTCCGGTGCTCCCCATTCTCTCCAAATCCTCACGAATCGTCTGAAAGACATAACCTTCCATGATGACTTCGTGCCTTCCCAAGGGGATTTGGGAATGGATAACCCCAACGCCAGTGGGGTGCCTGCGGTCACGATAGGGGCCGGAGTCATGGTAGGTGAGCTTTATGCCGCCGCTGCTGCTCGAGGGCTCATCGTGGTGGCCGGAGAATGTTCCACGGTCGGGGTTGCCGGAGGATATCTCCAGGGAGGTGGAGTGTCAACAGTTCTTAGTCCAATGTATGGACTGGCGGTAGATCATGTGCTAGAAATGGAGGTTGTGACTGCACAGGTACGTGGACTGTTCCTTAGGTTCTCATGGCGCTAATGAACGCAGGGCGAGATAGTCACTGCGAATGAATACCAACATGATGATTTGTTCTGGGCCCTCCGGGGAGGCGGAGGAGGCACTTATGGCGTTGTCACCAAGGCCACGATGCGAGCATATCCGGATATTCCAGCGGTTATCCCGACCGTTCACTTCATCTATCCACGAGCAAATGATGTCTTCTGGCAAGCAGTAGCGCAGGTTGTGCGACTCACGCAATCCATGTCGGTTAATGGAAATTCGGGACAGTACATAGTAGGTCATCTGCCAAATTACCATTGGTACGTGAATTGGACAATGTTTGTCTGGGACGACACCGAATCAGAGTTGGTTGAGGAACAGATTCTGCCCTTTCTGAGGTTTCTTGACTGGTTTGGTATCGAGTATCAATATGAGTTGGCCGAGTACTCCACGATCAGCGCATTCCTCACCATTCCAAAACAGGTGGACATTGGCGGGATCGGATACCTGCAAAGCAGCGTAGTGATATCCGAATCATTCATGAATAGCACCGCCGGCGCTTCAAGACTCACAGCATGCTTTTCCAAGTTGATGTTGGACCCTGGCGCACTGATCACGGTCAATGTGCTAGGAGGGCAGATTAACCTCAACGCCAAGGACGAGGACGCATCAGTCAATCCGCTGTGGCGGTCATCGTCCCTCCTTGTAGTCCTGATGCAATCATTCCCGCCCACACCCGAAGCTCAATCAGCCGCACATCAAACGCTGTCCCAGACCAATACACCCATTCTCGCCTCCATCGATCCCGAGGGAGGTGGTGTCTACTTCAACGAGGCAGATCCCGATCAGAGTGACTTCCAGAATGCTTTCTGGGGCCACCATTATGGCCGATTGCGTCAAATCAAGAACCAATGGGATCCGGCCGGACTGTTCGTGGTGCGGAATGGGGTCGGCAGCGAGGACTGGGATGTTGAGAGTATGTGTAGAAAGGAGACAATGGTACCGGCCTAGGCAAATCAAAGTATGCGAGAGGAGTTCATGCCATTGTAGTAGGCTGGCGCTCTCATCCGAAGCCAAGTTACTATAGATTAAGGAAAACCAGTGGCTTCGGGTCTATAACAATGGGATCGATGGAATGCGGAATTTTAGCACATGGCTTGAACAGCTTGTTGTGGCACTGGCCAGCTTTCGTTCCCGGCTGAGTCCCAACTATGCAGATCCTTGCGCGATCTGTGCAGATGGAGGGAAGTGTACTCTGTATACGAGAAGATGCTAGATCCATCAAAGTTTAAAGTTCCAAGGGGGTTTGTGCTCTTTGGTTCGTGATACTGGAACCAGGAATCTGGGGTAAAGCAAAAGAGACAGGGAAAGGTTGGACCTCGGGGTAGCTCATATCTATTTTGGGTATCTTTCGGACGAGACGGCGAAGAACAAGTTCAAGACAGTCAATAGGAGACGAGGGGGCAAGGGAGTTGAACCGACAGTCCAGGGAAATTAGACGAGGAGAGCGGGTGAACCATGTGACCCTCGCAAATACCAAATACCAAACCACCAGCCACAGTCTTGGCTGAGTTCGGCTATTGGAAGACCCGATGAACCAGCCGGGGAGAACCAGAGCAGCGGGTTATTCGGTACGCTAAAGTATGCGCCCATGATTACTTACTTAGTCGAGTAGGTCTGGTACCTGCTGGGAGACCCTTAACACCGCCGCCCCCACGGAGTTTGTGTCTGCCGGACCAGAGGCCCAAGCCTGCAAAAGTTGCCCAGAGGCGCCGCCGCAGCAAATGCCAGGTTCCCCGAACACAGGCAGGCAGGCAGGCGGGTTCAACCCCGGACTTCTTCCTGACTAGTCCCAGCGAAGTCTTCCAACCACTTTCCCCCCCATCTCCCACCCCCCGACTCCATAATCCAATAATCTAGTCCCTTCTCTTCCTTCGCTTCTCTCCTCTTCCCTTCTCTCCGCTCGCTCTCTGTCGCTCTTCTTTCGCCTCCCCGCTCCTTTCCCTCTTTCATCTTCTTTTCTCTCTTTTTAGTCTCTCAATCTTTCGGAATTAACAACCAAACCCCCACCTCCGGGTGTTAACGGCTTTCTTTCTTTTACTCTATTCTTTCCTCTACTGGCCGTCATCTTTCTTTCACTCTTCGTTCTGATTGCTCCTTCAGCGATACGATTAAAATAGACCTTCAGTGGCGCCGCTCCAAAACCTTCCGATCCTTCCCCTTGTCGCCCTTGAAGACGTCCTCTCCCCCTTCAACTTGCGACGAACGGTGCGAACAATCACTCAACATCGCCACCAGAGTCTCCTTTCCTCCCACTAGCGTTCTGCCCTTGACTTCAGTATTGAGAAGTTGGCGCTTGTGTGCGTTTCATGGCTGTCCTGTAAAACGGACGCTGCGCCTCACTTGAAGAAGGCTAATCTGGCACCTAGGAGGCTCCAGAGACTCCTTGCGATCGGCTGGCCAGTCATTCGATTGGGAAGATAAGGATGCAAAGGAAGACGTGGTTTGGCTTCACAAGTACTTCTGCTTCGTCTCATTTTTCGCTTGTTGGGACGTATAGGCCGATTTGCTGGACTGCGACACCGATTTGACATGGCGCTACCTTCTAAACCCGTCGCAATCGGAATCTACAACCGGTCTACTGCCTTCGTCCTGTGACCGTTTCCTGGGAAGGTGGTGTAAATCTACTCTGTCAGTCTGACCTTGTGATCGAGGTCACCGGTCCCCAAACATGTGGGATTCTCTTTCCAAACCGCCCGAGGGCCTCGTTGGAGGTTACCAGGGTGGTAGCATGGCCATCAAGATCATGATGGCAGTCTTCTGTGCAATTGCTTTGTATAATGCTGTGGAACTCGTCATTCTCATTTTCCTCACCTTCACTCGCTACAGCGGTCTCTATTTCTGGGCCATGTTGCTCTCCGCTGTGCTTGGCGTCATCCCCCAAGCAATCGGCTTTCTGCTAGAGTTCTTCGCTATCGGGCCTCTCTGGTTTGCAGTCACCTTTTCTACAATAGGCTTTTACTTCATGGTCCCCGGCCAGTCCATCGTCCTCTACTCCCGGCTCCACTTGGTCGTACAAAGCCAAACGCTGCTGCGGCGGGTGCTGTATCTGATTATCTTCGACACGATTGTCCTACTTATTCCTACGACCGTGCTCACCTATTGCACGATCTATGTCCGCACCACACCCGTGATTCGGGGGTTCAATGTGATGGAGCGAATGCAGCTGGCTTGGTTTTGCGCACAGGAGATTCTCATCTCGCTCATCTACATCGCCGAGACTTTGAAGCTGCTACGTTTGCGGCCCGAAAAGGACGCTGAACGGCATAAGACCATGTATGAATTAATAGCCATCAACATGGTGATCATTCTCCTAGATATCGCGCTCCTGGTTCTGGAGTATGTCGGACTCTACACACTCCAGACCACCTTGAAGGCTGCAGTCTACAGTGTGAAGCTGAAGCTGGAATTCGGCGTCCTGAGGAAACTAGTTTCACTGGTCCATACCCGCCCGGCGGAGTCGAGCTCCTCGGATCAGGACACCTACCCGACCTTTGTTGATCCCAACCAGATCACGGGAGATGTGACACGTGCTGCCCCCGCCTACAGTCGACGGCAGTCGCAGTACCCGTGGACAGCCATCTCCATGGACAGCCTGGTCCTATCCGATCGCCGAAGTCAGCATGTCACCTCATCGGAAATCGAACGACCTTCCTGACCTTCGAATTCATCTCTGTGCTGCAAACCTTTGCTGCATGTATATACAATCTCAGGCTGTGATATATCTCACACCAGGGCTACACCGATACTGATATCGGGTACTAGTCCGCAGAGAACGGCCTCTGCCCTGGTGAAGGGCCCGCCACCAAAGCAGGTTTCCCGTGCATTGTACAGCAAATGGCCGGGAATGCGGGAAATGTGGCTGCAGCGATGGCTAGGTTCGCCCACACATGGCTGGCCGTACCAGAGTCTTGTCACTCCGATCCCATGTAAAAACCATATATACGTCATGACCATTATTTCTGTATATACTACATCTGTATATAAGCTATTATCATGCTACGATAGATGATCACTCTTGTGTACGTATACCTTGTTCGGACGTAGGTGGATGACCGGGCGGCTCAAAGGTTCAGATGATGGCAAGGCAAGTGCAGTAAGTAGTACTGCCCCGTAGATCCCCGTAGACAGCCATAGAGCGTGTCCGCAGGGCCCTGAACGAGCCCGGCCGAAAGAGAAAATCGCCTCTGGTGGGTCGGAACTAGTCCGACGTCCCGGAAAATTGGAACTATCGTCACCCGCAGCACTGGCCAAGCAACCGGGCGATTCGTGAGATAGCTCGGACCCGTGCATGAGATAGGTGCGGTACATCGGCAAGCTAGTGGTTATGGGCGTGGACCAGTCCGAGCCCAATGGAGTCCACAGAGGAGCCCTTAATGAGGTATCATATAGTCTAGTCCCGGTATCCGTCATGAGAAGCGGAGTCCAGTGGCTCGCCAGGGGCGTCACCTGCGTAATGGGGGGGACTCTTGGGTCCAGTAAATGGGGAAGCCTGTAACCTGCTTATTGGGAGTTTCTTATGCGGCATGACGGTCAATGTGCGAATCATGGAAGGGCGCATACACCGAAGGATAGGCCAAGCCGACAGGGCCGATCATTGAATCGGACTGATAGGGGGGAAAGGGAGTCTCCACCTGGCAGCTGCGACGGGGTTAACCTTACATGCAGTCAAATACTCTTCTTTGGAAAGAAAGACTTTTCGAAGGAAGAATCGTACCTGATTCCTGGGAGTCGGATGCAATGGTACGTGGCGCTGTCACTGCCAGTGCCACTGAACTTTCCGACCACTTTGAATTCATTGTTGTCATTGTTGTTGAACGGTTGCTTAAAAGCTACCCAATTATTAGGGATGAACATGACTAACTGGCCTGTAACCCTGGAGGACTGCGATGATGTCATCAGCAGGTCAACTTCAATCTCTGGAACGAGACGTTCACGGGGAGGTTGTCTGAAGGTTTCATCTCACTCTAAATTATTATCCGGGTCGATAAGTTTGGGAGGTGTGGTAGGTGAACCCTGGCCCTAATGCTGTCACACTTTTGTACTTTCATCATTACTGACTCGGAAGATACTGTGATCATAGGCTGACTGACTGATTTAACCATCCAGGTACTGTGCTAACTTGATGAGGAATGCAGAGATCAACTGGCAGAATGCAAGGCTAGCCTGGAAACGGCACTCGTCACGGGTTTTGCAGGGCTGTGATTGGCAGGGACACTACCCGATCGTGGTGAATCGCGGGCTGGAATTCATCTTTTTTCCCAGTCGGGCGGGACGTCCAGTGGAGGGATCACCCGCGCTGCTGATTGGTCCCTGCCAACTTTTGGCCACCAACGGCTGGCCGCTAACCCCAAAGAAGGCATCCGGCCATCGCTTACCCGCTCCATCTGGCAGTCCAACCCATGGGGAACGAAAGAGAGTCCGTCCCTCATGAAATTGATTCTTTTTCCTCCTCCTCTGACTGCTCCATCTGCCTGTTTCTTCGCTAGAAACCCTCGCTTAAGGGGCGTTTGGATTCCCGAATACCTTACCTCTCGGTCGGTAACCGGGCTCCATCTGACCGTTCGGGCATTGCGACAAACTAAATCACCTTTCGCCGCTGCGACCATCTATATAGTGGTAGTATATTACTCCTTACTATCAGCCCGCCTGCCATCACACCCCTCCGCCCCCCCGGGTCTCAGCCTCCCCGTCTTCACCTACTGTTAGTATGTGTTTTGGTTTATCTTCCCCGTCTGGTCGAGTATAGTGGCAACTACTAGCTACTACATTGATCCAGCCTGCCAAGTCACCGCTAACCCCTCGTCAGTATACTCCAGACTCATCCCCATATCCTCCGCTTTGTCCTACCCCGCGTCACCTTGTGCGTCTAGTATCCCATTGCGGTTCCGTTCCCCCTATCGAGCAGTTCAGCCCCGCAAGCTATCTAGAGCCACCGACCTTGATATCTCTTCACAGTCACTTGGGAGAGCGTCCTTTTATTCGGGTGGGAATCATACGTTTCACATCGCCCATGTCACCCAGTTGAAACGATTCACACCAATGTCCCCTTGACCTTGGTGGAGAATACACAGTTTCCTACCGGACCACTGTTCCTCTCCTCCCTAGTCCGAAAATGGATTCGCACAATGCCCCCGCCTCCTCGGCGGGCCGGGGCACGGATTTTGATCCTCGCACTCCTGGAGCTCACGAAGGAACCCCGGTTTCAGATCAAGGCCACAATACCTCCATGGACGGTGCAACTGTAGGCGGCACGGACCGAGTATATCCTATTCGGTCAATCATTTCCTTCAACCCCGCTGCTACGGATCCCAATCAGCAAGGTATACCGAATGAAATCCGTTCGCCGCGAAGTGGTGCTCGCTCTTATTCAATCATCGACGCCGATACCTGGGACCAATTGAGTTCGCAGCCCACTAGTTCGCCGCATACCAACCCTTCTCCTAATGCGCCTGTCCATACGCCCGAGTCGACCGATCGGCTCTCGCAGCAGCAATCTAACGTCTTCTCACCGGCCTCGAGCGCTGCCGAGCGAGACGCTCCGCCGGACGAAAGCTCCACGTACAGGAAGGTGGCACCGGAAGAGGGCCATGCGAGCCTTGTTACTTCGCGATTCCAGCACGTGGTTACGGCGGCGGGTCATGCTGTCATCACAGGCAATACACCTGATTCCTTTCGGGCCTGTGAAGACGAACCAATCCACATCCCGGGCGCCGTGCAAACCTTTGGCGTCATGCTTGTTTTGCGCGAGACACCCGAGGGTTCTTTAGCGGTCCATGTAGCGAGTGAGAACTCAGAAGCTATTCTGGGTCACTCGCCAAGCAACCTTTTTGCGCTGGAGAGTTTCACTGACCTCCTGCAAGATGATCAGACCGACATCCTCCTCGATCACATTGACTTCATTCGAGACGATGGATATGATCCCGTTAGTGATGGCCCGGAGGTTTTCATTCTGGCTGTCAAAGACCGATTCGGGCGGCCTCGGCGCTTTTGGTGTGCCATTCATGTTAATACCGCTCACCGGGATGTGATCATTTGTGAGTTCGAATTGGAAGACGACCGCATCAATCCTCTCAATGTTGCTGGACGCACGACACCTACATCCTCGACAGTGACTCTGGGCTTTGAGCCAACCCCAGATCAATTAGCAAGCAGCACTGTGAACATTAGCCAGCCGTTACGAGTGCTTCGGAACGCACGCAGAAGGAGGGGTGAAGCAGCTGCCATGGAGGTGTTCAGTATTGTTAGTCAGATCCAGGATCAGCTTGGTGATGCCCAAAATATGGACGCCTTGCTCAACATCACGATTGGCATAGTTAAAGAGTTGACTGGATTTCACCGCGTGATGATATATCAGTTTGATAGTGAGGCCAACGGAGATGTGGTGGCAGAATTAGTGGACACAAGAATGACCAAGGACTTGTATAAGGGATTACATTTCCCGTCAACGGATATCCCAAAGCAAGCCCGCGACTTGTATCGTCTCAACAAAGTGCGCATACTCTACGACCGTGACCAGATGAGCTCACGGTTGGTGTGTCGAGGCATCGAGGATCTCAAGACACCTCTGGACATGACACATGCCTACTTGCGTGCAATGTCGCCTATCCACATCAAGTACTTGGCGAACATGGGGGTCCGTGCATCCATGTCGATCAGTATCAACAACACGCATGATCTTTGGGGTCTGATCTCCTGTCACTCTTATGGAGACACCGGCATGAGGGTACCTTTCCCAATTCGGAAAATGTGTCGGTTGATCGGCGATACACTCTCACGGAACATTGAACGTCTCTCTTACGCATCCCGTCTTCAGGCACGCAAGCTTCTCAACACTATTCCTACGGATGCCAACCCCTCGGGTTATATAATTGCCTCATCGGATGACCTGCTGAAGCTTTTTGATGCGGACTATGGCGCATTGTCAATTAGAGGGGAGACTAAAATCCTCGGGAAGTCAACCGAGTCACAGGAGATGCTGGCTTTGTTGGAGTTCCTCAAGATCCGCCAGCTCAATTCCGTCGTTGCATCGCATCACGTGAAGAAGGATTTTCCAGACTTGCGTTATTCGCCGGGCTTCAAGGAGATCTCGGGCATGTTGTATGTGCCTCTATCGGCCGATGGCAAGGACTTCATAGTCTTCTTCCGGAAGGGCGAGCTGACGCAGATCAAATGGGGTGGCAATCCTTATACGAAACTTCTGCAGACTGGTCACCTCGAGCCTCGCGCGAGTTTCCAGGTGTGGACTGAGACAGTGATGGACCGGGCTCGTGAATGGACCGAATCGGAAGTAGAGACTGCAGCCGTCTTATGCCTCGTCTATGGCAAGTTTATCAAAGTATGGAGACAACAAGAGGCTGCTTTGGAAGGTTCGCAGCTGACGAAGCTGCTTCTGGCCAATTCGGCCCACGAGGTCCGAACTCCGCTGAATGCCATTGTCAATTATCTGGAAATTGCTTTAGAAGGTGCCTTGGACACGGAGACTCGCGACAATCTTACTAAATCATACTCCGCCTCCAAATCATTGATTTACGTCATCAACGACCTATTGGACCTGACGAACACCGAAAAGGGACACAACCTGATTAAAGATGAACCCTTTGATCTGCCCTTGTGTTTCAAGGAAGCGACCGCCATGTTTTCCGGCGAGGCGCACCGGAAAGGAATTGAGTATACTGTTCACGCCCATCCAGGTCTCCCAAAGACCGTTTTGGGTGATGAACGGCGCGTTCGGCAAGCAATTTCAAATCTAATCTCGAATGCCATTCAGCATACATCTACGGGTGGCGTCACTGTCGAAATGTGGCGGGCTCCTGGCAATCCGGAGCCTGGGTTTGCAACCATACACATGACAGTGCTTGATACGGGGACTGGAATGTCTGACGCTATGCTGGAGACGATGTTCCAGGAACTGGAGCAGGTCTCCTCGGAGGACGACAGCTACTTTTTCGACCGAGATCCCAACAATAACTCGCAGCATACCGAGGGTGAACGCGGGAAAGGTGTCCTCGGACTGGGGCTCGCTTTGGTGTCTCGCATCGTACGGAATACCCACGGTCAGCTCACAGTGCGGTCGGAGGAGGGCAAGGGTAGCCGCTTTCAGATTTCGCTACAGTTTTCTACTCCAGACGATACAGGTTCCGACCAACCCGAAACCCCACAGCCGTCCACGCAGGAGGGGGATGCCACTCCTTTTGAGGCCAAGGAAGAGTTTATCTTAGTCGACAGCAGCTCGTCTGCACCAAGTGATGGATGGCGTCGTAGTGGTAGCCATCGCGGCACGATTAGCCCGTCTGCAGATGAACTGGACGCCAAACTGGTAGCAGAGGATTCTATTGATCGTACGAAAGACGAAGCTGCTGGTCTGCTTCCCTCTTCAGATCGCCGAAAACTCGTCACGCTGCCTTCCACCCCTGAAAGGCTGGATGATGTCACACGTGCCTTGCAGCAGAACGTGCAGAATCTCACCATATCCGACAAACCAGCAATTACCAGTGCAGGCCCTGCAGGACCCGCTCCAACGAGTGTCCCCCCTGCAGACTCAGACGCTAAAGCCCCACCTGGCAAATACCGCGTTCTTGTGGCCGAAGACGATCCTATCAATGGCAAGATTGTACAGAAGAGGCTTGGAAAGCTAGGCCACACCGTCCAACTGACAGTAAACGGCGAAGAATGCGCAGCTGCATACCGGGCCGATTCTGCGCAATTTGACGTCGTCTTGATGGACATCCAGGTGAGTTCCCTGCCAAGGTTTTATCATTATAGGCGCGCTAATTCAAGCTAGATGCCGATCGTGGATGGTATTAACTCGACCAAGATGATCCGCGAATTTGAGACTTCGTCCGATTCGACCGCGCTCTCTTCGGTCGCAAAGCTGAACAATCGGATCCCTATATTTGCAGTTTCCGCTTCTCTTCTAGAGAAGGACATGTCCTTATATGTCGATGCAGGCTTCGACGGGTGGGTCATGAAGCCCATCAACTTCAACCGGCTCAACGTCCTTTTGGAAGGCCTCCAAACGGGGGATACAAGAAATTCTGCCACGTATCATCCTGGCTGTGACTGGGAACAAGGCGGCTGGTTCACGCCTATTCCCGAAGAAAAGCAGTAGTACACGCTTTTCTGCCTTCCGCTTATCATCATCCAATGCTCCCCTCCCTTCCTATCCGCAAAATAACGAATTTCCACACCAGGGAAATTCCGTTATGTCTTGTCATGCATTTTGAGCGCATGATTATCTCCACCTAGCTTACAGCAGCACACAAAAGTCACGACCGCGACATGACGAAAGAAAATGAATGATCAGCATTTTACGTGTGTTCGACCTGATTGAAGCCTTGTCTTGTGAAAATTCTACATTTCTTTGTCCATGTATACCCCATTAGTTGATTTGTCTAGGCTCATATCTTTGTGTTTTGAACTCATGGGATCTGCGTCCTTCATCTATCATGGCCTGGTTGGTTGGTCTGGTTTTATGCATCTTATGTTATCTCTAATGGTCTATGAGCACACGTACAGCCATATAGCAATTGGTTCGGTTTACTATCTATTTATATCTTGCAAGGATTTTCTGTCTTGGTTCTACTGGGTAGGGTTCGGGTTTATCCTGGTATCTTTTGAGCGACTTTCTTGCTGGATGTCGATCAGACTTCGACCTGTTCATTACTGTTGTATATCAGATCACAAACATACGTGTCATGACTTTTACTAGAATGACTACGTAGGTATTACTATAATATGTACGAGGACTTAAGAAGAATTACCCCAAACATCCAATGTAAAACTCCTTAATAGTATCACAATATATCTAGCAAAGATACTAGTACTTGACATGACATTATTCATCACGCAATTATAAAACCCCCCTCAAAAAAAAACAGCCAAAGCAGTTCCCTAGTCATAAAATGACCCCTATCTATACCACCGACATCCGCCGACTAACACCAGCACCAGCACCACCCTCTAAATCCGGCATCTCCTGCACCAAATGGCCCACCGAATGAACCAGCGGCGGCTCCGCCACAGACACAATCGTATCGACAGACCCAATCCTGTTCCTAGTATACCACCACTCTTTATCCCTCCCCTGGACACCCCCAGGACTTTCATCCCGGTCACTACCAACACTATCCTTCGTCTCCACAACCCCCAGAACCCCAGACATAGTCGACGCAGAAGAATAAGTAGAAGTAATAAGCGGCTGCGCACTCCCCCTCCTCGAGTCACCACCACCACCACCCCCATGAATCGAATACACACACCTCGGCTGTCGCGACGCACCAACAAACCCGACGAGCCTCCCCACCGCCACACCCTCAACGAGCACCTTGGTACTAACCACGAAGGGGAAGAAAGCCATCGCTGCGGCGTTGTTAACAGTATACACGGCCACGATGTTGGCTATGTTGAGGATGAGGGAGATGCAGCCTGCTATGAGGAGGGTGGAGAGGATTCGTTGTCTGTCTTGGTGGGTTGATTCATAGTGGAAGTGGTGTATAACAGGGCGGAGGTATTTGATCACACCCCAGGTATAGACAGCCAGGAGGAGTATTTCTCGCGTGCAGTACGCCGTGACGGAGATCCGCGAGAGGATTGTGACTGCGTGCGTCCAGTGGCCGTCTTTGTAGAGGGTGGCTGCGGCGGGAGCGACGATCACGTGGGGGAGTTGGAAGAGTAGGATGGTTGCTATTATGACGTAGAGGAGGATTCGTTGAATCCGGAGCTGGAAGTGGGCTTGAGGGCGTTGGTGGATTGTTATTAGTGGGAGGGAGAAGTAGAGGAGGAGGGTGTTAGTGATGCTGGCTGTTGTGGTGGTGAGGACGAAGAGGATGGCTGAGGCGATGCGGGTGGGTGTGCGGGTGTGGTGGAAGAGGAGGAGGATGCAGAAGGTGCTGGAGAGGAGGGTGGTGGTTGTTGTTGTTAGGAGGGTGGTGGTTGTTGTTGTTAGGAGGGTGGTGGTTGGGATTGCTAGAGGGCGGGGTTTTGTGGATGTGGATGTGGATGTTGTTGTGAAGAAGGAGAGGTCGAAGATGAGGTAGTAGAGCAGGAGACAGGTGAAGGTGGAGATGGAGATGAGGGATATCGCGGTGTAGCTGTCTGCGCGGGGGAGGGTGTAGTAGGATGCTATAGCTGTGGTGGTGGTGGTGTTCATGGTGGTTGTTTGGTCATTGCGTGGTTCAAGGATGAGGGGTAGGGTTCCATGGCGAGATGTGATAGGAAGTATATAAGGTATGGGGTTGACGTGAGGTCTATGCTATGGGTTTGAGTATAACAAAGACTCGACCTGAGTGTGTGTAGTTCAACAGATGAAGTTGAAAGTCCTATATCCGAACCAGATGTGGGTGGAGGAGAAAACATCTCCGGGGCTGCATAGAACTAACCCTCAACCTCAGATAAGGTTCTGATATGTTCATCATCGGATCCTTGGTTGAGAGCGGCACCTGCAAGGGTCTGGAGCCGCCGCTGCGGAGCTGCAGAGCTACAAACAAAGCAAGGATTCTCGAGGCCCACGGGAGATCGTCGTGTTGGTTTGCAGCGACCAAGTGGGGGACAGCTGAGAGCAGTCCATCCACTTGTTGATCAGTTGGTCGCAAGGTGGGATATTTAGGTCAAGAAATATAAGCCGAACTAGTAGTTGCTTGTGCATTACGGAGTGAACTGATGCTTGTTTTGTGCTGACTGTTGACGGCATACTAGTACCTTGATGCTATAGTCCCCGAGAAACCATGATTCTCCTCTATAGAGCTATTAGATGTATTGTGGGGGCAGTTCCATGAGTCTGGAGATGCGCACAGACAAATTTGAACAGAGTCACCCTCGGTTGAGCAACGGAGGAGATGTCCGGGGACTCGGATCCGGAGACGGACAGGAAAGTCATGGCCCTCGGATGACTTTGGCCGCCAGATAAGGTTTCTCTGTGGGCCTGCTGTCATTTCTTGAAGAACAACTTCAATATACTCTGCTATTGACTGTCTTCTTGGCAAGGCAATTAGGGTGACTTCTACTGCATTGTGATGGCATCTACTGGAACAGCTACAGGCCCTACTTATCATGGAACGCAGGATATTCACTTCATTGTATGTATGTATGTATATCGACATGAGTAACCCGAAATTCCTCGCATTCTCTCTCATTAAATTTCCATCGTCTTTGACCCCTCCGACCAATATGACCCAGACATCTGTCCCTCACACCAGAATCCGAGGTGATATGCCGCTAGAAATAGCGCCTAGACAGTGCACTTGACGCTGGCAGCACTCAGATCCACCGGCTGCGCAGCACTCGGGTTTCCATCCAAGTCCACATAGGTGTTCCGGGAGTTCAGGGTGGCCAGAACCGATCCGTATTTCGTGATCACGCAGTTGGTGTTCGCCTGGAAGTTGGTCAATTGCGCCGACGAGGCCTTGACGACTCCACCGGAACCGACTCCGGTACCTCCGTAGAGTGCGGAGATGCTCTGTTCGCTGCCGTCGGCGGGGATGGCGGCACTTCCCTGGGCACCAGTTTGGTCGTTGGCCAGGGCGATGGTCACGGTGGTAACGACGGGGCCCGCAGAGACAGAGGCAGCCAGAAGGGCAATGAGGACGGCACTGATCGACTTCATCTTGAGGGATGGTGGTGTTTGTTTAGAAGAAGGTAGTAGTAGATGGTTGATTGATGGTGATGGTCCGGAGACAAGTAGGAATGAAATGCTGCTGTATTGCTGGAATGGTCCTTGAAATGTCGAGGGAGAAGGCTTGCTTTATACCTTTGCCTTTCGCTCCTTGTACTGAAGGGCATGAATATCTTGTCGAGGCTGTCATGGGGTCTCTGGAACTTCGTATCTGTCTTACATCCTGCCGGGTCGTAGACACCCTGCCACGGCTTCAGGCGTTCCATGACTTTGGTTGACGTCGACTGGATTCACGATCTGTCGCATACAGCCGAGTGTAGACTAATTCAAGCCGACGTCATGAGACAGGGTTTCGATAAAAGTACTTCCCAGCGCCGCCGAGAGTCGAATAAGAGGCATCCGAATGGTGGATTACCAAATCGGGACGGATATTTATGACATCGCATGGTGGACACGTGAGGGTGAGATGCAGGTCTCAAACCTTCAGCATCGAGTCGATGCGATGGCGAGCCTGGAGATCATTGACTCTCCAATCGTAGAAACAGCGCGGCGGAGAGCTCGTGTTGTTGCGTGAATACGAGAAGCCCCATGTCAACAGGCATTGCAGGCCGCATTCGATGCTGGTGATGGTCCCTACACAGTGGCATGTTGTCTTGCGGTCAGTATAATGCTCATAATGTATGATGCTTATGATTTTCACTGGCAATGGCGGATTGAATGATTTGCCAGCCCAGGAAAGTCGAACGATTGGGAAGGCGGAGTCTAGGAATACGAGCCGGTGCCGTAAGGTGGATGCCAAATAAAGACGACGGGAAGGATGATATACTTTCCCCGATGTAACATCCCTGCGACATCGCTCAACTTCCCCGGATACCCCAGCAATTCATGCGACGGGGTTCGACGCCGATCCTAAGCATGCGTCATCTTGGATCTCCAGTTCGGATGGTTCGGAGGCATCGGTGTTACCCGGATGTTGAAAGATGAACGAACGCCAGAAGGCAAGGAACCTTGCAAGATCTGATGTTCTCTACCATATCCAAGTTCACTGCGACAACATCTGAACAATTACTTTCGCCGTGGACCCGGAACGATGAGGCTTATGGTTGTGGGAGAATCTGCGACCAGAATCTTAGGCTGGTCTGTCGGACGATTTGGGCGCGCTTACGAGCATTGAAGGCTTGGCAGGTTGGCACATAGCCAAGAAAACGACCCAGAAAGAGGAAGGCTGTGGAGATGCAATGGCAGCAGCCTTGCGGCAGCGTGCGATCCATCTGGGGCAGTGTCATATCCGGGCTTCCGGGCCAGAAGATGTATCTATGCAGAAAGCCGTATCCGACATAGCCTTCCTTGCGTGACTAGATGACTGCGGCTTCAACGGTGGGTTGATCATGACTGTGTACATTACCAGGAGTTGCTAGAAGCTACAGGGCTGCCATGACGCTTCACGAGAACTGGGTCTAGGACGTCGACGAGGAGTGGTGATGGGTCTTGAATTACGCGAGGCCTGGTCCAATACCCACCAGCTTGTCGGTAATGCACTAGTAGGTATCTGGAGTCTTCTGGCCAGAGAGTGGCGAGCTCGATGATGATATTGCAGGTAGGGAGACCGCCGAAGGCCCTTGCTTAGATGCACCGAGGGTGCACATCCACACACTATGTTGCGGAACAGAACCGGGGATATTCCCGTACCAGAGTGACTAGCTTCATGATAGTCTTGAAGGCAAAACTATAAGACTTGCAAAAAGGAACGTTCGCGGAAGTACTAGGCCGTGTGTCCGTCACGAGACCGAATACTTTTTATAGATATCCGACATCAGTCTGACTCCGAACGGGTCAATTAACGTGTCCGCAAGAAGTTTTGGCAACTCCCTACTCAAGTGTAGAGTGGAGCTGAGTTCTGAAACAAGCAATGAGACCCTGCGAGTCACGCTGGCCGCGTGACTGGATGACCGGACGAGAGCTGTTAGGTCCCTGGGCAGGTATGGAAGTTATTGCGCGCACACTTAAACTCCTAATTTGAATCCACCCCGGTTGGCCTTGGATTTATATGAATGAGGTGTCGTCCAGCATTGGATGCGGAGACTATCAGAACGGCGGAGAGATCATCGTGTTGGAGCCCGGTTCGGGGATTGAACGGGATTACCGCCAAAGTTGTGTGGTTAATAACATGTTCTGAAGAGAAAGGAACACCGTAGCGAAGGAGAACCAGCGGGGTCTAGTAATAGCGGTGAGTGGAAGCGACGGAGAGTAGAAGAAAGAGAGTGGAAGAGAGAGCGAAGATGGAGCAAGTATGAACCAGTTGGTCTGTGCGGGAGCTGCTGACGTTGACGTCGATGGAGTCCGTCAGTCGCTCTCACTTTCTGCCTGCATCCACTTACTCGCTCTTCCCTCTTCACGGCTTCCTCTCCGCCTCTCTTTTCCTTTCCTTCCCTCTCTTTCTCTTCTCTCCATTCCACCCTGGTCTCTCTTTCAGCTTCCTATTTTTCCAGCTACCATGTCCTTCTCCTAGTGCGACCTGTATTATTCGATTAGGTTACTACCAAACACACTCCCTAGGCAGATAGCCCGTCATGGTGTCCCTGTGGCCCTTCAGGGTAAGTCCCCATCACCGCCAGTCTCCAATCCACCAACTCACAATTAAACCTCATTCTCAGGCCGAGGACACCTCTCCAGCATCCTTCGAAAAAGCCCTCGCCGCACTCTCCACCAAGATCACCCGAGCCACCACCCGTCTCGACCTCCACCGTCAACATGCCCGTCGCTTCAAGGCCCTCTGGACCCTCTACACTACCTTCGCCTACCTCCTCTATTCTATCATCATTGCTCTAGTCCTCGGGTGGCAGAATTGGGGAATCACAGAGTACGGCGCGATTATCGGTGGTCCAATCCTGTACGTCCACAATTCCCCCTGATCTACTCCCTCACTGCGACCTGCCACCCCCCACTCCACCCCTATTGCGGAGCGTCACACCTGCATCACTACTCCTAACCACCATTCCCATACAGGATCTACCTCATCCGCACCATCTCCACCCGCTACTATGACTATCGCATCACCAAAACCCAAGCCTACCTCGACGATCTCCATAAGCAGCGTGAGAAAACCATCGAGGATCTAAAAACCGCCACGCGCTGGAATTCCACCCAACAGCTGCTGGAAAAGTATGGTGGGGAGTCGCCGAAGCCCGCGCGCTCGAACTCGGTCAAATCTGGCGACGCAAAGCGCAACAAGTCCGAGGGAGCGAAGCGCAAACAGCCATCCCAGCAGCAGCAGCAGCATGTCCAGCGCACGGGTATACCCCCGCCCCCGACAGCGAATATTCGACGACCAGCACCGCAACAATTCCCCTCCTCTCCTCAACCACCTTCCACCCCGCCGGTCGCATTCCAGCACCACCAACAGTCTCCGCACGTGTTCCCAGGTCAGCAACAACTACAGCAGCAGCAGCAGCAGCAGAGTGCACCAAACATGAACGTGGGCCTCGAAGAACCCGGGTTCGCTCCGAACGCATTCTCCAGCACGTCTACGCAGTATGTGGAACAGTCTCACTGGTACGACCGCCTGCTGGACGTATTGCTAGGCGAGGATGAAACCCAGCCTAAGAACCGGCTCGCCTTGATCTGCTCCACCTGTCGACTGGTGAATGGTCAGGCGCCCCCAGGTATCAAGACACTCGAAGAACTAGGCCGTTGGCGTTGCGGGAACTGTGGCGCATGGAACGGTGAGGAAAGCGAAGCGAAGAAGGTCCTGGCGGGTATCCGCAAGGAGCAGCAGCAGCAGTCGTCCAATATCTCTAGTGGCAGTGTTGATGGTACAGAGACTCGCTCGTCCGTGGGAGGAGATGTAACGGATGACGGCGTCATGGTGGCTGCTACTGGTAGCGAGGATGATCAGCTCGAGTCGCAGAGTGAGGGAGCCGAGACATCAGAGGAACAGGTAGAGCAGGTAGCAGAGAGTGAGAATGAGGAAGAGGAAGAGCCTGAGCCACAACCCAGTAAAAGGGTGACGCGGTCTCGAGCTAAGGGTGGGAAAAGGAAGGGATAACGATATGCTGATACAGGCTATTTTGCAATGTAGTTAGATTCTTCGTGTGGCATCGTTATCAATACCAGATCATGTTATCCAGACCACTATTCAGAAATAGAGGCTGTAAACGCTGGCACACTATATCAGGTGATCAAAGCTTAACCATCTGCAAGTGTTATATCCGTTAGTAAGTATGAAATTTCCAGTAGTGTCGATTCTCATATCCAAAATATGCATTTAGATCGCTTAACTACAACCAAACACCATCCCTCAACCCCCAACTCCAAAGCTCAGTTACTCACTTCAGTTCAATTCAAATAATCACAAACTACATCCCCTCCCCACCAAGATCTCCACTGCCCTTTCCGCAGCCGTAATCTCCGCCTCCTCACTAGTCAAACATCCCTCCGCCACAACAGCCACGCCGTCCACGCCCGCCATCTTCACCGTACACCGATACGTCGCTCTATCATCCTCCCCACCACCACCACCTTCATTCGGCACGCGGAGAACCTCAAACCGAATCTCCCCCTTCGCCATCTGCTGCGCGATATTCCGCGGATGCATAACATCCACCTCATCCTTAAGAATCCGTCTCAAGTACCACAAAAGGCCGAGCCGTTCAAGGAATTTCTCACATTCCGCCAGATTCCCATGCGAATCGATGAAGATAGCGCCGAGGATACTTTCAATGATATCGGAGAAGAATTTATCGGCGTTGAGCTGGGAAAGGGATTTCCAGGGGTAGGATGGGGAGTGTTTAAGGCCGTGGATGATGGATTCGCGGAGTGAGTTGTGGCGGGATAGAGCGAGGTCGCGGGCCGTTTGTAGATGGGCGCCTTGGTATCGCATGAAACGCCAGAGTTCGATGTGTTCTGTGGAGGGGCTGAGGGTTACGGTTCCGGTGGGGGTGACTTGCACGTTGGTGCGGTTTTCGGTGAGGGCGAATTCCATGCAGAAGAAGGCGAGGAGGTTTGCGTTTACTACGGCGTGTTTTATCTTGGTCATTAGGCCTTGGGGGATCTCGCGTGGGTGGGAGAGAAGGGTCGACATGATGGCCATGTCGAGGACGGCGTCGCCGAGGAATTCGAGGCGTTGGTAGGATTGGGTGGTTGTGTCGAATTGGCAGGATGGGTGGGTGAGGGATTCGACGAGGAGAGATTTGTTGGTGAAGGTGTAGCCGATGTGGGCCATTAGGTGGTCGTCGTTGAGGGTGTGGTTCGTGACGCCTTCTTTGGGCATCGGGGCTGTGGTGCGGTCGATGTGCTCGAGGTTGACTTCGGGGAGGAAGCGATGAATGCATGCGTGTGCTGCGGCGAAGCCGCCGTCGATGTAGGATGCTCCGATTAGGGCTTCGACTACGTCGGCTAGCACTTTGGTGGACATTGTTCGCTGCTTGGGGGTGAGGCTGATCTTTTCGGAGATGAGGGGGGCGCTCCATTTGCGGGGAGTGAACATCTTGTTCATGATGAAGGCGTCGAGGCCAGCGTCGAGAGCGGCTCGTGCAAGACGGGAGTTCTGGACGATCTCGTCTCGCCCTTCTGAAAGGTAGCCCTCGTGCCAGTTGGGGTGCTGGAAGAAAAGCTGGCATGAGACGGTGAATTTGAGGACCGAGTCTCCGAAGAACTCGTATCGCTGATAGTTGGTAAGTGATTGCGCACTTGGCGCGGTGATGGCTGTGATAATATGACGAATGCTGGAAAATTCTAGATCGCGTAGAATCGTTTCACATAGTCTAGTTGCAACCAATGTAGCTTCTAGTCTATCCAGTATAACCGATATGAAGCGGCCGAAGATGGTTTCGGCGTAGGGGAGTTTGTCTATGGTGCAATTTTCCGCAAGAATAAGCCGTATCTTCGAGGAGATGGCAGGTGTTTCGCTATCAGGCTGCTTAGCAGCTAATGTTTGCCGATGCAACAGGTTCCGTCGCTTGGGGACGGCGTCGCATTCAAGTTCGACTATGGGCGTGTCATCTTGTCCAGACACGACCCACCTTTTGAAAAGCATGGGCTCATTGTAGCGTGAACGGTCCCGCACAATGCCCATGACCGTAGGAAAGTCCTTGCGAGAGTAGACCTCTAGCGCAGGCTCGTCTCCTGCGTGCTTTTTGAGCCACTCTGCCAACTCAAGGTCAGTAAGGTCCGGCCCAAATAAAGTCACAAAATCTTGTTCAGGCCTCAATTGCCTAGAGCTTGCAGCCTGGAGGTATAGCGCGGTTGCCAGTCTCATATTTTCAATGCTTTCAGCGGCAATTTCTTTCATTCGCTTTGGTTTGTCGAAATCCAACGTATATATTGTCTCGCTATCCCAGAATAAGGTCATTGGTTCAACCGGAGGCAGGCTCGTTGGACTGGTCAACCTGATACACATGTGTGAGTCCCCGTTGTGCTTAATGGCAATTCGCGTTTGGTGGACATCAGGGGATGACCAGGAACAAGCCCAGTCGACCCAAGGATCGTACTGCTCTGATACTTCCACAAGGGCCGGTAGATTGGTAAGATCGGTCTCTTTGAGCTCTAAATTCCTCTTAAACGGAAGTAGATGATCGCTCAGAAGACCAAACTCGTAGAGACGCTTATAGGCTTGAAAGGCTGCTTCTTTCCGGGCTGCTCGCTCGGTCTGCCACCATCGCTGGCCCTGAATACGACGGACTCCGGGATGGACGCAGGACGGTAGCATGACAGTGCCTCTCAATAGGTCCGCATCGTCCTTCTCGTATGAGAACTCGGGCTCATTACTCGCATACGGTTGACGCGGCAGGACTGCGCAAAAATGGTTGAGATGTGCAACGGCAGTGTCAGCCGTCAAGACAGCACTGAAGAGATATATCAGCATCAATTTACGTTTAGCAGTTGCTGTGCGGTGCCATACCCGGTAGATTGCACCTCAAGCCTTTCCACCACTTCTTCGTTGATGGCCTCCAGGGCCCACGCCTCGCGCAGTCGCCTTTCGTCATCCTCGTACGCTTCTATCATTGCCTGTTCCAGGTCCTCCCACTTGCTCAGTGCAGAAGATTCATCATCTGTAGCAAACATTATAGCGTAGGTTGATTGCCTGTGCCGCGCGCGCCCTCGTCTCTGCACGAACGATTTCAAGTTCGGCGGCTTATCAAAGCACACCACCACACTGCAAGCGCTAATGTCAATGCCTTCCTCCAGCACATCCGTCGCAACAATCAGGTTTTTCTGACCGGTCCGGAATTCGCTCAGTGTATCACGCTGCATACGGGCGTCTAGGAGCTCACCCAGAACGTCTTTGCTACCACCGCCGGACCAGCCGACGAAGGAAGCGCATCGAAAACGATGTTTCGTCACAGGATGAATGGACAGTAGCTTTTCCATGACGCTCACCGTAGCCCTCTGCTTAGCAAATATAAGGCCAGAGAAGTTGGGCTCCCGCTTTGTATCCAAGAATTCCAGCAGGGAGCGGAACTTCGGCGAAATAGGTATTCTATCTGGGTCTGAGGTGGTGAGATCAATATTCGGGGTGGGTAGTTTCGAGACGATATCTAATAGATATGCCTTCTCCTCGACGGTCCAGCCCATGGTATCCGCCGAATTACCGGCTCTCGCTTTGAGCTGCTCAACGGAAGCGTGTATAAAGTAGTCGGCAGCCCATTCACCGAGCTCTTCGAAGATGTGCAGGCTTCTAGTCGCAAATCTTTTTAGCTGATCATTGCAATAAGTCTTCCCAGACTCGAGGACTTTTTGCAAGGCTCTTCCGTCCAGGGGGCTCTTTCTCAATTTTTTGATGTACGGATCATCCTCGAGTCTCAGAGACGTCCAGGCGCTCACAAGAGCTTTCAAAGTCTTGCTTCCGGCCTGCAGATCGTCGAGCAGGACCGGAGTAAATAATATCTGCTGCAAATGTGGTCGATGAGTATGTGTCATAAGCTCTGATCGATGTGTCCGTGGTGTCTTGCACACCGCATCAAGATTGGACTCAATCTTCCTGATCTGGTCAGCCCAGAACACCGGCAGCCGATGATACTACACTCACAGTAGCTCCTGTCGATTCGATCTCACCACCGGACTAGCCGTGAGGCCCAGAATCTTAGGCACAGCTTCTGCACCATGCCTTTCCAGAGCAGGGTGATAGAAGTCCTGCATGATCTTATTCGCAGGGTGGCGTCGCATGCAATGATGGGCTGCCAATAAAACACACCACATAAGCAATTATCATCTCACAGACACATGTATACCCACACAACCCCTACACCATAATCTCCGGATTTAGACATCGCGTTACTATACCTTCATCGAAAATCATCAGACCCAGCTGGGTGATCTTGACGAACCCATGGCTCATCGCATCGGCAAGAACCGCATGCGTGGACACCACCACCTGCATCTCCTTCAGGATAGCATCCCAGACCGGCTGCTCTGTCCAGAGCTCGACCTTGTCTAGACTCGTGAGTGTCCGAGCCCTGACGGCGGGAATATTGTCGGAGATGAACTTGAATTGTTGCAGACATAGAGCGACAGTGGGCGTTAAGAACCAGATCAACTGAGGCAAATGCATAAGCTAGTGACTTATACACCGACATAGTTTCATTGCCCTTCTCACCTTGTGCGGATTACTCTCCAGTTCCTTTATGATTCGCAGCAGAGCTCTGCAGTGAAACCGTCAACTCAATTAAAGTTCCACTGTGGAGAAGCATCAACAGCAAATAACACACATACATGTGAGTTTTCCCACTGCCAGTTCCCATCTGCAGAGAAATTAGCTTGAACCTTCATAAATAGTAAGATTTCATTACCGTGACAATAATATTTTCCTTCAAACTCGCCTCAAACATCTCCACCTGGTAGCTGCGCGGGCGGTATGCGGGCGCATCTTCGCCGGCGGGAAGTACAGTCGCAGCAACTGTCATCTTGCTGTCATTGGGGTATCACTGGACGAACAAAACTGAGCAAGGACAATGAATAGAGACAGTTGCTGGAGAAAGAAACCCAGCAGGAGGGTAAAGAGAGAACGAGGAGAAAGAGGCGCTGGGAATATCAAAACAACTAACTTTATCTTCAACTAACATTCGGTCCCAGGAGGCGCCAAAGTGGAGGGGAGAGACTAGGAGTGGGGTAAACAAACTGGACAAACTTGGTTGGTTTGGCTGGACTGGAACTGGCTGGCCTGGCGGGGTTTGTTTATGCAGCTAGCACTATCAATAGAATCATTCGCTAATCACAGTGGTCTTCAGCCTTGGGTTTTGAGATAACGCTCCCCTTGTGGATTGGTTCTTAGCTTTACTTGGGAAGCTGAAGCTTGGTTGGATACTGGTTCTTGTTTGGTTTGTTTTGTGTACATGGGATGCTGGAACTGATATGACTGTGACTGGACATTTTACTTGAAATATAGCAGTACTACTATTGCATCCTCAATGTTCAGAATATGAGGATAATTCGGTTATGTCTTTGACTGTCACATAAGGACGATAAAGAGAGCAGCATGTGCATAGGAGCAGACACAGATGGATTACTATAAGCAAGTCGAGCAGTCTGTTTCCTGGACCCCTTGTCCTCGTCGGAGGCACAGGAAGGCCCTCTCTAACAAACATCATATGCAAGTGTTGAACGAGGAAATACCAGAAGCCTCCTCCGCCCACTGCCAATGCATCGAGCAACCGGCAGACGGGAAAAGAATCACCAGGAGCATTAACAACAATGGTTACACCTCTTCTTTCCCGGGAGACTCCTGTGGCTGACGCTGTGGATGGACATCAAATATGAAAAGCACAAAACACCGCTCCTTCCGAGGCCAGAATGGATACCTAGTTACATCACGCCATACACCAGAAGATACGACAACGGTAGGAATATCGAAACAGAAAAGCAAGGAGCTGATGATATATCTCGGGCGTTCGCAATCAACAGAATACAGGAATGGCGACAACAATCAAGGGTAATATCGAGTTCGGATACATCTGAATCACTCATGATACAACGGGCAACCCGTGACCAGGCTCCGTTTTCGTTGCTTCAGACCCATCGGGCTGCCCGTCGTCGTTGCGCGGGCGACGAGCCTGGAAGTTGTTTCCCAGGAAGTTCGCTTCTTCATTAGGGTGCTTGCGCATTCCCAGGCCAGCGACCGCAATACGATTCAGCGAGTTCATGTCTTCGTTCGTGGCAGCACCGGGGTTGGGGACCTGCATTTGCTGCGGAGCACCACCAGGACCTGGCGCGGGACCGGTGGCCGCCGGAGCCCCCGGCGGGGGAACAGAGATGTCATTCCGTGGCTGGTTCAGGTCAATGTTGCCAGGAAGCTCGGGAACCTCGCCCTGGGAGTCCAGCAAGCGCGATTGCAGGTTGATGATATATTCACGGAGCTGGTAGTTCTCGGCTTGCAGCTGCTTCATAGTCTCGTTCGTATTATCAAACTCCTTCACTTGCTCCTCCAGCTTGCGAATATAGCTCTCCTTGCGTTGACGGAAAGCTCTCTGGATTTGGTCAGTTCAAGCTCTTGATCCTCAGGCATGAGAGTTCACTATACCTGTGCGGCGCGGTTCTGGGCAGCGCGCTTGGAAGTCGACAGCGGTCGCTTGCCATAAGTCTTTGGGGATTCCTGGCCCGTAGGCTCTGGCTGGGGAGGAGTTTGGGGAGGACCACTGAGCATGGCAGCGCCGGAGATGGCAGGGTCGATGTTGTTCTGGTCTCGAGGACTAGTGGTGTTGGGTTGCATATGCGGAGGCTGCGCGGTCGGACCTTGCGGACGTGCCTGCTGTGGGTGCGACAGATGTTGATGAGCAGCTAGGAGCTGGTCATGCAGCACTGGAGATCAGAGACGCGAGTTAGCATTTGGTGTAAACACATACGAGGCCAGGGAAGTGGAGTGAGGCAGTAAGCAACCCGCAAACGCGATGACGCGATGACTGCTGGGGCATTTTTCCTCCTGCTTATCTCTTTTTCTCCCCTTTTCTTCGCGATGAGAGGCTGTTCTCACTTACCCTGATCCGCATGGTCCTAGTGAGAAACTCCACAGTTAGCATCTATATACTTGGTGATTCATCTACACCGGATTGACGCGACCGGTGAGCATGTCAAGGCCCCCGTGTCGCGAAAACATGGGTGTGATCCGGCATCGCTCATCCGACAGACAGGGCGACAGCAGTCGCGAACACGACCAGAAAGCTCAAGCTCCCGGCTCGGGTCATGAGCTGCGCGAATCTGGGGAAACGGGGAAAGACAGGATGGGACAGACGCGATCTGATGACAAACCGCGACAAGCATAGGCTGCTTACCTGAGCAGACGTTTGCATACTTGGATGCGGCGCTGGGGCTAGTGTGGGCTGCATCGAGGCAACAGGTCAAAAGACAACGGAGACGCGCCGGAAAAAAGACACGACAGGACCAATTCACGAAGGGCAGAAGGGCGGACGACGAGCTCGGCCAGTCTATTCGCACGTTTTCTTTGGGGGTTTCGAGGGGGGAGGCGAGGATGTAGAGAAACGATGTAGGATAAACGGGGGAAGGACGATGAGGTAAGCAGAAACGAGAGCGCGAGCACCAGTTCGGAGATAGCTCGTTTTCGCTAGGCAGGGGAGATTTGGGAAAGGCTGCTCACGCGGAGGCCTTAACTGACTAACTAAGCTGGATTGCAGTTTGACTGCTGACTATTATTGGCGATAACCGGGGGGGAAAGTGGGTGTGGGCAGATTAGTTATGAGAGGGCAGTGATCTCGTAAGCAGCGACTTGTGACGGGAAGTGCTGGGAAGACAGACCGAGAGTGGGAGGGGGGCGAGAGGGAAAGGGAAGATTAGTTAAAGGATCAGTCAGAAAAAGTGACGTGTGGGAAAATGGAGGAGGGCGAGTGGCTGGCGCCGAGGGAAAAAGGGCCCTTCCCCCGGTGAACTTCACTGGTACTACGGTAGTAGTAAGTTACTAGGCTGCCTTACCTTCCTCAGGTGTCCAGACCTGCATTGAAGGAGACTCAAAAGTTCTTTGTTTCCCGGTTACTTACTTCTTATTGATGTACATATCTCTGTATCTAATCCCATCCATTCGTTCATTACTCCCTCCTATTTTAACTCTGAGCATTACACGAAATCCCCTCCTTCTTCCCCCTCAACAATCCGAATTTCTTTGTTTCGTTTCTACTGTGTTCTGCCTGACCCACGGCTGATGACTGATCCGGCATGCGCTGACTCATCGTTTTCCCCAACAGTTGGTTTGCCGGCAATTCACGGGTATTCCCACTATCTACACTACGCTTCCCGACGAGATGTAGATAAATATGATTCACATGAGTAATAACACCTTCCCTACATATTGAGTAAGAATGATTGACGAATCCCCCACCGGAGCTACACATGCGTACAACTCCGAGACGTAAATGATCTTCGACCACTTACTACTTCCCTCCGCCGGCATCCGGGCGGTGTTACTTGGGAATGTCGGATGAATCGGGGTCAGAATGCCGATGCCTGACTGCAGTGGGGGGGGTTGTCCTCTGACTCAGCCGAGCATTGGCTGGAACGTAGGGAGTAATATCATTGGGTGAGCCATGGCCGAGTCCAGGCTCGAGTCCCGTACTATCCATCACCATGTTGTGAACAGCAGCGACCATTTTCTGCCCATACCACCAAAAGGCGGTCATATTTTATACAGATTCCACCTTGAGTGTTTGGGGAGCTGTACGTTCTAAAAGCCGACTAAATCCGAGGCTTTTTCATCGAGGTCGACTAGGTTCTGCCGCTTTTGGCGGTGGTGAGGGCGGTCAGTGTTGGGTTTCTGCCGCGACTGGTATCTATTTCTGTCGGACAATGTAGACTTGATTTGTGAAGGCTTCGCTTCTAGGAGTTTAGGTATGGTTACTAGGTTTTGGTATTCATCTCGTTGGCTTACTGGGATCATATTTAGTACAACTTTCTCCGGCGAGTCCCGCGTATGTATGCAAGTATGTACTTGAACTGACATTCAGACAGTCTGTTACTAGTAAGTACATCAAACCGCAACATACTAGCAATAGAATAATGATTAAGTACATCGATCAACTTCATGACACATATAGACAATAGAGAAGTTCCAGCTCCCACTCATAACCCATGTATATACTACGCTCGTGTCATCGACCAGTCATCAGTATGACAAATTCTCCTCTCCTCTCTCGTCATCAGTCACGCATGCCAGCCCACATCATTGCTCTTTCTTCGCCTGGGGTTCAGTCGCCAGCGTCTTGATGATGGTCGCTCCAACATGCGCCGACTCCTTCCACCCCTTCTGTCGCATCCAGAATCGTTCCGCCGGATCAGTGTCATGAGTCGACCACTCGCGAGCATCCTCTTCCAAGGACTTGCGCGTGATATCAGGGACTTTCATCGAATGATCCTGCTCGTTGCCATCCCCCTCGTCATCACTGCTGCGTGCCGCGATCGTCGACTCCAAGTACCGCTTGCGCATGAGGTACCGCTCCGTCCGCTCCTTCTTGGCGTTCGGGGGCTCCAGCTTGGCCATGGCTGCGCGGATAGCATACCGCACCATGAGGTAGATGTGTTCGGAGAAGAATATCGTCAGCAGTAGTGCCCATCCGCGGATGGCAGTCGGCTCGCCGTTCGGGCCTTCATGGCCGTTGCTGAACATATAGAGGAGAGCAGAGCTGGTGATGCTGCCAACCCAAGACAGGAACCCGAGGCTTTCCAGCCAGGGTCCAATGGTATCGGCCCGCTGCGGCCAGGGTCTCTTGCACTCCATGCAGATCTTGAAGAAATCGGACCGGAGCTCCACCCAGTTGTTGACCAGGAATGAGACGGGGACTAGGGGCCAGACAGGAGAGAATAGAGCCAGATATCCAAACTGGATACACATCTCTCGCAAGTCTTCGGTCACGTCATAGTCCTCCATGTCGGCTTCGTTGCGCACCCGGGTAAGGAACTTGGTCTCGTCGGGGTGGTCGTCGAAAAGGGCCTCTTTCTTGGCCTCGGAGCCGTCCTCGGTCTCGATCTTTCCCTGCTTTCTGCGGTTGTATTCCTTATATTCGCGGGAAAGGCGCTGCTTGAGCATGGGTACAATGGTCTCCATGGCAAAGTTGACAGCTTGGGCCGTGACAGTGAAGTAGATCACCTGCTTGCGCAGACGGTCCGGGTCAATGCTGAATTCTGTTCGTCGCGAGTTGGCGTCCTCCTTCGATACGAACGGCCGGACAGTCAGATGGAAAACATCAAGGTACGGCACGATACGGCTCGCGAAAGGCACGTAGACAAAGGCCGTGAGGAAGATTGGCAGATACGAGGTGATAAAGTTGATGATAAAGATCTTCTGTGTCAATGCCACATCGTATGCAGGCTGAGTCTCGTAGTTCTCGTAATCATTGAGCTTCGTAGCGATAGACACCAAAACCGAGCTCATTGTTGGGATTAGTGCTGAGAGCAGGATGGTCGGGATAAAAACCTGCTCCTGTTAGCAGAGCCTCTTCGAAATTCACGCGATTTAGACTTACCAAGTAGGTCTTCAGCGGGCCATTGTATATCTCTGAGATGAAGATCTCAATGGCAAAGCACGTGGCGATGATGACACCCAATGCAACCGCAGAAAGCAAGGCGAACGGGACAATCAGCAGTTGTCTATACATCCGCCTGGTCGCGGGGAACACCCCCCTGACCTCACCAGTGCTTTCATCCTGAACCTCCCTTTCGGGCTGAAATTCGCGTCTCTTGGGTCGCACAGCCGAGACGCCCTTGGTTTGCCAGCGACAGCTCAAATCCTCCTCTTGGCGCTTCCAGTACTCGATGAAAATGATACACCACAGACTGTTCACGACCGCATATATGATGGAAAAGGAACCGAGCAGCAGCCAGCAGGAGAAACCGAATACGGCGGGGAAGATGAGGAACCGAAAGTAAGACTGTAGGAATGCGAAGTAAAAGCCAACCTGTACGTAGAGGCACCCATTAGCGGCAGATCAAGTAATGCCTGCAAGGACGGTCTTATCCTTACATTCTCTCCGAACGTGTTCCGTATCTGATCCAAATCATCAGCCGACAGAAACGTCTTCTGGCTCCAGTCCTTTATGCACTGCTTATTCATGGCCTCATCATGCAGCGGAAAGATCGCATCGACACATTTCCATTCGCCATGTTTCGGAGTGATACCAGCGCCACCTGCCTCTTTAGGGACCGTGATCATATGGTAGATAACGCGCAAACGCTCCGATTCCGACTGGGCCTCCGCCGAGGACTCTGATTCGGGTTCGTTATTGCGGACGCCATAGAGCCAATCGCGAATGCTAGGAGAAATAACATCGACGGATCAGTAAGAGATAATAAGACCCGACCGTACAAACAGCAAGCGCTCACCGTGATTGATAGATGGCGCGCTTCAGGCTCTTCTTCCGTGACGCTCGGACGAATATCAACAGCGACGATTCGTCCCCTTGCCTCACTTCGGTCTGCAGTCCAACCTCGAAGAGCTTCCGCAGCAGTCGATCGAGTTGCTCAGTCGCATGGGCGGCGTCTAAGTACAATGGTGGTTAGGTCGGAGCGACACCGGGAATTGCTGGCCTGGGGCACACCGCCATCTTACCAGTCTCACCACCAAAGTTGTAGCGAATCACGTAGTCCACATAGTGATTGCTATGCACAGGGTCCCGAGGGATAGTGGAAGCCATTGAAAGGGAAGGGAAGAAGTGTGGAGCGGAATCAGGGAATCATCAGTACGAACAGGGAGCACGTCGACAAGCATCGAGAGTATCCCAGGGGAGCGGGATCTACTAGGAGTAATTAATAGTAATCTAGTGATTAGGAGGAGCTACCGTTTTTTCCCAGGGGATCTACGCCGCGATGACGACGTCACCACCGATCAGATCTGGCGCTTAGGGCTAGCCCTCATCGTGGCTGGTGCCGATCGTCGCCTCCATCGTCACCATGCATTCATTCAGTTGATCAAGACTCTTTCTCCGCCTCGGTGGGCCGTAGTCGTTATCAAATTCCTTTTAAGGGGTTGATGATGATGATGATGATGATAGCTTATGCACCAAAGTCCTTTTCCAGACTGGTTATGTTGGTTTTCCTTCACCGCCTTCTGTTGCAATGTATTCCGGGCGGTGAGAATCATCCCTGCTGCTGATCTGCCAACACCCCTCCATATAAAGTAGACCAAGAGGTCAATCATTTTCATGTGATGCTCGAAAGCCACAGCCAAGACATTATATTCTAGAATCATGCAGTCTATTTGCGATCGGGTGAACGCGGATAATCCCTTCACTTCCTCACTCATGGTCAAGCAGACTCAAATCACTCACAATCCCTCCGCCAACTTGTTCAAAGCCGGGCCCTCCATCATCATCTTCGTCCACTCATCCATGGCTTTAGCCCCAACCTGTTCATAGAACTTGATGCTAGGCTCATTCCACTTCAGGACACTCCACTCAAGACGTCTGCCCTTGATCTCCAATACCTTGGCGGCAAGATACTTGAGCAACTTGAAGCCGTAGCCATTGCCTCGGGCACTAGGCTGAACATAAAGATCCTCGAGATAGATTCCCGGAGCTGCGCGCCACGTAGAGTAGTTGTAGAAGAAGAGCGCCATGCCGACAGGTTTGGGTGTGGGGTTCTCGGCCGTCGCAGGAGGGGTAATGAGCGCGGTGTACACGGAGCCACGCTTGGGCGGGCTGTCGGGGAAAGACAACGTTTCAAGGAGAGACTCGTGAGTGGCCTCTACTTCGTGCAGGGCTTTTTCATAATCAGCGAGCTCGCAGATGAACTGGTGGATGATCGGGACATCTGCAATGGTAGCCAAGACATGGTTAGTTAAGAGTGGAGGTATTGCCAATGGGCGTACAGGGCCAACGCAGGTAATGCTATAGCGGCATCAGAAAGAAACACTTGCCCTCAGGAGTCGCAAGACGAATAGTAGGCTGGTCAGACATTGTGCCGGTTATATGTGCAATAGGTACAGAGAAACCAAAGATTGAGAAAGACAAAAGAGAGAAGCCGGGGATGAATATAAATGTGAAGACCCCGGAGGACCCGCCTGTCGTTCCCCACCGAGCGGTCGGGACCGCGACTGTCCTACTCGAACGGGACTTTTGACGGCTCTGCGCCCTTCGGTTGACATCGAGTCCACTGGAAGGTCACAGAAACAGAAGAATAATAATGGGAAATAAGATTCTTGTGGCAAGGCAAGATGAGCTTCGACAAGGTATAATAATCTGTGAATCAAGAATGCTATGTACCAGGTATAATTACAACTATGTGCTTGCCTCCAAGAACCATGGTTTCCGGCAAAGGCCTGGAAGTCTAGCGTGAGGTGATGGCCGCCATCCACTTTTGCTCATCCGTCCTGTTCAAGTCAGCATACACAAGCCTCCAGAAGGGAAGGAATGAATAAACACTGCGATACTCACCGGTCGAAATGTAACAGCATCCCCAGCACAGGCACCAGCTGCTTCTGGTAGTTCTTGTCCTTTTGCTCCAGGAACTGGAGGAGAACATTCTTCAAGTAGATGTAATCGATGGATGATGTACTAGGTCCGGTTGGCGTCTCACTTCTGCGAGTTGACGGGCTGCGATCTTTGGAGACCGGGGAGGCCAGCGCTTTCCGTGACCCGGAGTCGATGGATGAACGGGATGACTGCGGATTGGTACCGAAGCGACTCTCGTCTGGTAGCATCTTGTTGGACTTGCGAACCTTTTCTAAGCGCGCGTTGGTCTCCTCCACGGACCGACGCAGCTCGGCCTTCTCCTTTTCCAAATCACGGACTTGTTTCTCACTTTCATCCAATGCATCCCGCAACCGTGCCATAGCCTGTCGTAGATCACTGAGCTCTTGGGTAGTCTTCTCCGACTCGGCCTCGAGTTGATCCCGTCTGCGTTTCCAGTCCTTCTGGGTATGCTCCAGCTCCTCCTTATCCTCCTCCACAGTACGCAAGGCCCGCTCTGCTTCGCGAAGCTTGCCCTTCAAGTCTTCCAACTCACGCGCCCGCCGGCGGCTCTGGGCACTTGCCTCATCCTCAGCCCTGTCGCGTTCTTCGATGGCAGCCTCCATACGCTCCTTGAAATCCCGTACTTTAGCCTCTGCGCGGCCGTCAATATCATTGAGAAGACGTCGCATGGTCTCCCCCTCCCGAGTCCGCTCGCTCAGCAGGCGATGAGCATCCGCTAATTCTTCTTCCAAGCTTTCACAACGCTCCCGGGCCTCCTTCATCTGCATACCCAACTCCCCAGCCTGGTCGCGCATACTATTCATCAAACTTTGTGCGCTGGCATGCTGTGCGGTTTTCAGCTGAATCTCCTCTCGCAGGCCGCCAAGATCCTTGTTCAACTGAGCAGCTTGGCTCTCAGCTTCACGGAGCCGGGCGCGAGCTGCCTTCAGCTCATCTTGAGCCTTGGACAGGTCCGATGCCAGCTTCTCCTTTGCCTCCACGGCTTCTTGCTTTTTGCTCTCCGAGTATCGCAGATCAGATTGGGCGACTGTCAATTTCTCCTCGCTCTTCAGACGGCTGTCCGTCTCCTGTCTGATCTTCTGGTTGAGAGACTTCACTTCCGCGTCTCTTTCTGTTATGGTAGACTTAAGCGACTTCAGCTCTGCACGCAACTCATCATGCTGCCCCTCCAAGTTTCGCAAGTCGGCTGTCTTGCTGTTCAAAGATTCCTTTGTGGACTTCAGCTCCGCGGACTCGGCCCGTAGCTTCTTCACTTCCGGTTGCAGTTTCTGGAGTGTCTCCCGCAGTTCCGTCATATCCTTGAACCTCGTGGCAGCCAGCTGCTGGGCAGCAGAAAGCTCCGTCTCCAGGGTAGTAGACTTGATCTTGAGACTCTCATATTCGTCCTTCAGGTCATTGTGCGCCTTCTCAGTATCGACTTTGCTAGACTCGCTACTCGTCCGCAAATCAGTCAGTTCCTTCTCCAGCTTGGATATTGTTTCCTCCAGAGCGTTCTTCTCGGCAGTTAGCTCCTTCACCTTATCCTTGGCTTCAACATGGTCTTGGCCGATATTCAGTAAGTCATCACGTAGGGTTTCGATTTCCTCTTTCAAATCTTCTTCTCCCTTGAGCTTTGAGCAGAGACGATCAATGGTAGCATCCTTCTCAGCCAGCTGCGATTTGAGCGATTCAATGTTCTGCTCCAGCTCTGTGAGCTTCAAGGCTGCTTGATCATCTTGATCTGCCGGTTCTTGCTTCTCCTCCGGAGCAGCAGCTTCAACTACTTTACTAGCCTCCTCGTTCGCCTTGCCTCCCTTCTTCTTCTTCTTGTTCTTCTTCTTGCCTCCCCCAGCGCCACCTGCGGGGTTCGCTGCTGGTGCAGTAGGTCCGGCGGGGTCCTCTTTCACTGCTGTGGTTTGCGGTGGAGGGGCCAGGCTCTCGCGAAGTTCATCAAATGCTGCTTCCTTTCCATTTGCAATTTGGTCCTTGGTCTGTTGCCACTTCTCGTTATCTTTGAGATTGGCATCCAGGAAATTGACAACGTTCTGTAGCTTGCCCATATCTTCGTTCTTCTGTCCCATTTCCTTCTTGAGACTGGTGAAGGTTTCTTCCGTCTCCTTGAGCTGAGACCGAAGGCTGTCAACCAGTCCTTGTAGGACCCCTAGACGCTTGTCATTGGCCTCCTTTTCCCGGTTCAACTGTTCCAATTTTGACTCGATCTCTGCTTGTTGTTCAGCGCTCTTGGCATGAGCAGTCTGAGCCTGGAGTTGCTCGATTTCATCTGCTTTTTGCTTGAGCTCGGATTTCAAGCTTTCGATTTCGGAGCTTGTCTTCGACACGGCGTCTTCGGATTTCTCAAGCTTGGCTTTGAGCTCACTAACTTCCTCTTGCTTGGAGGTTTTGAGCTGCTCCAACTCCGCATCCTGTTTGTCCTTAGTGTCGCGCAACTCAACAAGCTCCCGTGTAGCGGATTCCAGGTTATGGACCATGCCTTCCGTGGACTCGCGGGCTACCGACAGGTCGCGCTTGAGCGATTCTGTCTGGGACTTCAGAGTATCAATTTCCTCCTGTTTCTCCTTCAATTCCGACTCCAGTCGCGGGATTTCGCTGTCATACGAGAAGAACTCCTCACTATCACCCTGCGCGTCAGACTCCTTCTGAGACGCCTCGGCAGTCTCCTTGGCGCCAGAAGTGGACGCCTTCCCGGAATTGGCAGCGCTATCGGGTGTAGATTTGTCGGTAGCGGAACTCTCAGATGTCGGCCCTTCGTCCTTCTTGGCTTGTGGCTTGCTGTCCTCCTTGAGTTTTGTAACTTCATCCCAGGCAGCTTTGGTGGATTTCTGAGACTCTTCCAGCTTCTTCTTGTAATCGTCCCGCTCTGCTGTTACACGTTTCAATTCCTCGGTCACCAGGTCACCTTTCAACGAGATCTGATTCAGGTACTCCGTCAAAGCTTTTGGTTCGCTAATCGACGTCAGGGGAGTGTTCTCTCGCAGGGCAGCTTCGAATGGTTCGATCGACAGGACGCGCGAATGGGCCATGCGGTACGCTTTCAGGAGATCTGGGGTACGGCAACAAGTTAACAATGTGGCCGGACTGTCGTTGCAGAGCGCTCATTACCTTGATAACGGGATTCGAGTTTGCCCAACCTTCGCAATTTCACCCGAATCTCTGGCGGCAGCTCAGACGGTGACTGATTCGTCTCAGTTACAGGCTGAGCCTCGGGCTTCTTGGTTGCAGACTCCTCAGAAGACGTCTTCCCCTCCCCGGCGTTTTCCTCCGGGGCAGCTTCGGAGCCACCTGCCGACTCCAAACGCGGAGTGGCTGATCTGCTGGAACCTTCATCATCCCCGATGGCGAACTCCGGTTCGAACTCGTTGGGATCAGGGCCACGGACAGGGGTACCGGTGTTTCGCCGAGGACGAGAGGTTCGCCTAGTCGGAGATAAGTTGCGACCCGTGGGATGACGAGCGGAGTTGGAGCGCGAAAGTGAAGTTTGGGCGGACCGTTGACGAGCTTGTTCTTCTGCAATCCGCGAATCGATTGCGTCGCGCAAGCGCTATATTGGGAACAGGGCGGGATCAGCCACAGCACTGGCACGAGCACAATATGGCACGGGGAATGCGAAACAGGTAAATAGTAATCGACAGGTTGAGAGGGAGACAGAGAACAAACAGCGGGCAGCCACCTACCTGAAACATGACCGTGGCGGGCCTATGAGCCAAGGCCACAGCAAAACTGATGAACGAGAGACAGAAGTAGAAAAGTCGGCAGAAGGTGAGGACAAGTAGAAGCAAGCGATAGGCAGGAAAGAAGGGGAGCATGAAATCCGGCGGCGGCGACTACAACTCATCCACGGGGGCTTCGGTTGGCAGTTGGGCGGCCAGCACGGGGCAGAAAGCGGGTGGCCCGCCGAGTCTGTGGATGCTCGTTCCTGGGGGGCGGTGAGCAGCCAATTATCTACACTAAATTCATTCAGTTGTCTGTTTTCATTCCATGTTAAGTATCCGTTCCCTAAGAAGATGGTTTGTTCAACTATCCTCCAGCTAATTGGATATGTTGATATTGTATGTATCTGTTATGAGGGTCATACCACATTCACTTGAAGCTGTGAGGTACTGACTGAACCCCGTCATGTTGAAGGGGCTACTATATATAGATAAACAAGCGGGTCTCTTGGACGATAGCAATGACTCTAGCGCAGAGACACCCTCGATGACAGCATGATATTGAGATGAAGGGATAAAAAGGAGAACTACAATGAAGAAAGTGACTATCAAAGAGAGGGGTTGATCATGGTGGTCGAGATGAGGATGGCGAAACTGCAATTGTACTATTTCCGTTGTAACTAAATAACTACTAGTCAGTTCGCCGTGCTACTTTATGCTCTCGCTTCCTTCATTATATATTTCTAACAGTACTACTACTACCACCACGCTCCCAGGGAATTGAGCTCCCTTCAGACTGACCTCTACCACAACTGGAAAATCCCAAGATCCGAAGCTACCATGAAACGAGCATTACTTCAGTTTCCTTCGAAACTTACGCGAATTTGAATCTCTCTGCGGAGGACTGCACCTGACGTCTGAATCGTTCGATAATTCCCCGTTGGGAGTATAATAATAC